GCAGTCATCGTGGGTGACCGCTATTTTGCCAGAAGATCCTGTATAGGAAAACTGCCAGGCACTCATCTCAGAGTAATTCATAAGAGGGTCATTAAGAGCTGAATGTGCCATAACAATTAGCCCTTTAACTCCCAGAAGTGATTCACATGTAACTTTTCCATACAATGTCCATCCCCTATCCAGCAAACAAGTAATGAGAGTACCCAAATGTATCAGGTAGAAGTGGTTATCTTGATCTTACACCAAATTCTTGGAACTATTTTACAAGGAAATGTGTAGCAGCTAGAGGGGAGAATTAACAATCAGATATTGGGAGTTAAAGGGTTAAAGCCAGTAAGAAACGAGTATTTCTCAATGGAGTGAGGGATTTGACTCCCGATCAAACGGCTGAAGTTTTGACGAAATCGCTCCAATTTATGTTGACAAGAGATGATTAGGCGAAGAGAAAGACTTCACATAGAGTTAATTCTTCCCAAGCCAATCTCCGTCGTGTTATTTTTAGATCAAACCCGTTTTCAAGGTACCCTCGAGAATTTGGACAAAACCAATCCCGCGCAGCGAACGTTATCGCATAGACATCACATGCGCCGTTTATCGTTCCTACGCAGAAGCAAATCATGAAAAACGTGCGAGTTTCACTTAAATTTCACCTGATGGAGAGGAGACTAGTGAAAGATGAATTTTGAAGACCATTTTTGGCACGGTGGACGTCCCTTTCCTTTTGCGATGGAAAGACCACACCGGAAAGGACGTTTAACTTTCGAATGTAACTGTTTATTACCTGGATTCATGTTGGCTTCGAGAATTTGCTCCATAGCACCTTTAAGGCTTCTGCCAAAGGCGAACGCGGCAAAGAAGACGCAAAGTCCGAGAAGAAACGCTTTCGCCATCCTACAGAGAAAGGGTAGAAAAAGGTCTAGCTAACATTTAAACATGAATTAAATATCTGCGGAAAAGCATTTTTTGTCGACAAAAAAACTCCCCAATATAAATTAGGAGTGATGGAATGCCACAAAGAAAATCAGACAAAAAGCCAAAACGGTCTTTCGGAGAAATAAATAATTTCATGGTTTATCGAAAAACACAAGTGCAAGAACTAAGCTGCCTTTTTCATATTCAAGCAGTCCGATAGTAGTTAAAAAATCAACGCAATTTTTCAAACATTTCAAGAGTAACTGGGCTTATACGATATAAAATTTCAGGCATCAACGACGGTTTTTCTCTTTTACCTGAAAACGCAATTAGAGTTCTCTCTGTAATTTGCACAATGAATTGAAAACTTCGGCTTTACGACTATAGATTGAAAGCCATCGGGTTTATTCAGTTGCACAGACTGTTTTCATAATATCTTTTTGTTTCAGTTCTAACCTAACACTTTATTGCTTGTGTTCTCATGGCTTTCAGCAATTCGAAGAAAAAAGGTGTTACGTTTTTCTTAAAAGTCCGTTCATAAAGAGTTCAACCAAAAATATATTTGACTGCATGTATCACACTTTCATTGCCAGAAAGCGAAATTTTGCCTTTGTTGGTCTTTATTTGCAAATGAAAAGTTATAAATGAAGCCATGATATAGGTTGACATTAACATTAATAGGTAATATAATTTAATGGAAAGTGATTCGAGACAATCCTGCACACATAAAAAGAAATAAACAAACTCGAATTTAAAGAAATATGTTGGCAATGATCAGGAATGTTTACACACGTGAAAATCTGATCATGGTTTCCACGAGAGCCAAATGAAACAAATTCTTGTTAAATCAAATTGTTATTACATGCAAATTAAGTCGAACAGAAACTCCTCATTTTGACCAGAAATAAACGAGCATTCGTGCGACAGATAGCGCGTTCCTCACAAGGCAAATTTCACCTTCATAAATGCCTTCCTTTGCTAAGGGCAGTCCCGAAATTTTTTAGAAATATAATTTCTAACTCTACAACGCGGTCGTGATCACCCTTGTTTTGAATCTCAACGGCCTGTTTGTATTGTCCTTCACCTGCATGGAACAGTCACTAAGAGGCGAACCAACCAAATAAAACTGAGAATTTACTATCAAGTTAATTTCATTCCATGTTTATCTCCCGAAATCGATGTTAGCACGTTGAGTTCAACGCAATGTAGATTATCTTTCTTCTTAGGACTTTAAGAACCAAATGGCGTTTTCTTCAATCGCGTTTAACCCATTCTGTGGAACCTGAAATTAGCGGTCAACCTGTATTAAATCATTCCTCGTGAGCGACCGCTTAAATACAGCTACGACTGTAGCTTACGATACAGTATTTCATTCTCATAAACAAACATTGTTGTTTCAGCTTGAAAGGGATCACATACAGTGTTTATCTATCTTTGTATGGGATGTAGAAACTCGATGCTTCGTGTAAGAAAGTCTATGTAGTCGAAGTTCATACGTCTTGGCACCACCTAATCTTGTACTGCCGTTTGTTGTGACTATTCGGACATGTGTATTTCATTGAAAGTTTACCCTGTTAAACAGTTTTGGAAATCTATTCCGACAACTAGTACAAAACAGTCGGTGCAAATGGCGAGCATAAGATTATCGACTAAGAAACTGGTAGCTGTTTTCGTAATTAGACCCTATTTGAGTTAACTCAAGGGCTCGAGACTGACCGGAATCCAAACACTAATCAGTGCCTCTCTTATTATAGATTTTATCTTTAGTTTTTCTTTTCTAGTTTACTCGCCGCACTTGAGCTAGTGGTTAACTTAGGGTTATTTTAAATATATTTTGTAACGATTTGCAAATGAAACTGAAGTATGCTTATCAGGTATGAGTCATTTTAACTGTACAAGCATTTTAGGCGTGCTTTTAAGTGTGATGAATCTGTAGGGGCTACCAGGCTTTTCAGTTAAGATTTTGTAAGATATGTAACAGCCACTCGGAGGCATCTCTTTTAACTTTGCTTTTGTGTTTATTCACTACTGTCTTTTCTTTATGATGATGTTACGCTCGCTGCATCCTGCATCAATAAACGAGATACCCGATGTTTGTTTTTATTAAGATTAGTTATAAAATCTTTCTAAATCGTTTCAGGGTGATTAGAGTACATCAGAGGTTTTCTTAAAGGAGACTCTCCTCAAACAATTGCTCACCAGCTAATTACGGTTAGCTTTTATTTCTGATAAGGGCATACGAAGTGTTGGAGTCAAACTTTGGCTTCAACTCCTTTCCTACCCACCCTTCCCCCAAAGAATAAAACGCGTTCTTGGCACAACTACAAAACCAATAAACGCCCAAACGCTAGGTATGACTAGGAAGAAACGTTTCAATCTTCCACAAATCTTTATACTGGTTTATCTACTTTTATTGAATTAGGGCAGGGAAAAAAAAGACAGTTTTATGCCAAGAGAACGAAGAACGAGGTTAAGGAAACGAAACTTGGTAAATCATCTAAAGACTGCTGAGCGACTCGTAAAGAAAATGGAAACCAAAATCCGCCTTTCTTCCTGTATGAAGAGAGTACAATTGCAAATGAAAATTATGCAGATGCAAGTAACAGAGCCTAACCTCCGGGAAGATCAAGGGGGAAAGTTTCTAGTGAAAAAGTGGTGCTGGGTCCTTGCGGGGCGATATAACGGATAATCTGGTTTTATCAACGGGGTTGGAAATGTAAATTGGCCACCGTAGAGAGTTTCTAAAGCTGAAGTTTCGAGCTTTAGCCCTTCGACAGAACGAAACGTTCGCCTGACGCTCGGAAAATCAGATTAAGGAACTCTTAACGGTAGCCATTTATGTTGTTAACTCAGTTGATAAAACCAAATCATCCTGTAACTTCCGAGAAAGTTCAGCACAGTAATATTAAAAGTGAGGAGATGTGGTACATTTTTAGGAAACTAAAGTTACCGCATTGATGTAACGGAAAACAGCTTGGTTAGACCTCTCAATATACGATAAATTTTGATTCTTTTTAAAAAAAATGGTCCCTCAAAGGTGGAGTTTGGAAACCAAAACAACTTGTCATGGGCTTCATTCGGCCAAATATGACTACCTCACCACGTGAATAAGATAACAGCTTTTTATTTTAAAGCATGATCATTATCGAACAAAAAACGAAAGTCACATCAAGTTCATAAGCAAATATTGGAAACTTCTACAGTGTGTTGGTTGTAATATTTCTGAAAATAAAAAAGGTTCATAAAGTTGACGCAATTAAGTGTACAGTTGTTTAAATCGAAATCCTTTTGTATTCAAACTAAACAAATAACAAGCGGTCGGCATGTGAAATCCCATTTCAACTTGTTTAAAAAATTAAATGCTTCATTCGAATTGTGTAGATATTTAAATGACTTTCACAAGTTTGTAGTTTAAAAATTTATCAGCTGTACGTCATAAGAACATCGTCACATATGTTCTACAAATTCTGAATGAAATGACTTTCGATGCGCCGTCAAACTGGAGAAAAAATTTAACAACAATTTTCCTTGCGCCATTTCTAAAAATACTTGGCATTTAAAGTTTAGAAGCTGAGCTATGATTGGCCACAAGAATTAGCACCTAAAATAATTGTCTTCAAAGATGTGGGTACAATCGAGGAAAAAAAATGGACTTTTGTATAGAAATGAGCTTTGGCACTTAGTTTAGAAACACGAACCGTGCATTAACAAAAACATCGAAACCGAAGATTCAGAAACCTAAACAATATTGTTACATGTACTATATTTCACAGTCCAGCCGACTATTTTGGTAGCTGTGAAACAGGGAAAATCTCAAGTGAGAGAGGTGTAATTATCGCGGAACAAGCTTCCCTGTTAAGTTGAAACAGTACACGCCTAGAAAAACCAAACAAAACAAAAATCTTTGACTTCCGAACCAAGCTTTACATGCCCCAGGGAAACTTACGCGTCACGCAACTCGAGGGAATGCCACTAGTTGTCACGCTTCAAAGGAATTAACTTGAGGAGCGATAAACCAAAAAATACTGTGTATATTGGACTTAAACTGCCCTTCACAAAAAAGTGCTCTATGTAAAAAAAGCTGTCTTCACCGATTCAAACTTCACCTAGTGGCGGAAAATTTGCCTGGCTTTCGTATAGTGTCGGAAGTTAGAGACGAAAGTAGAAAGTCTCACTCCCAATCTATGACGTAATGTCTGGGTCGAGCTGTTTAAATGTGAGCGAGTTAACGAGTAAGGAATCACTCTTCGCTACAGCTCGCGCACTTAGCTTCGCAGTTGTAAAACATCCACAGATTTGTAATAGAACTTGGTGTTCTCATGGAGACCAAAGACGAAAATGTAAGTTCAAATATTCAATTTAGATTCCAAATATTCCACGAAACCTTCGCTTCACCTTCGAGAGCTCATCGTTGTCTGCTTATTTCCAAGCATGATTGAATTGCATTGCGATCAGGCTTGCTTGGTGCTTATGATATAGTCAAATCGATTATGTCTTTAACCCGTTTCCAACACGAGCAACTGAACCACTTAATTCCGGTGAAAATCTACATATTTCGTAAATTATTGGCTTTTAAAATATTTATTTCTCTTGTAGATTGGAAATTGAAAGGCTCGTTTTGGACAACTACGCTCTTGGACAAATGAAAATGAGATTTTAAACCCAAAAACAGTCTTTTATAGTTGTCGTAGATCGGCACCACTGTACCTCATGGCATGACCTGATAGACAAAATTTGCTCAGCGTGCCTCTTGTTGTGGAGATGATCCCACCACATACTAAGGAGGCAGAATAGGGGGGGGGGGGGGGGGGGGGGGGGATCTACGAAAGACTAGCATACCACCTAAGCGAAGAGAAGGGGATGAGCTCAACCCAGATCGGTCACTTGGCTTTTAAACACCCTTTGACTCCAAATCTCCCCCCTCCCCTCCCCTCCCCTCACCTTAGTACCCCTCTAAACTCTTATCTGTTAAATCTACAGTTGTCCCTAAGCTATTTTCCTGCAATACCTTTGCCAAATGGCAATGTATGCAATTAATGACGTATTTACCCCATAGCAGACGAATATGAAAATCTTTGACCACAGTGACAGAGAATGGCACACTACAGATAATCAGCTTTACTCTCGCAACGAAGAAGGACAAGCTCCAGGTCACTACATGTGGGTGAATGGTAGAACTGTTTTATCAAATGCAGTCAGTGAGAACCAAAAAAGTAAGTCTATCAATAAATATACCTATAATCAAAACAACAGAAATAATGGGACCTACGCAACAATCAAAATAGTCGCCACCTTGGAATAGCATCACAATATTTAACCCTTTGAGCCTAAGGGATGACTTTCATCTAATTTTCTCACTATGAAATCACACCTGAATCACACACCACGGTCACAAGAAAAAGAAACATTACTCTTGTCCAAAAAGACAAGTAAGTAGAAAGGAAAGTTTCTTGCCCTGTATGCACCAGTTAATATAATATTAGAATGGTTTACTAAACAAGTGTCTTGTTTATCACTATGCTTTTCAACAGCTCATTTTAAGATCCACACTGTCGTGGAGCTTGACGAAAACAAGAAGTCTCATCAAGTTGTCATTTTAGAGCATAAAGGTGGTAGTGTTGTGGCCATAAACCAGGATGATGACACTGTCATTGCTAAGGTATGATGGCAGAAAATTTCCTGTTAATAGTTGCATGTCAGGGCTAAATAAAAAATGAAAAAAACCAAGTGTGTCCTTGTCTTGGACATTTTTTTATGGACTTATCGAATGAGCAAGGATCTTACTCACTCACCCAGAAACTCAACGCAGAAAACTGAACAGATATTTCTGTATGTCCCATTCTGAATTTGCTGTGCCATCATCAACCATAACACGATACAAATCTTGAGCTTATAATGTAATTGCTAAATGATAGCCAAGGATAATCTTCAGACATAGACTGTACGTTGAGTGGAGACTCTACTTAAAAACCAGGGGGTATTAACCCTTTACATCCTAACATCAGTATGCATATTCTCCATACTGTTCTCTATACATTTCCTAAGGTGCTGACAAGGAGAATTTGTTTAATGATCACGAGCATCTTGACATTGTTATTATTCCTTTATTCTTACGACCTCACTCTTAGGAGTTGAGAATTAACAGGGGGCCCTGGTGACTTTGGAATGCTCATATTATATGCTAACATTATACTTCAGTCACACGCAGGTGTTTAGATGTAGGAATTTTTAAGGAAGAGGGCAGGGGAGGGAGTGGGGAGAGTGCAAACAACTGTGCTCTATTTGAATTTAGGATTAATGTGCCATATTATTATGTTGCATATTACAAATTATTTATTTTTGAATATTACAGATAGAGTACTTTACTGAAAAGGAATGTTCTAGGTGATGACATGCACATTGACAACTCAGTCGGAGTCTGGTGATGACCTTCTGTGCAAAAGCTAACCCCTTTAACTCTCAAGATCTGATTGTTAACTCTCCTGTCCAGCTGCTACATATTTTCTTGTAAATCAGTCATGAGAATTTGGTGTGCCATTAAGATAACAATTTCTACCTAATAAGTTTGAGTCTTCTAGTTACCTTATGGACATGATAGGAAAAAGTTGCATACTGATAACTTCTGGGAGTTAACGGGTTAACAATGAACTCCAATGAGGCGGTCAACATCAGCCATTGTCACCAACAGCAGTCATTTCCGAACGTGCTCTGACTCAGAGTCTGACTACTCTTGTCCACAGGAACTTCCTAAACCTCTAAGCCAAAGCAACTCCCTTGAAGAAGTTAAAAAAGACAATCCTGAGGTGTTATTTTACAAGGTGGCTAGGGAAGAAGACAGTGAGCTGTTTTACTTCAAGTCCTACCTTAAAGATAAGCAACGCTTCCTCGGCTTTGATCAGGAAGGAAATCCAATGAACACCTCCCAAGTACAACCGGATCAGCTGGAAAGCTGGTTTTCTGTATTTTAAAGTCTCTTGCAACTGCAAAACTAAAGTTGCAGTTTACAGTTGAAGTAAGAGATATTTTCCAAACAGTAAATTCTGGTAAGGAAATTGTTTCACTTAGGTTAAGCTAATGATGTCATGCAGTGTAAGTTTGAATACAAAATTCATGAAGTTTAGCATGATAAGACATTTGTTTACTGTCTGTTTTAAGATGAAATTGCTATCAAAATGTAATTTTATACATGTTTTAAAAATATTTTCATAAAATAGGGATTAAATCCACAGAAAGTTTTACAAAATTTATTTTCATAATGAATATCACTTTGATGCCCAAGTAACCTCAAAACGATTAATTAGAGATGAATTTTTAAGAAAAGTGACAGTCTTTTGGCTAATAGTGAATTAAGATTCATAATGAATTTAGTACGTCGTATCCTCTTAAAAGTTTCATAATATTTCACAGCATTTGTAGGAGATATTTCATTTTTCTAATGATTTTCCTTTGTTAACGGTATCGGGACTATTTTAAAAATAGAAAAACCCTCTTTTCAGTTTCTTTAAGATCTGCATGTAGCAAAATGGTTGTGAACATGTTGCTAACAATCTTAAATAAATATTTCATTGGAAATTAATTTGTAATTTGCTTTATATTGACATCAATCGAATTAAACATTCTGTGGCAGAGAGACAAAAAGGCGGAGAAGTACCTAATGAGATCTTAGGAGTGAAAGGGTTAATCACGCACTGTTAATTGTTTAAATTTAAGTATGGTAAACATTTGTTTGTGTACGATTATGCGACATTTGTAAAGATACAGCTGTTTTATTAGTATTTCATTTGTTCAGTTTACATTTTGTCCACGTTATGTGTATCTCCGGTTTACGGTCATTTCGTTCCGTGGTCAGATCGTCCCACAAAATAGTAAGTTCGTTCCACATATAAAATATATACTTTCTAAACGTGTAAATGTGATCTGAGTACAGAGTAGCGATCGGAACATAGACGAAAGTATTTTCACAACTATTTACAAAACAGTGAGAGCGCCGTATGTTAATTTCAGTGTGCATTGCAGAGCGATGTAAGAATTATTCACATATTAGCGAGAGCTTATGTTAGTTTTCTGTACGTCAAAGATGATGATAGAATTCAATTAAAAGCCTGATGCGAAATTTTTAGCAAAGGATATTGCGTTTGTCAGTATATCATTCAAAAAGTTAAAGAAATGAAACGACGCCGCACCGTGATTGCCGAAGTTAATACTATTATATTGTTGACATTTGATCACAACACAGAACAGAGGATATTCAATAAAGTACCAAGTTGTCTGCGTATTTGTTAGCGCACTCGATGTAAAGTGGTTTTAGATTAAATATTATTGTTCGCGAGAGAAACATTTTCTGATTTACGCCCGTTTCCGGCGCTACTTGTCGAGTTCAAGCACTACGTTCGAGTCCGCTCCTAACATGCCGTTTCTGGTAAGGGCATACGTAGTTTTGGAGTGAAAAAAATAGCTTCCACTCTTTTTCTCCCCATCCTTCCTCCAAAGAATAAAACGCGTTCTTGGCACTACTGCAAAACCAATAAACGTCTAAACGCCAGCTATGACTAGAAGGAAACGTCTTACGCTTAATTAGACTTCTCAATCTGCGGCAAATTTTGATTCTTTTAAAAAAATGGTCCTTCGAAGGTGGAGTCTAGAAACATGTCAAGGGAAATATTAGCCTTCATTCGCCCAAATATGACTGCCTAACCACGTGATTAAGATAACAGCTTTTTATTTTTAAGCATGATCATTATCGAACAAAGAATGAAAATCACATCAAGTTCGTAAGCAATTATTGGAAACTTACCGAAAATAAACAAGGTTCATAAAGGTGACGCAATTAAATGTACAGTTGTTGAAATCGAAATATTTTTGTATTCAAACTATACCTAAATAACAGATGGTCGGCATATGAAATCCCATTTCAACTTGTTTCGAAAATTGAATGCACCGTTCGAATTGTGTAGATATTTAAACGACTTTCACAAGTTTGTAATTTAAAAATTTATCAGCTGTACGTCATAAGATCATCGTCACATGTTTTTACAAATTCTGAGTGGAATAACTTTCGATCCGCCGTCAAACTAAAAGAAAAACTTTAACTACAATTTTCCTTGTGCAATTTCTTAAAATACTTGGCATTTAAAGTTTAGAAGCTGAGCTATGCTTGGCCACAAGAATTTTAGCTAGCCCCTCCTAAAATAATCGTCTTCAAAGATGTGGGTACAATCAAGAAAAAAAAGAAAGAAACCAAAAGTTGTCTTTTATATAGACATGAGCTTTGGCACTTAGTTTAGAAATACGAACCGTACATTAACAAAAACATCGAAACCGAAGATTCAGAAACCTAAACAATACTGTTACATTTACTATATTTCAAAACTCAGCCGACTATTTTGGGTAGCAGTAAAACAGGGAAAATCACAAGAAGTGAAAGGGGTGGAATTATTGCAGAACAGGCTTCCCTGTCAAGTTGAAATAGTACACGCCTTGCAAAACCGTACAAAACCAAAATCTTTGACTTGCGAACCAAGATTTACATGCCCCAGAGAAACTTACGTGTCACGCAACTCGAGGGAAATGTCACAAATTGTCACGCTTCAAAAGAAATAAATTGAGGAGCGATAAACCCAAAAATACTGTGTACATAGGACTTAAAGTGCTCTACAAAAAAAAAGCTGTCTTCACTGATTCAAACTTCACCTGGCGTCGGAAAATTTGCCTGGCTTTCGTGCCGGAATCGGAAGTTAGGGACGAAAGTGAAAAGTCCCACTCCCAATCAATGACGTATGTCCGGATTAAGCTGGTTAAATGTGAGCGAGTTAGCGAGCCGGAGATCATTCTTCGCTACAGCTCCCGCACTTAGCTTCGCAACTGTAAAACATCTACGGATTTGTAAAAGAACTCAGTGTCTTCATGGACACCATAGAGAGTGGGGAAAATTTAAATGTAAGTTTAAATATTCAATTTAGATTTCAAATATTCTACGAAACCTTCGCTTCACCTTCGAAAGCGCATCGTTGTGTACTTATTCACGAGAGCATAATTGAATGGCATTGCAATCAGACTTGCCAAATACTTCGGCTCAGCGCTTATGATAGAGTCAAATCGAGTATGTCTTTAACCCGTTTCTAACACAAGCAACTGAATCACTTAATTTCGGTGAAAATCTACGTTTTTCGTTAATTATTGGCTTTTCATTTATACTTCTAATAGAGTGGAAATTGAAAGGCTCGTTTTGAACAATTACGCTCTTGCACAAATTAAAATGGGATTTCAAATACAAAAACAGTGTTTAATAGTTGTCGTAGATCGGCACCACTGTACCTCATGGCATGACCTGATGGACAAAATTTGCTCAGCGTGCCTCTTGCTGTGGGAGACCATCCCACCACATACTGAGGAGGCAGAACAGGGGGGGGGGGGGGGAAATCTACGAAAGACTAACATACCATCGAGGGGAAGAGAAAGGGATGAGCTCAATCCAGATGGGTCACTTAGCTTTTTAAACACCCTTTGACTCCAAATCTCCCCCCCCCTCCCCTCCTCTCATCTTAGTACCCCTTTAAACTCTTAGCTGTTAAATCTACAGTCTCCCCTAAGCTATTTTCTTGAAATACCTTTGCTAAATGGAAATGTATGCAATTAATGACGTATCTACCCCACAGCAAATACACGCGAGACTCTTTAACCACAGCGACAGAGAATGGTGCACTGCAAATCATCAGCTTTTATCTTGCAACGACACAGGACTGATTCGTGGTCACTATTTGTGGGTGAATGGCAGATCTGTTTTATCAAATGCAACCAAGGAGAACCAAGAATGTAAGTCTATCAAGAAATATTCTTACAATCAAAACTACAGAAATAATGGGACCTACGCTACAATCAAAATAGTCGACACCTTGGAATAGCATCACAATCTTTAACGTTTGAGCCTAAGGGGTGACTTTCATCTAATTTCTCACTACGAAATCACACCTGAATCGCACACTACGGTCACAAGTAAAAGAAACATTACTCTTCTCCAAAATGACAAATAAGTAGAAAAGAAGGTTTCTTGCCCTGTCTGAACCAGTCAATATTTATATGTTATTTGCCGGCTGGGAGGTCCGTATGGTGAAAAACTGTGACCGAGGTCTTGAAAATACTGCCCGAGGCCGTAAAATATTAATATGGTGTACTAAACAAGTGTCTTGTTTATCACTATGCTTTTCAACAGCTCATTTTAAGACCCATACTCTCCTGGAGCTTTACGAAGACAAGAGAAGACCTCGTCAAGTTGTCATGTTAGAGCATAAAAGTGGTTATGTCCTAGCCATAAACCAGGAAGATGACACTGTCATTGCTAAGGTATGATGGCAGAAAATTTCCTGTTAATAGTTGCATGTAAGGGCTAAATCCAAAACCAAAAATCAAAAATCAAGAGTGTCCTTGTCTTAGAAATTTTTTTATGGACTTATTGAATGAGCAAGAATCTTACTCACTCACCCAGAAACTCAATGCGGAAAACTGAACAGATATTTCTATATGTCCCATTCTGAATTTCCTGTGCCATCATTAACCATAACTTGATAGAAATCTTGTGCTCATAATGTAATTGCTAAATGATAGCCACGCATAATCTTAAGACATAGACTGTCCGTTGAGTGGAGACTCTACATGAAAACTAGGGGTATTAGCCCTTTACACCCTAACATCAGTATGCATATTCTCCATACTGTTCTCTATACATTTCCAAAGGTGCTGACAAGGAGAATTTGTTTAATGATCAAGAGCACCTTGACATTGTTATCATTTCTTTATTCGTATGACCTTACTTTTTCATTCAGGGGGGATATTGTAAGGAGAAATTACATGCTCATCATTCTTAGGAGTTGAGAGTTAAACAGGGGGTCCTGATGACTTTGGAATGCTAATATTATACTTCAGTCACATCCAGGTGTTTAGATGTAGGAATTTTTAAGGAAGAGGGCAGGGGGAAGGGGTGGGGAGGGTGCAAACAACTGTGCTTTATTTGAATTTAGGATTAATGTGCCAGATTATGATTATTTATTTTAGAATATTACAGATAGAGTACTGTACTGAAAAGGAATGTTCTAGGTGATATGATATGCGCATTGACAACTCAGTCAAAGTCTGATGATGACCTTCTGAGTAAAAGCTAACCCCTTTAACTCTCAAGATCTGATTGTTAACTTTCCTATCTAGCTGCTACACATTTTCTTGTAAATCAGCTACGAGAATTTGCTGTGAGATTAAGATGAAAACTTCTACCTGATAAGTTTGAGTCTTTTCATTACCTGTTTACTGGATAATGTAGGAACATGATTGGGAGAAGTTGCATATTGATCAATTCTGGGAGATAAAGGGTTGATTTCCATTTCCCCAGCTGCTCTGACTCAGAGTCTGACTGCTCTTGTCCACAGGAACCCCCTAAACCTCCAAGCGAATACAAAATCCTTGATGAAGTTAAAGAAGACAGTCCTGAGATATTGTTTTACAAGACGGCTAGGGTACCTGGAAGTGAGCTGTATTACTTCACGTCCTTCCTCAAAGACAAGCAGCGCATCATCGGCTTTGATCCGGAAGGAAAACAAATCAACACCACCGAAGTACAACCGGATAAGCGGGAAAGTTGGTTTTCTATATTGTAAAATCTCTTTCAATTACAAGATTGAAATTGCAGTTTACGGTAGAAGAGATATTTTCTAAACAGTAAATTCTGGTAAGGAAATTGTCACTTAGGTTAAGCTAATGAAGTCATATGCAGTATCAGTTTGATAACAAAGTTTATGAAGTTTGGAAAAATGTTTTCATAGAATAGGGATTAAATCCACAGAAAGTATTGCAAAATTTATTTTCATAATGAGTATCACTTTCATGCCCAAGTAATCTCAAAACGATTTATTAGAGACGAATTTTTAAGAAAAGTTCGGCGTTTAAGCTAATAGTGAATTTAGATTCATAATGAATTTAATACGTGTCATATCCTCTTAAAGGTTTCATAATATTTCACTAGCATTTCTAGGAGATATTTCATTTTTCTACTGATTTTCCCAAGTAAAAGGTAACGAGACAATTTTAAAAATATAAAAAACCTCCCATAAGTTTAAGACCTGCGTGCAGCAAAATGGTTGTGAACATGTTGCTAACAATCTTGAATAAATATTTCTTTGAAAATTAATTTGTGGTTTGCTTTGTATTGTCATCAATCGAATTAAACATTGTATGGCAGACAGACAATAAGAAGAAGAACTTAATGAGATCTTAGGAGTGAAAGGGTTAATTACGCACTGTTAATTGTCTTAATTTAAGTTAGGTAAACACTTGCTTATGTACGATTGTTCGACATTTGTAAAGATACAGCTGTTTTATTAGTATTTCATTTGTTCAGTTTGCATTTTGTCCACGTTATGTGTATCTCCGGTTTACGGTCATTTCGTTCCATGGTCAGATCGTTCCAAGTCAGATCATTCCGCTCAATAGTCAGTGAACAGGCAAGGGCCAATTCGAAAAGAAAACACAACACGATGCCTCAGCAAATGTTTTTACTATAACGTTAGAAAAAAGTAAATTCCTACAAGAGCGAAAAATAATAATTATAACACACAAAAACTACCTTGGTAGGTATGTAGGTGAGACTTTATTCAATGAGGGTAACATTCGACAGTACTAAAACTGATAACTAATGGCCCTCAAAAAACAAACAAACAAACAAACTAATAGCAATAGTTGCAACAATATTAATAGTAATTGTAATAGTATATAAGCCTTTGTAAATCGCAAAATAATATTATAAAATGTGGTTATAGACAGATTTTAAAATTTACATGAATAATTGCGTAAGAATTTGATTATTTAAAATTATTTTAAGATGGGAACGCTTAAAGTTTTTGACACTAGTACTCCGTTTGAGGTCCACACTTAGTTTGTTCCACTCCTTTGTTGTTCTCACAGAAAACGTTCGACCACCTTCCTTACTTCTCTTATATCGAGGGTAACTTAAGTTAAAATTACAGAAACGGGTCGATCTATTATGTGTTAGAGCTTCTGATATGTAAGTCATTTACATATTCAGGGGTATTGCCATGCAGCCTTTTGTAGGTTAAAGTGCATCGATTTACATATAATTCAGCATAAAAGGGAACCACTTTAAGTTAAATAGGCCGACAGAAGGTGTTGTTTCGTTTTAAGGACGAATTAAATCTCCAAAAGTCTTATTTAATATTTAGGCGTATTAAAGATGAAAACAGCTGTCCAAGTTATGTAACGAAACTATTCACTAAGAACTCGGGCCGCTATAATAGAACAAGTCGTTACGGAAGGTACAACTCGGTCTCTCCCTCCTACAATAGAGAAACAGAAGGGGGTAGCTCCTTTCAAGTCAGTGGAGCCAAACTCTGGAACAGCATTCCTTTTGCTATTTCCGCTTTTAAATTTTCTGTTTGAAAATATTTTTTATCTAGAAATACTCAGCTTAATTTGATTAATTAGTGTCTTAACGCCTTTTAAATCCCAGTTTCCCTCCTTATGCACATATCTCTTCTCGTTTTTAAAATTCTTTATATATTTTGCGTATTTTTAAATTCTAAAGTTTTCAAATATTTTAAAATTTTAAAATTTTAATGATATCCTTATTTTTTAATATCCTGGATGTATCTTAGTAATTTAATAGTAATTTTAGATAGAGGGCCGCTAGTTTATCAATTATACCGTTATGTGCCACCCTCTTTAAAATAAAGTTGTTACTTACTTACTTACTTACTTACTATATCTGAGACGGAAGAGAGAGACTCAGTCTAATTGCGTCACTGCGTAGGTAAAGGCTAAGGAATGCTTTCATTCCACTGGACTCGTATAGAAGAACTTTCATGGGAAGAATGAATGGGCTCAGAAATCCTAGCGGATCGAAGAGAGTGCTAACAGTGAAAACGATGCCGCGTTTGGTCGGTGGTTTGCTAGTTGGTACCACTTTAAACTGGAAGGTGTCCGAATTTGCGTCCCAATGAAGTCCAAGCGCACGTCCAATAGGAAGATCGTCCAGACCTAGATTTAACTAATGATTCGCTCGCTCCTTTTCGGGAATCATGGCCAGAAACCTGCAGCTGTTACTGGAGCCGGAATTTTGTAAGGTGGAATCCGCCCTTCTTCATTGGCTGAATCAACTGTTGTGCTAGTCGGATTGAACGCCTCTCGTTCGGAACGGACTTTAAAACATCGTCGACGTAAAAGTTTCTGCACATTGTGTGAGTTACTTCTAGGTCAAATTGATCCTCTTTGTCAGCTGCGGTTTGATGCATTGCCTTGTTTGCGCAGCAAGGTGACGACGTGGCGCCAAAGATATGGACGAGCATCAGGTACTCATCAAGGGGGTCGTTTAAACTCCCACTCCACCAAAGGAATCTCAGTGCATCGGCGTCCTTGAGGAGAACCTTGACCTGATGGAACATGACTTCTAAGCCAGCAGTAAATGCAATTTCTTCCTCGCGAAAACGGATAAGGACACCAATAAGACTGTTAGCGAGATCTGGCCCTTGATACACCTGGTCGATAAGGGAAACACCATTAAACCTTGCAGCTGCATCAAATACCACACGACTTTTGTTAGGTTTGTTCACGTTAAAAACGGGGGGATGTGGTAGGTACCAGGTGATTCCCCTTTTCCTGGCTGCTTTTTCGGGCGACAACTTTCTTGCGTAGCCCCTATTTACGTACTCATTAATAACAGCTCTGTACTTGAATTCCAGGTTCGGGTATCGAGAGAAACGCTTCTTTAGATTTTGAAGTCTTACTTCAACATCTAAAGAAGCTAAACTTCGGCAGCTCTGTTAAAGGGAAGGCTTGGGTCGTCCATATTCCAAAGCAGGCCCATTTGGTAATGGTCATCAACCTTTGAAATGGTGGTTTCAATTAATATTCATGGATTTACGATCCTCTATAGACATCGATTTTGTAGACAGCTTTTCTGTGGGGTAAGATTCAACTCGACAAAAGTCTTCGACTTGGTGACTCAAAGAATTCTCTTCACACGAAACATGGTTGACATTGAACTGGTGTTTCTGACTGCGCATGACAGAACCTCCAAGGATACTCCGTCCGAGGCAGGATCTTATTACGTATAGCTCGTTCGGCTCTCCTTTCTTGACTTCGAGGGGGATGAAGACTTCATGAACGTTTCTACCAATGAGGACAGACAATTTGTTTCTCTCTACCTCAGAGAAGGGAACTTGACGTAGGTGTGGCCACAGGTCCCTTTTTGTACGTACTGCGAAGTGCTTGAGAGGAATGGTGAGTTCTTGCACAGCCCAAGCGTCGCGCACAGCAATGTCTCTGAAGCCCTGATCATCAACTGACGCAATCTAGAAGTCCACCTTTAGGCCTTGTTACCTTTCCTCTCTTTCATTCACAGTGGAAAGGAGAAGCTGGCTGGATTCACCTTATACTCCAATTTTTTTTTTACTAAGGAAGGGTCGATCATTGTCGCATCAGAGCCAGAATCAATTAGGCCGTAGGTAGTGACGGTTATTCCATTGTTTCCAATGTGATTGGCTTGGTGAGCGCCGTTCCTTTCAGGGATAGATAATGAAATATGTAATAAGGTGTGATGACGTTTTCCACCTTCTGGTTTCTGACAGCGCACGGAAAACTTGCATGATCTAGAAAAATATTCAACAGAGTTAATGCCGTCGAAGCAAATGCGATTCCTCTTTATAAACTCGTGTTTTACGTATACAGGTTTTGATTTGAAAGTCTCACATCGTTAGAGGGGATGTGACCGCATACACATCGGGCACTTTCCGGTTTTCTTGTCATTTTTAACTGCATTGCCATGTTCACTTTGATCCGTGGCTCCTTCCGTCGCCATGGAGGTGAACTTCGAAGCGGGTATCTTATAGTTCTGAGTCTTCATCTCAGATACAGGATTCGACAAGAACGGATGATTAGCCACATCTGCTCGATCGTTAAGAAAATTGACCACGTCCTTAAAGGTCGGCATAACGCGACCTTGGCGTTCGAGGTTCTTCATATGCTCGCAGAACTTCGTTTGGGCCCACTTTGGTAGCCTAAAATTAATCTTTTCAAGGTTGTCAGAGTTCATTTCACCCAAACAGTCCATAGATTCCAGGGTGTCATACATTACTTACGCTGTATCTGCGTAGCTTCTAAGGCCATGTCTGTCTTGAGGTGTTATGACAGGACCTTTGATGAGGGCGTCTACGCATGCTGGTACCACTTTAACGGGTTGTCCAAATCGATCTTAGAGAACTTGGAGAGCTTTTGTTGAGCCACCCGGAACGGACTCGTATTTCTGAACAGCTAACAACGCAGGTCCTTCAAGGAACTGCATCAGGCGGGCCATTTTCGTTGGCTCGTCTAGGGCCTTTGAATTCACCATCTGATGAAACCTTTAACGAAAACCGGATAGTTCTCAGACGAACCATCAAACTCGAGTACTTGCATGATTGGTGAACCACAATCGGCGTTCATTTTCTCTATAGTTGAGGCAATCATTGCGAGAAGCTTTTCACTTGTAGGCAAAGGGGCAGGTGGAGGACACTAAACATTGGCAAAGCCAGTTGAGGCTGCAGTACCCGTATAGTCCTGAACAGCGTTGTTAAACCTAGAAGCTGGGTAGTGTGAAGTTACCATGGGCTGGGAACTATAAACACTTCTTGTAATAGAGGGGTTCGCAATGTTAGATGCCCCTGAAGACATGGCAGGTCTGTCTAGGAATGAAGAAACGCGCGAAGTCGCGAGAGGAAATCTGGTAGGCGTAACTGGAATGGCGTCTGTAGAAGAAGACGTGGGAACTCGCACGGACCCAATTGGGCGAGTGTAAACATGCTTGGAGTCTACGAAAGGGAGAGACCATGAAGGGAAGTTGTCGGGCTGTGATGTCTCGAGTAGTAAGAGTCGAATTCGCGTGACCTCGAGTGTCAACGGTGGGAAACGTGTTAACTCGTGTGGGAAGTGACGGATCCCCGTAAGCTCGTTCGTGAGCTGCAGGAAACGTGCAAACTCGTCTAGGCGTGACTGGAAGCGTGGAGGCCTGCGTGAATACAGCCGGGACCACGAATGACGGGGTGACAGTGGTAATTTCAGGTGATGCAGGTGATGCCAACCCAGTGTTCGATAGGTCTCGAGATACTTGCCCGTTAAAATGTGTGGCTGCAGCGATAGTGAATTCCCTAATCCGTTGATCGAAGTGGTGCTTCCGTAATTCTTGAGGGGCGTACTGATCATTCACTTCGTGAATCTCCAGACTGTTTTCATCCACGAGACTTCGATAACGCGCGGTGCTTTCTTGATAATTGTTCCATGTCTTATCCAAACTAGCTTGAAGAGATTCTACACTCGCCAGATTCCCGTAATCGACGAGAAGAGGATCAATTTGCCGACAAGCTCACGTCATTGCTGAAACATATCCTGCCAGTGACTTTCGTAAGCCGAATAAAGCTTCTGGTAACGCTTCTTCTCGAAATGAACTCGCCATTTTCTTCCGAGAGCTTGAGCGGGTATTCGACGCTGTCCTTGGTTGTGCCATACTTTACTCCGTCATTTAGAATTTACAAATGTACAGGCAAGAGCCAATTCGAAGAAAACACAACACGATGCCTTAGCAAATGTTTTTACTATAACATTAGAAAAAAGTAAATTCCTACAAGAGCGAAAAAATAATAATTACATCACAGACAGACTACCTAAAGGCAACTACAAAACGAAATTAAAGAAAACGATGAAAATGAGGCCGCTTACCAAATGCTAAGGATAACTAGTGTTGGTGGTTGGAGACAACAAACTATAACCAAATTTACATACAGCACGTAACAAAGGAGCGTAATTTACAAAATACCGAAGAGCGAAAAGAAGAAAAAAAACAAAAGTACACGATGACAAGTAAGTGAGAAATGAAAATGAAGGGAAAAATTTGCCCCAACAGTCAGATCGTTTAACAAAAGAGTCAGTTCGTTCCAAAAAAGAGTCAGTTCGTCCCACATATCTAACTTAAGAATTTATTCATGCTTAGCGTGCGTATAACGAGTTATGGATGCACGCGGGAAGTTTGAAGAGCACGAAAAATACGTAAGAGTAGCTCGAGGTACAGCCGAGAGCAACTCTAGCTCTTCGAGTGCTCTCCAAACTTCCCAAGTGCATCCATAACTCGATATACGCACAGCTAAAAGCATAAGCAAATTCTTTTATAACAGAGCGACAACAAGGATCTGCGCGAAGAAGCCTTTTCTTGTGACAGAGTGCAATTGTGACTGTTTTGGTTTTGGTAAATTCCCAATTAACAACTGTGTACTTTATTCCCCAGGTTGAACAAATTTAAAAATCAACAATAAAAGCGGAAATTCTACCTTTAAAGTTACTAATGACCAATTGGTGACTTTTTTGTTCCCAGTGAATGTCTTTCGGCCAAAATTTGCTTACCAAAGTGTTTTCAGAACTATTTACATATCAACGAGAGCGCCGTATATTAATTTCAGTGTGCATTGCAGAACGATGTGAGAACTATTCACATAATAATAAGAGGTGGTGGGCGAATGAAAGCTAATATTTCCCTTGACATGTTGTTTTAGTTTCTAGACTCCACCGTCGAGGGACCATTTTTCTTTTAAAGAATCAACATTTGCCGTAGATTGAGAAGTCTAACTGAGCGAAAAGACGTTTCCTTCTAGTCATAGCTGGCGTTTGGACGTTTATTGGTTTTGCAGTAATGCCAAGAACGCGTTTTATTCTTTGGGGGAAGGATGGGGAGGAAAGGAGTGGAAGCCATTTTTTCACTCCAAAACTACGTATTAAAGTAAATGGTTTGAACCCAGGAGTATCAGTAGTTCGTGTAGTGTGATCGTCCGGGTGAGTGTAGTTCTGAAAAGAACTGTTGTTGGTGACTGACGTTTCGACTATCTGTGCGATAGTCATCTTCAGAGTCAAGTGAGGAGTAGTTGTCAGTCGATGATGTTATAAAGTCTGGTCTGTTGAACGTGATTGGTCTGTTTAGCCGTGATGTGATTGGCTGGAAGACTCGTGTAGAGTTTGTTAACAGTCATTGGTCGGTTTCGATCCGTCTGTTGTTTGTCGGTCTGTTTGTCGGTTCGTTCACGTCGTTAATGAGTCGTTTGTAAGGTGCTGGTAATTGTTGACATCTGTTGAGAGGCGTCTGTTCTAAGTTAGTGAACCAGCTTTCCAGAGTCAGTCGTTGAAAATAGTTTGTACTGTAGGTTAAGCATTTAGTAGAGTCCCAGTTGATTCTGTGATTAGTTTGTCGGTGATGTTCAGAAATGTGATTGTTTACATCGCCATTTCTAGTTGCTCGTTTGTGTTCAGTTAGTCGCGTGTTAAGGTTTCTACCAGTCTCACCAATGTAGGAGGCCTGGCAGTCGGAGCATTCGATCTTATAAATCGCTCCCTGTCTGTTGTTGGGTTCGTCTTTGTCTTTAACGTTGGTCAGCAAATGTCGTAAAGTAGTAATAGGCCTGTGAGCTACGCGAATGTTGTAAGGTTGTAGGATTCGCGCGATAGCCTCAGAAGTACCTTTGATGTAGGGTATAGTAGCTGTAGTCGTGATAGATGTGGAGTCCCTGTTAGTTTCTGTAGTGTCGGTCACCCTGTGAGTGTTTCGTCTAATGAAGTCAGTGTTGTAGTTGTTTTTGTTAAAAACACGGTCAAGGTACTTGTTTTCGTCAGATAAACTGTCCGGTGTGTTGCAAACAAGTTGCGCTCGTCTTGTCAATGTCTTGATAGTCGTAGCTTTGTTTCCCGTTGTACTGAAAGTAAGTCGATGTAAGGCAGAGGTTAAGTAGGTCCATAATGTCTTCTGTCGGTAATGGTAGTGCATCAGTAGACTGTTGGATGGCGGTTTCAGTACACTGTAGAGCCAATTGAAGTGGAATACTGGTGAACAGTGATTTCACATCAAAAGACACAAGTTTGTAGTCGTCAGGTATCTGTACGTCTTTGATAGCGTCAATAAAGTTCTCAGTTGATTGTAGTTTACGTCTCGATTTGTCAGTCAGTGGTTGCAGTATCGTCGTAAGGTATTTCGACAGTTGGTACGTCGGGGACCCACAGAATGAGACTATAGGTCGCATAGGTATCCCAGGTTTGTGTAGTTTCGGTAGTCCGTAAAGTTTAGGCGGTTGTGGTACAGAGCACCTCAGCCGGTAGTAGCGTTGAGTGTCAAAGGCTTTAGTCTTTTTGAGCGTAAGTAGTTTGTTGTTGAGTTTGCGTTGTAGTGCTGGCGTTGGGTCACGTTTAAGTAATTCGTAAGTTTGTTTGTCGTTAACAAGTGCGTCCATTTTGTCATAGTAGTCAGTCTTGTCCATAACAACAGTAACACGTCCTTTGTCGGCTGGTAGTATAACAATGTTCTTGTCGTTTTTCAGTCGTTTCAGTGCTTGTTGTTCGTCTTTGGTTAAGTTGCTGTCAGTTATAGAGGCTGATTGTATCGTGGAAGCAATTCTACTTCTGATGTTGTCCTTGGCAGGTTCTGATAAGTCTCGTTGACGAGAAAGAGCCGCCTCAACACTAGATGCAATGGACTCGGTCGGTATACGTTTAGGCGTCACTGAGTGTTTCAGTCCGTAAGATAGTATTTGAGTCTCAGTCTTGTCTAAGGGGCGGGAAGAGATGTTCCTGACCCAGTTGTCGTCGGTTCTTTGTCGTCTTTTGTCTTTGTTATGTTGAAGTCGCGTCAGTTTTTGTTGATGTTTGTCACGAGCTTGGTAACTCGTTTTGTCGGCTCTTCTGTCGGCAACACACCGGACAGTTTATCTGACGAAAACAAGTACAACAACGAACTACGAACAACAATATACAGAAAACCGACGCATACCGACAGACTTCTTGACGAATCATCCTACAACCCGACTTCCCACAAAGCTACGACTATCAAGACATTGACAAGACGAGCGCAACTTGTTTGCAACACACCGGACAGTTTATCTGACGAAAACAAGTACCTTGACCGTGTTTTTGACAAAAACAACTACAACACTGACTTCATTAGACGAAACACTCACAGGGTGACCGACACTACAGAAACTAACAGGGACTCCACATCTATCACGACTACAGCTACTATACCCTACATCAAAGGTACTTCTGAGGCTATCGCGCGAATCCTACAACCTTACAACATTCGCGTAGCTCACAGGCCTATTACTACTTTACGACATTTGCTGACCAACGTTAAAGACAAAGACGAACCCAACAACAGACAGGGAGCGATTTATAAGATCGAATGCTCCGACTGCCAGGCCTCCTACATTGGTGAGACTGGTAGAAACCTTAACACGCGACTAACTGAACACAAACGAGCAACTAGAAATGGCGATGTAAACAATCACATTTCTGAACATCACCGACAAACTAATCACAGAATCAACTGGGACTCTACTAAATGCTTAACCTACAGTACAAACTATTTTCAACGACTGACTCTGGAAAGCTGGTTCACTAACTTAGAACAGACGCCTCTCAACAGATGTCAACAATTACCAGCACCTTACAAACGACTCATTAACGACGTGAACGAACCGACAAACAGACCGACAAACAACAGACGGATCGAAACCGACCAATGACTGTTAACAAACTCTACACGAGTCTTCCAGCCAATCACATCACGGCTAAACAGACCAATCACGTTCAACAGACCAGACTTTATAACATCATCGACTGACAACTACTCCTCACTTGACTCTGAAGATGACTATCGCACAGATAGTCGAAACGTCAGTCACCAACAACAGTTCTTTTCAGAACTACACTCACCCGGACGATCACACTACACGAACTACTGATACTCCTGGGTTCAAACCATTTACTTTAATACGTAGTTTTGGAGTGAAAAAATGGCTTCCACTCCTTTCCTCCCCATCCTTCCCCCAAAGAATAAAACGCGTTCTTGGCATTACTGCAAAACCAATAAACGTCCAAACGCCAGCTATGACTAGAAGGAAACGTCTTTTCGCTCAGTTAGACTTCTCAATCTACGGCAAATGTTGATTCTTTAAAAGAAAAATGGTCCCTCGACGGTGGAGTCTAGAAACTAAAACAACATGTCAAGGGAAATATTAGCTTTCATTCGCCCACCACGTGATTCTACATACATACATGTATATACTTTATTTATGCTCGAAACTCACAGTGTAGCCGTAGAACTAATATCTTCGAGAAGATAAGCTAAAATGAAATGAAATATGCTATATTTTGATGATAACAGCTTTCTATTTTAAAGCATGATCATTATCGAATGAAGAACGAAAGTCACATCAAGTTCATAAGCAAATATTGGAAACTTCTACATTGTATTAATTATAATATAACTAAAAATAAAAAAAATGTTCATAAAGTGGACGCAATTAAGTGTACAGATGTTTAAATCGAAATCTTTTTGAAAGCAAATTATACCTAGATAACAGGCGGTGGGTATATGAAATCCCATTTCAACTTGTTTCGAAAATTAAATGCTTCGTTCGAATTGTGTAGATATTTAAATGACTTTCACAAGATTGTAGTTTTAAAATTTATCAGCTGTACGTCATAAGAACATCGTCACGTATTTCTTCCAACTCTGAAAAATTACTTAGCATTTAAAATTTAGAAGCTTAGCTATGCTTGGCCACAAGAATTTAGCTAGCCCCTCCTAAAATAATTGTCTTCAAAGATGTGGGTACACCCAAGAAGAAACACGAACCGTGCATTAACAAAAAGATCGAAACCGAAGATTCAGAAACCTAAACAATATTGTTACATGTACTATATTTCACAGCTCAGCCGACAATTTTGGGTAGCAGTGAAACAGGAAAAATCACAAGTGAAAGAGGTGAAATTATTTCGGAACGAAACAAAAATCTTTGACTTCCGAACCAAGCCTTAAAAGCTCCAGAGAAACTTACGTGCCACGCAACTAGAGGGAAATGCCACTAGTTGTCACGCTTCGAAAGAAATAAATTGAGGAGTGATAAACCAAAAATTACAGTGTACATCGAGCTTAAAGTGCTCTACATAAAAAAAGCTGTCTTCACCAGTTCAAACTTCACCTGGTGGCGGAAAATTTGCCTAACTTTCGTACCAGAATCGGAAGTTAGGGACGAAAGTAAAAAGTCCCACTCTCAATCAATGACGTAATGTCCGGGTCGAGCTGGTTAAATGTGACCGAGTTAACGAGTAAGGATCATTCTTCGCTACAGCTCGCGCACTTAGCTTCGCAACTGTAAAACATCCACAGATTTGCAATAGAACTCGGTGTTCTCATGGAGACCAAAGAGAGCGGGGAAAATGTAAGTTTAAATATTCAATTTAGATTTCAAATATTCTACGAAACCTTCGCTTCACCTTCGAAAGCACATCGTTGTGTGTTTATCCCCGATCATAATTGAATGGCAATGCGATCAGAATTCCGAAATACTTCGGCTCAGCGCTTATGATAGAGTCAAATAGAGTATGTCTTAAACCCGTTTCCACCATGAGCAACCGAACCACTTAATTTCGGTGAAAATCTACATTTTTCGTAAATTATTGGCTTTTAAGACATTTATACTTCTAGTAGATTGAAAATTGAAAGGCTCGTTTTGGATAATTACGCTCTTGCACATATGAAAACTGAAATTTCACATCCGAAAACAGTATTTTATAGTTGTCCTATATCGGCACTACTATACCTCATGGCATGGCCTGACGGACAAAATTTGCTCGACGTGCCTCTTGCTGTGGGGACCATCCCACCACATACTTAGAAAGCAGAGTAGGGGTGGGGTGGAATCTACGAAAGACTAGCTTACCATCGAGGGGAAGAGAAGGGGATGAGCTCAACCCAGATGGGTCACTAGGCTTCTAAACACCACTCCAAATCTCCCCCCCTCCCCTCCCCTCATCTGAATACCCCTCTAAACTCTTATCTGTTAAATCTACAGTTGTCCCTAAGCTATTTTCCTGCAATACCTTTGCCAAATGTATGCAGTTAATGATGTATTTACCCCATAGAAGAAAAATGTGAAAATCATTGACCACAGTGACAGAGAATGGAGCACTGCAGATCATCAGCTTTACTCTCGCAACGAAGACGGAGAGGTTCCAGGTCACTACATGTGGGTGAATGGCAAATCTGTTTTATCAAATGCAATCAGCGAGAACCAAAAAAGTAAGTCTATCAATAAATATTCTTAAAATCAAAACTACGGAAATAATGGAACCTACGCTACAATCAAAATAGTCGACACCTTGGAATAGCATCACAATCTTTGACCCTTTGTGCCTAAGGGGTGACTTTCATCTAATTTCTCACAACGAAATCATACCTGAATCACACACTACAGTTACAAGTAAAAGAAAAATTACTCTTTTCCAAAAAGACAAGTAAGTAGAATAGAAAGTTTCTTGGCTTGTCTGGACCAGTCAATATAACGTTAGTTTGGTCTACTAAACAAGTATCTTGTTTATCACTATGCTTTTCGACAGCTTATTTTAAGATCCACACTGTCGTGGAGCTTGACGAAAACAACAAACCTCATCAAGTTGTCATTTTAGAGCATAAAAGTGGAAGTGTTGTGGCCATAAACCAGGATGATGACACTGTCATTGCTAAGGTATGATGGCAGAAAATTGCTTGTTAATAGTTGCATGTCAGGGCTAAATCAAAAATCAAATGTGTCCTTGTCTTGGACATTTTTTAATGGACTTATTGAATGAGCTAGAATCTTACTCACTCACCCAGAAACTCAACGAAAAAAACTGGACAGATATTTCTATATGTCCCATTCTGAAGTTACTGTGCCATCATCAACCATAATGTGATAGAAATCTTGAGCTCATAATATAATTGCTTACGATAGCCGAGGATAATCTTTAGACAGAGACTGTCCGCTTAGTGGAGACTCTACATGAAAACAGGGCGTGAAATTGCGCCTAATACAGGCGCCAATGCGATTAGATTTTTCACCCTGGCGACCAAATCCTGAAAATTAGTCACCAAATTGGCGACTAGAACGCTTTATCATAACCTTGCCTAGATATATAGAGAATTAAAAGACTTGCAAAGATAAATCCGCGGCAAACTTCCTCGTTAAGTTTGTTTCCAAAACGAAGCACATGCATTTTGATCGATAACTAGACGTCATCTTGGATTTTGGTGAGCTTGAACGTTGTATATCATCCATCCTAGTGTCCACTTCGTAACGTGTTGAAGATGTTTTTTCTTACTTAATTTTGGAGTGTCTATCTAGAACACTGACAGCGTAAAAAAAGGTTTTGTTTGTTTTTAAAAACAGCGACCAACGTTTTTTGAATTGGCTACCACTTTGAAAAATTTAGGAGCCAAGTGGCTATCAGAAAAAAAAATTAATTTCATGCCCTGGAAAACCAGGGGATATTAACCTTTACACCCCAACATCTGTATGCATATTCTCCATACTATTCTTTATACATTTCAAAAGGTGCTTACAAGGAGGATTTGTTTAATGATCAAGAGCATCTTGACATTGTTATCATTCCTTTATTCATATGACCTTACTTCTTCATTCAGGGGGGATATTGTAAGGAGAAATTACATGCTCATCGTTCTTAGGAGTTGAGAGTTAACAAGGGGTCCTGATGACTTTGGAATACTCATATTATACTTCAGTCACATCCAGGTGTTTAGATGTAGGAATTTTTAAGGAAGGGCCCAGGGGGAGGGGGTGGGGAGAGTGCAAACAACTGTACTCTATTTGAATTTAGCTTTAATATGCCTGATTGTTATATTGCATATTACAAAATTATTTATTTTTGAATATCACAGACAGAGTACTTTACTGAAAAGGAATGTTCTGGGTGATATGACATGCACATTGACAACTCAGTCAAAGTCTGATGATGACCTTCTGTGCAAAAGCTAACCCCTTTAACTCTCAAGATCTGATTTTTAACTCTCCTATCTAGCTGCTACACATTTTCTTGTAAATCATTTATGAGAATTTGGTGTGATGACAACTTCTACCTGATAAGTTTGAGTCTTCTCATTATCTGTTTACTGGATAGTGTATGAACATGATTGAGAGAAGTTGCACATTGATCACTTCTGAGAGTTAAAGGGTGAACAATGATCTCCAATGAGACTGTCACAACATCAGCCACTGTCACCAACAGCAGTCATTTCCCCAGCTACTCTTACTCAGAGTCTGACTGCTCTTTTCAACAGGAACTTCCTAAACCTCCAAGCCAAAGTGACACCCTTAGAGAAGTTAAAAGAGACAGTCCTGAGGTGTTGTTTTACAAAGTGGCTAAGGACCCTGGCAGTGAGCTGTATTACTTCAAGTCCTACCTCAAAGATAAGCAACGCATCCTTGGCTTTGATCAGGAAGGAAATCCAATGAACACCTCCCAAGTACAACCCAAGCAGCAGGAAAGTCTGTTTTCTGTAATGTAAAATCTCTTGCAAATGCAAAATTAAAGTTCTAGTTTACAGTTGAAGTAAAAGATATTTTCCAAACAATAAATTCTGGTAAGGAAAATTTTTCACTTAGGTTTAGCTAAGATGCCATATGCAGTGTAAGTTTGACAACAAAGTTCATGAAGTTTAGCATGATAAGACATTTGTTTACTGTCTGTTTTAGGATGAAATAGCAATCAAAATGTAATTTTATACATGTTGGAAAAATATTTTCATAAAATATGAATGAAATCCACAGTTTTGATAACTTTATTTTCATAATGAATATCACTTTAATGCTCAAGTAATTTCAAATTGCTTAATTACAGATGAATTTTTAAGAAAAGTACCGCATTTAAGCTGATGGTGAATTTAGATTCATAATGAATTTGATACGTGTCATATCCTCTTAAAAGTTTCATAATATTTCACTAGCATTTCTAGGAGATATTTCATTTTTCTACTGATTTTCCCAGGTAAAAGGTAATGGGACTATTTTAAAAATAGAAAAAAAATCTCTTTTCAGTTTCTTTAAGACCTGCATGAAGCAAAATGGTTGTGAACATGTTGCTAACAATCTTAAATAAATATTTCTTTGAAAATTAATTTGTGATTTGTTTTATATTGTCATCAATCGAATTAAACATTGTAGGGCAGACAGACAATAAGGAGAAGTACTTAATGAGATCTTAGGAGTGAAAGGGTTAATTACGCACTGTCAAGTGTTTAAATTTAATACGGTAAATACTAGCTTATGTACGATTGTGCGACATTTGTAAAGATGCAGCTGGTCTATATATTTGCATAGCGCTGGTTCAGTTTGCATTTTGTCCACGTTAAGTCTATTTCTTACTCGGCAATCAGCATTTGCGATGGGAAAAACTGCTTTAATAAAACACAATTGCATCGCAAAATAATAATTATGAACTGGAAACAAATGGCCATCAATTTTACTCCGGATGGGATTGAGATGCAAAGAATTTAGTTTGTACAACACGTGGCCTACTTAAAATTAATCTTTGGCTAACTACTAACTAGGAAGTGTACCTCGTGATCTCTCTATACCGTGACATTTCTGTAAGGACGAAAAGTGCTTGACACATGGCTTTTTTTCCTGTTCAATTCGCCCACAAATGGCGTCTCGCAGTGTTTTGACTGTTTTGGAAAAATCATACGGGTAACGTGAGGCCTGGGTATGAGCATCTAAAGTAGGCTCGCAATGTGTGTCAAAGCACTTCAACATTTGAACTAGTCACTACTTCGATTTCACACAGCTTACCAGGGCGTGAATTTTTTTTTTCTCATAGCCCCTTGGCTCCTAAATTCTTCAAAGTGGCAGCCAATTCAAAAAAAGTTGTCGGAAAAATTTCAACACTGCCTTATACTTAATTATGCATGCATGTCTTATTGGTGATACACCTAATAATAAAGCCCCAATATATGGATGCATAATGAAGTTGGGGCTGTGCATAAATTTTGCCAAGATCTTTAACGTACTACAAAGTGGACACTAGGATGGATGATATGCAACGTTCAAGCTCACCTAAATCCAAAATGACGTCTAGTTATCGATCGAGATGCATGTGCTGCGTTTTGGAAACAAACTTAACGAGGAAGTTTGCCGCGGATTTATCTTTTTATTCATTATATCTCTAGGTAAGGTTACGATGAAACATTCTAGTCGCCAATTTGGCGACTAATTTTCAGGATTTGGCCACCAAAGTGACAAATTTAGTGCAGTGGCGCCTGTATTAGTGGAAATTTCACGCCTTGCTTACTTTATGTAATCACACACCAGATGTAAATTATAAGCAATATCTAAATTCAATCTCTATCGTGATATTTTTGGCTATTGAGAAATTGGTTGCTCAGATACTGATATTGATCCGAAAAATGCTAATAAGAACTTTAAAAGAAGTTGTTATAAGCATCCCATGCAGGGGGGTAGTGAGGAAACCTTACTAACTGGGAAAAAATGTGTAAAATCATTTCCAATCCAAAAAGACAATTATTTGGCAAACCCCCACATTTCTATTTCTAATCTTCCTACCCAACGGAACAGGGCATATCATCTCAAAGAAATTCCCTCATAAATGACACCACAAAAGAGATTTTGCAGATTTTTAAATAAGGCATTTTATTGCAAGAGTTCATCACTGAAAATGCACTTAATTTTGCTAAAAAGAAGTATAACTTTAACAACTGTTTTAAATTGACTCATCTTCAGTGGGAGGAGAGGTTCAAAATCAAAGAGATTCAGAGGTTTCAACTACTTTGTCCATAGGAGGCAGCTAATGTTGCAATAGGTGGCTCTGCCTGGAAAGGGGCTGTAAGGCAAATCCCACATTAGAAACTATTCTCAGGCTAAACAGAAAGTTGTAAGACCTCTTATAGGTGGCAGATGAATGCCATTTTCTGACTTTTATTGAAACTCCTGCAGATTGAAATGAATTTCAAACAAGAACTCCTAAAAGCAGCATTCTTGAATCCTTGTTTTTTTGGCTTTCACTGTACCTATTATTGCAGGAGAAAACAATAAACAAGTCATAATTTTACTGTTCCTAAAAATAATTTATCTTCTGACTTGCATCCTTCACTGAGCCTGACATGAAAAAAAGTATCCATCATGACGTCCTCTCTATTTTTTTGATCTGAATCTAAACAAATTTACCAAGGAAACTATAGCATCAAAATAAAATTCAAGGATTGAAAAGTCAGGACAGTAAACTGTAAATAATAAATCTACTCAAAATAAAGGGCAAAAGAATCTCATCAAATTGCCTCGCAAAATTGCTAGGAAATAGGAATTATTTTAAAAAGAGTGTTTTACAATTGAATGGAAATGGGAAAGGGAAATTATGAGTCAAATTGGATGCTTGGGCTACAACTTGAAATATTTCAATTACTGCTCTTTACTCATTCAATGTAGCTATGTTACAATCTTGGTTTCAATTAAGGTAACAATATTAATCAAAGTTGTAGGCTTCCAAAAACCTCCTTCAAAGAACAACTTTGATGTAATCTCACTTAAATAAGAACATTACTCAGTAGTCTTAGAGTGTGAACATTGAATCCTGCTAGATTTGGAAAACACTAAAAATATTTCTTCTTCTGAGCCTGGTTGTGTTTTTTTGATGACCTCCTCAACTCTCTTCGTAAATTCTTCTGTAGCAACACTCTGTGATGTCTTTGTTGTTCTCTCTGGTCGTTCTCTTTGCTTGTTCTATTTAGTTCCTGAAACATAATCATGAACCTGTGAGTCCCTAACTCTCATTTCCATATTCTCCCAACTGTTCCTATACATTTCCTATGGTAATGACAAGGAGAATGTCTCATAATCATGATCTTCTTAAGATGGTGATCATTTTCTTTAATCTCCTGACTTGAGCTTTTGAGTCAGCAGTGATGCTGTGAGGAGAAATTACATGCTAATCACTCTTGGGGGTTAAAGGGTGAAGCAATTTCATTCAATGACATTAAGACATTTAACAGGTATAATAATTTAATGTTAGGTCATTTGAAGAGGAAACCACTGATGACTTAAAAAATTCTCATAACCTGTTTGCCAGAAAATAGATTGAAAATGTGGGGAGAAGTAACATTTTCATAACCTAAGTAACACCAGCTGTTCTCCCCTGGCCCTTTACAAGCTAAAATGAGAACTTGACAAAGTTTCTCATTTTTGTCAAGCGCCATGACAGTGTGGATCTCAAAAGAAGCTGTTGAAAAGCATAGTACTGTAATAAACAAGACACTTGCTAGTAAACCAGACTAATATTATATTGACTGGTCCAGACAGGGACCAGTCAAACTTTCTTTTGTACTTACTTGTCATTTAGGACAAGAGTAATGTTTTGTTTCACCTGTGACATTAGTGTGTGATTTTGTAGTAAGAAATTAGATGTGTCACTCCTTGGCGTTAAAGGGTTAAGTTTGTGATGCTATTCCTGGGTGTTGACTACTTTGATTGTAGCGTGAGTAACATCATATATTGTTTTGTAGCTGAAAAAAGCCCATCTTACACTTAAAATGGGAAGGCATATTTGAGGCCTCATTGGAGGTCATTGTTTTTAACCCTTTAACTCCCAGAAATGACCAGTATGCAACTTCTTCCTATCATGTTCCTATCATTGGACCATCCCAAGGGAAAGATGCTTACAACATTGGGAGCAAGATCATTCTCAGCAGCAGCTCTGAAACTCTGGAATGAGCTACCTGTGGAGCTTCGTCAAGCAACATCAGTTAACAGTTTTAAATCTCGACTTAAAACCTATCTTTTTAAGAAGTATTTTTTATAGTTTGTAACTTAGTTTATTTTATTCTCACGGTAATGTATTTTCGTTTTCTTTTAAACATATGATTGTAAAGCGCTATTGATCAGCACATGTAAATACGCGCTATATAAATTGGTAAATTATTATTATTATTATGTTGATAAGGTAACTAGAAGACTCAAACCTATCAGTTAGAAGTTTTCATCTTAATTTCACACCAAATTCTCATAACTGGTTTACAAAAAAATGTGTAGCAGCTAGATAGGAGAGTTAACAATCAGATCTTGAGAGTTAAGGAGTTAGCTTTTACTCAGAAGGTCATCATCAGACTCTGACTGAGTTGTCAATGTGCATGTCATATTACCCAGAACATTCCTTTTCAGTAAAGTACTCTGTCTGTGATATTCAAAAATAAATAATTTGTATTATATTTGTAATATGCATTATGATAATCTGGAATAATAATCCTAAATTCAAATAGAGCACAGTTGTTTACACTCTCCCCACCCCCTTCCCCCTAGGCTCTTCTTTAAAAATTCCTACATCTAAACCACTGGATGTGACTGAAGTATAATGTTAGCATATAATATGAGCATTCCAAAGTTACTAGGACCCCCTGTCAACTCCTAAGAGTGATAAGCATCTAATTTCTCCTTACATTATCCCCCCTGAATGAAGAAGTAAGGTCATAAGAATAAAGGAATGATAACAATGTCAAGATGCTCTTGATCATTAAACAATTTCTCCTTGTAACTACCTTTTGAAATGTATAGAGAACAGTATGGAGAATATGCATACAGATGTTAAGGTGTAAAGGGTCAATACCCCCCGGTTTTCATGTAGAGTCTCCACTCAACGTACAGTCTATGTCTGAAGATTATCCTTGGCTATCATTTAGCAATTACATGATTAGCTCATGATTTCTATCATGTTATGGTTGATGATGGCACAGCAAATTCAGAATGGGACATATAGAAATATCTGTTCAGTTTTCTGCGTTGAGTTTCTGGGTGGGGGAGTAAGATCCTTGCTCATTCATTCAATAAGTCCATAAAAAAAGTGTCCAAGACAAGGACACATTTGATTTTTGATGTTTGATTTAGCCCTGACATGCAACTATTAACAGGCAATTTTCTGCCATCATACCTCGTTTATGTCCAGAACACTACCACTTTCATGTTCTGAAATGACAACTTGATGATCCTGCTCCACAGCAGGGGGGATCTCAAAATGAGCTGTTGAAAAGTATAGTGATATACAAGACACTTGTTTAGTAAACCACATTAATATTATATTGACAGGTCAAGACAAGGCAAGAAACTTTCTTTTCTACTTGTATTTTCGTGCAATGTTTCCTCTTCTTGTGACCATAGTGTGGGATTTAGATAAAGTTCTGTAGTGAGAAATTAGATGAAAGTCACCCCTTAGGATCAAAGGGTTAAGGATTGTGATGCTATTCCAAGGTGTTGACTATTTTGATTGTACTATAGGTGCCATTATTTCTGTAGTTTTAATTGTAAGAATATTATTGATAGACCTACTTTTTTGGTTCTCACCGGTTGCATTTGGTAAAACAGATCTGCCATTCACCCACATCGACTACAAAAGGCAGAAACTCTTGGTCGATGGCAAAGTATTAGAGACGGTAGAGTCGGCTAGGATCCTAGGCATGACTATTTCGTGTAACCTTAAGTGGAATAACCACGTCAATGATGTTATAAAAAGAGCAAACAAACGATTATACTTTTTAGTCCTCCTAAAGAGAGCCCGCGTTCCAGCGGATGACATAATTAATTTTTATTGTACAACTATACGTCCTGTTCTGGAATACTGCGCACAAATATTCCATCATGCGTTACCTGCGTATCTTGATACCACTGAAAGGGTCCAAAGACGCACATTATCCATCATTTCACCAGAACTGTCATACCATGACTCTTTAGACAGGCACGGTTTAGCTTCGCTCTATGACAGACGCATGAAATTATTTACGGATCTGTTTTTGTCTGTGCACTGACCGTTTTAAATTTTCATTTATCCCGGCTATGTGCACATGTGCTAACCTAGATTTTTAGCTATTCCACTTCTGTATATTAGCTATATTAGTTATATAAGTAATTTTATTTAGGTCTTAGCATTTTTGTAATAGGTAGTCTTATATAGTCTTATATAATCAATGATTGTGAAAAGCACGCAATTCAGCCTATGGCTGCAATGTATTTTATTTGATAATAAACTATCTATCTATCTATCTATCTATCTATCTATCTATCTACATGTCGTCTCTCAGACTTGCCTCAATGAAAACTAAAGTCAGACCACGTGCAAATTCTCTGCACATTTTGAGACTGTGCTTAAAGATTTCGCCATTTGTCTGCTATAGGGTAAATACATCATTAATTGCATACATTTCCATTTGGCAAAGGTATTGCAGGAAAATAGCTCAGAGAAGTCTGGAGATTTAACAGATAAGAGTTTAGCGGGGTACTAAGATGAGGGGAGGGGAGTGTGGGGGGGGGGAGAGATTTGAAGTCAAAGGGTGTTTAAAAGCCAAGTGACCCATCTGGGTTGAGCTCATCCCCTTCTTTTCCCTAGATGGTATACTTGTCTTTCGTAGATTCCCCCCCCACCCCGCCCCTATTCTGCCTCCTTAGTATGTGGTGGGATGGTCTTCACAGGAAGAGGCACGCTGAGCAAATTTTGTCCATCAGATCATGCTATGAGGTACAGTGGTGCCGATATACGACAACTATTAAACACTGTTTTCGGATTTGAAATCCCATTTTCATTTGTGCAAGAGCGTAATTGTCCAAAACGAGCCTTTCAATTTCCAATCTACTAGAAGTGTAAATGTCTTAAAAGCCAATAATTTACGAAAAATGTAGATTTTCACCGGAATTAAGTGGTTCAGTTTCTTGTGTTGGAAACGGGTTTAAAACATACTCGATTTGACTCTATCATAAGCGCACAGCCGAAGTATTTCACAAGTCTGCATGATCGCAATGCCATTCAGTTGTGCTCGGGGATAAGTACACAACAATGCGCTTTCGAAGGTGAAGCGAATTAAGGTTTCGTTGAATATTTGAAATCTAAATTGAATATTTGAACTTACATTTCCCCCACTCTCTCTGGTATCCATGAGAACAACGAGTTCTATTGCAAATCTGTGGATGTTTTACGGTTGCGAAGCTAAGTGCACGAGCTGTAGCGAAGAGTGATTCCTGACTCGTTAACTCGGTCACATTTAACCAGCTCGACCCGGACATTGCTTCATTGATTGAGAGTGGGACTTTTTACTTTCGTCCCTAACTTCCGACTCTGGTACGAAAGCCAAGCAAATTTCCGCCACCAGGTGAAGTTTGAATCGGTGAAGACAGCTTTTTTTTTATGTAAAGCACTTTAGGTCCGATGTACATAGTATTTTCTGGTTTATCAATAAAGGGCAAAATTACTGAGCGCTGATTGGTTGAGAGAGAGGGCATTTTTTTCTTAATCGAGGGCATTTTTAGTAATCAAGAGAGGGCATGATTACCTTGTTCGGTTAAAAGCACTTTGTTGTTTTTCTGTTGGCAGAAACGCTCTGTTGAAATGAGCTTTGTTTTCTAGACTTTTGGCAGTGTATCACGACACAGTTTTGGAGAATAAAATTTCATTGAATCGATTGGTCAGTTCAATTATAGACTGCGCGCGTGATTTTCCTTCGTATAAATTTTGCCCTTTATTGATAAACAAGTAATTGAGACCTCGTACTATTAGGATTAATAGTTTTCACTTTAGGTCCGATGTATTTTGAAAATCGTATTTTTTTCTGGTTTATCTTATCACTCTTCAATTTATTTCTTTAGAAGCGTGACAACAAGAGGTATTTCCTTCGAGTTGCGTGACACGAAAGTTTCTGTGGGGCACGTAAAGCTTGGTTCAGAAGTCAAAGATTTTTGTTCTGATGGTTTTGATAAGCGTGTATTGTTTCAACTTAACAGGGAAGCTTGTTCTGCAATAATTCCACCACTTTCACTTCTTGTGATTTTCCCTGTTTACTGCTACCAAAATAGCCGTGAAATATAGCACATGTAACAATATTGTTTAGGTCTCTGAATCTTCGGTTTCGATCTTTTTGATAATACACGGTTCGTGTTTCTAAGCTAAGTGCCAATGCTCATGTCTATACAAAAGTTCACTTAGTTTCTTATTTTCTTTTTCCTGAGTTTACCCACACCTTCGAAGACAATTATTTTAGGAGGGGTTCGCTAAATTCTTGTGGCCAAGCATAGCTCAGCTTCTAAACTTTAAACGCTAGGTATTTTTAGAAATGGTACAAGGAAAATTGTTGTTAAGGTTTTTCCTTTAGTTTGATGGCGGATCGATAGTTATGTCTTTCAGAATTTGAAGAACATGTGTGATGATGTTTGAACTATAAACTTGTGAAAGTCATTTAAATATCTAAACAATTCGAATGAAGCATTTAATTTTTGAAACATGTTGAAATGGGATTTCATATGCCGACCGCCTGTTTTTTCGGTGTAGTTTGAATACAAAAAAATTCGATTTAAACAACTATACACTTGTGTCAACTATATGAACCATTGTTATTTTCAGAAATATTATAACTAACACACCATACAAGTTCCCTGCGACATTTGCCTATGAAGTTGATGTGACTTTCGTTCTTGGCGCGATAATGCTCGTGCTTTGAAATAAAATTGTGAATAATTCTTGGGCGCGCCTAAATATTGAATTTCTCTTCGAATGTTCAACTCGATAGCTCACGAGTTAGCGCAGCGAACGAGTGAGATGTCGAGTTGTACATGAGTAGAGAAATTCCATTTCTACAAGAAACCATGTATTATTTTGTTTATCATGTAAACGTAATAGCCCTTTACTGGGAAGAAAAGCCGACCTCGTTAATGAATGAAAATAAATGAATCGACAATCCTCGAATAACAATCGTAGAGTGCGTTAGCACTGACTCTCCAGATGGAAAAATGCGTTGAATACATGATTACAAAAACAACAATGGTCATAATTTTCAATTTACAAAATTCTCATTTATTGACTTTGTCCTTACCGACAGAGTAACTTGCAGTCTTTCAGGTAAACGGCCAAAATCGGCCAGTGGCAAATCTTCCAGTTGTCGATCTTCATTCTCAGCCGAGAGAAATGCTAATACCAAAGCCACTGAATACGCAACTTTCGGTTTTTCTTTTCGTATATTGGTTTTCTTCCCCTTCTAGTTTGTTTGAACCTCATTGTCTGTCAGCGATACGGATTTTTTAATGTTTTGGCCGCCATAATTCGAGAAAGCTCCAACAGACAACTTGTATTGAGAATCGCCTCGTGTGCCACTTTTTTGTTCTTACCACATTTTGACGTCATCTGTGATCTATTACTGAACAGACGCACGGCAACTTGGAATCTGTTTGTTAAGTATATATACTAGAAAAAAAGTCAAATAAGGAATAAATAACAATCATTAAAACTGAGATGGAGCGCATGAATGAGGAATTAAAAATTCAGTCATATCTTGATCATAAGAGGTCCCTTGCACCCTACTTATCATTGATGAAATGATAACTGCCTGACGTACTGATAACGGTAATTAATTCCACATATCCACAATCCTATTAAGAAAACTGCTTTTAAAAGTACCACATCCTTTTCATGTGATTTAAACGCTGGAGTGATGTTAGCCTTTATCAACAAAGAGGGAACTCTGTTAGTTCTAAAAGACAGGCTAAATAATAAAATCAATGAACATGATAACTCCTCTGCACACTCCTTAACCCTTTAACTCCCAGATCAAATTATTATTTCTCCTTACTGTCAACCATACCATTCTCATATGGTTCAGAGAATTTTGCACCAAATCAACTAATTATCCCTAAATTGAAATTTTTCTTCATTCTCATCACTGATCTGGTTGGTATTGTATTGATACTGTAAGGAGAAATTCTGTCTTGGTCACTCATGGGAGTTCAAGGATTAAGAATCCTTACAGGTATACCATTCACTCCAGTAGGAGGATTTAGTTCAACGTTTGAATGAGTCATTACTTTTCATACATTTTTACTTTACGTATTCACCTACCAGATGCAAATTATAGGCAATATCTAATTCAATCACCATCATAAAATTTTTTGGCCATTCAAAAAGGTCTATTGGAACTTTAAAAGAAGAGTTGTTATAAGCATCCCCATGCAAGGGGGTAGTTAGGAAACCTGGAGAAACACCAGCAAGATGGGCCTCTTGACTTAAGTAGAGACTTCACCTTTACCTTGGTTTTTAATCAGAACCAGTAAGGTGTTAGGAAAATATAATAAATCCAAATCACCTTCATTTAAGCCCCTCAAAGGAAAAAAAAATCATTTCCAATCTGAAAAGACAACTATTTGACAAACCCCCATGTTTCTATTTCTAATCTGCCTATTCCATAGAACAGGGCACATCTCACAGAAATTCATTCATAAATAACACCACAAAATAGATTTTGTAGATTTTTAAACAAGGCATTTTATTACGAGAGTTCATTACTCAAAATGCACTTCATTTTGTTAAAAAAAAGCATAACTTTAAGAATTGTTTTAAATTGACTCATCTAAACCAGGACGAGGGGTTCAAAATCAAAAAGATTCAGAGGTTTCAATACCTTTGTCCATAAGAGGCAGCTGATGTTGCAATAGGTGGCTCTGCCTGGAAAGGGGCTGGAAGAATGGTGATGGAAGAATGCCACTTTCTGGCTTTTTTTGAAACTCCTGCAGATTGTAATGAATTTCAAACAAGCACTCCTAAAAGCAGTTTTCTTGAATCCTTGAATTCTCCACAGGATGTTAATAATTTCAACCTAAAGTGCATGAAAGTTTTTTTTTGGCTTTCACTGTACCCATTATTGTGGGAGAAAACAGTAAACAGGTTATAATTTCACTGTTCCTAAACATAAATTTTCTTCTGACTTGCATCCTTCACTGAGCTTCAAATATACCTTCCCATTTTAAGTGTAAGATGGGCTTTTTTTCAGTTACAAAACACTTCATGAAAAAAATATCTAAAGTAATGTCCTCCCTATGTTTTTGATTTGTAACTAAACAAATTTAACAAGGAAACTACAACATCAAAATAAAATTCAGGATCTAACAGTAAGGACAATAAACTTTTAACAGTAAATGTACTTAAAATAAAGTCTAAAAAAACTGTAAGGAAAAGAGGAATTATTTTAAAAAGAATGTTTTACAAATAGATGGAATGAGAAATTCTGAGTCAAATTGGATGCTTAGGCTACAACTTGAAAAATTTCAATTACTGCTCTTTACTCATTCAATGAAGCTATGTTACAATCTTGTTTACAAACAATATTTATCAAAGTTGTAGGCTGCCAAAACCTCCCGCAAATTAAAACTTTGATGCAATCTCACTTAAAATAAGAACATTACTCAGTAGTCTTAGTAGGTGAACGTTGAATCCTGCTAGATTTAGAAAACATTATCATGAACATTTCTTCGTCTGAGCCTGGTTGTGTTTTTTTGATAATCTCCTCAACTCTTTTGGCAAATTCTGTGTCTTCTCTAACAACACTCTGTGACGTCTTTGTTGTTTTCTTTGGTTGCCATGGTCTCGTGAGGTTTCTGAAAAAATCATTATTAACCTGTGAGTCCTTAACATCAGTTTGCATATTCTCCATACCGTTCTAATACATTTCCTATGGTACTGAAAAGGAGAATTTGTCTCATAATCATGATCTTCTTAAGGTGGTGATCATTTCTTTTATTCTCATGACTTGAGTTTTTGATTCAGCGGTGATGCTGTGAGGAGAAAATAGATGCTAGTCACCCTTAGGAGTTGAAAGGATGAAGCAGTTCCATTCAATGAGATTAAGTTATTTAACAATTATAATAACTTGATGTTAGATCATTTGAAGAGGATACCAAATTGGAGATAAAAACTCTAAGCTGATGACTTAAAAAAATTCTCATAACTTATTTAAGAGATCCTCGCAGCTAAGAACACTACTGAAATAGTAGTTTAAAATAGGACCTGAAAAAATTCAGGCCCGTACAAGATTTTTTTCAGGTCCTATTTTCAACTACTAGTTCAGTGGTGTTCTTAGCTGCAAGGATCTCTTAAATTTGTTTCATTACCACAGTGCAAATATATGAATTTCATATATCTAAAATCATTATTCTCATAACTTGTTGCTGGAAAATAGATGGAAGACATTGGGGAGAGGTAACATTATCATCACCTGGGTAACACCAGCTGTTCTCCCCTAGCTCTGCGAACTTGAGGGCTTGCTGGAGTGCTGCTACCAGATCTGATAATGGTATCTTTTCTCGGTTTCTTCTCCATTTGGTTAGAGTCAGTCGATGAGTTCACTACAGAACTGTTTGCATCTTCACTTCTCTTGCGCTTCACTGAGCCTGATCTTGAAAAGCTTGTCAACAGACTGTGACTGGATGATAAGGGTGTGCTGCATACAGCAGTGGGCTCTAAAGCGAGAAAAAACAGAGCATTCAGGATAAGCAAAGAAACTTACCAAGTTTAATGAAAAATCTACATTGTACAGGTAAGCATGTCACTTTTGGACTGCTATTTCATAGTTAAGTATGGTTCACGAAGTGTCACATAACCATCTTGATACTAAGGGAAAAAAAAAACATTATTTTCTAATCAATCAACAATACTGTGAAATAAGAAAATAATTATTATAATTTAATTTAACTGATTTATACAAATAAAGCTTTGTCCGTCTATTCCCAAGGTAAAAAGAGTAACATCTGTACTCCAGCTAAGTCAGACCCATTCAGTTAGCGCTTATTCTGGTTTCTGTTGTATGAAGCAACAAAGAGTATTATTACTCTTCCCTGGATGGGATGCCAATCCACTGAAAGGTTACCCCCCTGCATTTCACTAGGCTTTCCTTACGATTAGCTGCGATGCATTGAAACTCCTGGGGGGAGTCAAGCAAGAACATGCCAAAAAAGAACAAGGATCCATAGTTAACCTTTTCACTCCCTGAAATGTCCTCAGAGGAATTTCTCCTTAAAAAATATCACTTTTTTTTCCAAACAGAAAGTTGATAAGAAGAGGAGAAATATCAGATATCTGGAGTATAACTGGTTGGAGAAAAGCTACAAGGAAACCAGGAAAAAGTGTCTCAGGGTTACATACAATGGACAAGTATCCAATGATTGACTAAGAGGAGCAGAATACTTCTCTAAGCAGAGTTCTCATTAAAAGACAGAGCTGGTGTATATACCAGCACCTAGATATTCAAGAGTCAGTACCTGCCTCCTTCATGTACGACATTAAAGAATTCATATTTAGTTTTTTAATTTTTTTTTGTGCCAGGCTTCTCCCAATTACAGATACCTGAGATTTTTAAAACGTAACAAGCCCCATGCAGAATCCAGGAATAAACAGGAATATTTATCAGACACTCTGAGTTGGCCATTACAACTTAAAGTAACTGAATGCTTGGGAGGACAAGAAATGGTGACAACCTTACCAGCATCATCAGGTTCTTGTGGCACAGCAGAAGAATGCACAACTCTTGAGCTACCTTTGCATCTTAATGCTACTTCATTGTCCCTGACACAGCTTCCACAGATATAGTTGTCATCACAGTCTTTGGGCGTCATCAATCCACATGGCTCCAAAATAAAAGGGACTCTTTTACCAAAACTATTGGAAATCATAGCCTTCCCTCCAGAAAGACAAATCTTCTTCCACATTGCCTTGTTTTCCTGTTTAAAAAGGCCCTCAACAACACACCATTTGGTACAAGTATCCAATTTAGCTTTCTTTGTGTCACTGTTTTGACCTGTAAAGGTTATAAATCAATGTAATAACTTAGCTATCTGTTACTTAATGAAATTTGCAGACTAAATTCAGTTTTCTGAGAATGCTTCATATTCCTTTTTTCCATGCTGATGTCAATTGTTCAAGCACATTGAAGCTTGACAGAGGGAATCTCTCTAAAGTATGTGCCACATTAACAGTGTTTAAAAATGTTACAATGTAATTGGTTCACTTGGCAGCTGTAAGCCTATATGAAGCACTTAAGAAGCTGCAGTTGCCCTGAGCTAAGCTGTCAGCAACCCTTGCAATATGCATCTTTTGTGTTTTAAACTTCCCACATACTTCATATTTCAATGAATGCACATTGACACATGGGCTAATTTTTTGATGATGGATAGAACTATCTTTGTTTATCAAGTGTTTGCAAGCCATTGATAAGCTAAGTTGTCTATGCTGTAGGCACTAGTTACTACTTCCTCTTAAATCTTTTAGTGATACAGGTAAGACAGTTGTGTTTTCAACCCTCTGCTGCGTAACATCAGTATAAAGGAGTAAGTTTCTAAAGAAACTGTGGTGCTGCATCAGTGGGAGAGTATAGCAGGTAATTTAGTGTTAACATCTGAGTTGAAAATGTAAATTAGCCACTGTAAAGGGTAAAAAAGCTGATGTTTTGAGCGTTAACCCAATGGCTCTGACGAAGGGCTAACGCTCGAAACATCAGCTTTTTAACCCTTTACGGAGGCTAATTAACGTTTACAACTCAGTTGTTAACACTAAATTGCCTGCTTAACATCAGTATACATATTCTCCGCACCATTCCCCACACATTTCCTAAGATGCTGACAAGAAGAATTTTTTTGGAGAGCTCCTTTACTTTGTGATAATCTCTTATATTCTTGTGACCTTAATGTGTGATCCAGGGGTGATATTGTAAGGAGACATTAGATTCAAGTCACTCCTAGGTGCTAAGGTTTAGTTTGGAAAAATGAGACTATAGATAGCATGTGCAAAATTTTGTCTGAATGCCGTTGGTCACATACATGTAGCTTCATATGTTAAGTTCTCTTGTTACAAATGTAATTATTTATCCAAATTAACAAGATTTCCAGGGTTTCTAATTATTGGACTTATAGAAAATATGTTGCAAAATTAGGTCTTAGAGTCACTTAAAATAATTTTAGCTGTTACACATTTATCGTTTTACTGACCTGTGGAAGGTGGGTCTGTGCAGTTCAGGTCTTTCAAAATTCTGCTTGAAGACAAATCAGGTTTAGACTTTGCTTGTTCTGCATTTGCTTGATCATTTGCTTCTACTGTGCTGTCTGGGTTGACACACCCATTCAAGTCACCTGCTTGAAGGTCTAAACGACTACTTAGAGAGTCACAGCTACTACTATCATTACTGCTAACATGGACATGTTCATCTGTGGGGATTTGACTATCAGCTATTTCAAAAGTAACATTGCTTAGTTTTTTGGGTTCATTCACTTCCTGTACATGACTGTCAGCTTTTTCAAAGGTAACATTGCCCAGTTTTTTAGGTTCCTCTGTTTCTTGGTGAGAACTTGATGACAATGGTTGTTCCTCTGTATTGTTGTTGTTGTTGTTGCTGACATGTTCTTTAAGTCTCTCAACAAGTTCAGTATTCTAATGAGACAAGGGAGAGACAGAAATAGAGTCAAAGCTCTCCTGACAGTTGCTGACACCTAGTTCATGATCCACTCTTCACCTCTTTCACTCCTAAGATCTCATAAGTAATTCTCCTCACTTCTTCTAAAGTTAGCCAGGAGAATTTGGTATTAGATCAACTGATAATTCCCTAATTGATCTTTTTCTTTTTTCTCATCTACTTGATATTGATATTGTTGGGAGAAATTCCATTTTAGTCAATCAAGGGATTTAAAGGGTTAAATATAGAGTGTGTTCTGTCAATAAACATAACAAAACTGTAGAAGTTTAGCCACCTATTGGCTTGAACCTGTGCGCATTTCGCATTCTCATGAATTGAATTGAAGAGATGTAAATTTCAGCAAAGTACCACTTTAAGAGTTAAATCATTCACTTAACAGGGACGAAAATAATTTCTTAACAAGGACGAAGTCCATATATGTATGCATTTCATATTATCATGAATTATCAATTGAAAGACTTAGATTGAATTAAGGAGATGCAAATTTCAGCATAGTAACACTTTAAGAGTAAAATCATTCACTTCGAAGGGATGAAAATAATTTTGTAACAAGGACAAAGTCAGGAATTTTTTCATATTTTTCTATTTGGAAATATTTTTTTTTATCTATAATTGGAAATCACCCTTTTATCCCACCAAGTTTTAATTTTACTCCTACCTATAAAGAGAAAACTGTCTGTAATATAACTGTTACTTTAGGTCCACAGAGAAATAGATTCATAAGGATAATTTTCTTGCCTTTCCTGAAGCTTTAAGTCCAAACCGTTTGCATAACGTCTGAAGTTGAGGTCGTTTCATTTCTTCAAACTTGCCAAGATCCAATATGTGTTCTGATTCATTCAGGGCAGTAGCCGATTCCTCATTCTTGTGTTTAGCGTTGTTTCTTCTTCTGCCTGTCCTTTTAGACATTCTGCATCCCATTTACCGGAGCCACCACTCTCAGATACCTATTGAGAGAGATTCAGGAGCAGAAAGTGTAATGTCTGTAAAATCCCAACTAAGATGATTCTACTCACAAGTTTCTTTAGGGGCTCAGGGGCACGTTTCTGAAAAGCAGTGGTAATTGCCGATGAAAGAGCCGTTTTCTTTATCAGTGGTTACATTCAGGATCGAGAGTTAAAGAAAGTCAAGCACCGAATAAATATCAGGGAAAGACACAGCTCGAAGTAATTGGTTGAATTTTGGAGCTTTTAACTGCACTGCCATATCGTTTTAACGGGGCTTTCAGCAAATCTCCGAACTCCAGGATACCCAGTTATCAATAGCTTTCAAAGAGGTAAGTCATCCAGAGACAGAAGTTCATCGTATATAGCAAAACAGAGTGAAATAGTTTATCGACTGAACAAGAATGACAATCAACATGGCGTCCATGGCGACAATTTTTGTCGTCGCATCGACGCAATCATAAAGTGTTCGACCTTTCATCTTTTGAAATTGAGCAAAGAGGAGAAAAAAAAAGCAAAATTGCATTCATCTTAGCGATAAATAAAAGACAAGTGTATAATAATACGAAAGATTCTCACCGTAATTATGGATCTCTTTCCGGGTAATTTCAAAAAAATCAAATATCGCGCGGATAGACTGGTTTCCAATCTTCTCGTGGACGCGGATAGTCCCCAATCCTCCTGGTTCAAATGAGACGATCGTAATTTACAAGGCTGTGCAAGTCATTTGAGCTTAAAAAGAAAAGATAAAATAAAAATAAATTAATAATAATAACATTATAATAATTTGTTTTTAAAAAGAAACGCTCCCGCGATACATGTTTCACCTTGTTGTTTTGGGGATTAAAATATTCTCTTAAATTTTGGGTTAAAAACTGATTCCATCTTTTTGTCATATACCTAGATCTCTCTTATCTGAAGATAAAAAAAAAAAAACTTAAAAGGACAGAAACTAAAAATAAATGTTGCGCCAAACATAGCGGTGTCCTATTAGATAACCTATGTATTAATTATTAAGAATGAAACCCAAATCTTATGGGACATAGATTTTGTTTCGAAATCATGAGAAGCCGAGATGAAAGATAACTCATTTCTAAATAGCAAGATTTCTTCATGTATCTTCTCCATAAGCTAGGAAGAATCCCGAAAGAAAATTTTCAATCAACAAAGAATCGATATTGTCACTATTTTGTTCCATAATCGTTATAGAAAACCCAACCTTAACTCCGTTTTTCATGAGAAAATTTTTGCTTCTGAACAGCCGTCCGAAATATCGGTCGTTTGTGATTAAAAATTAACAAGAAACGAAAGAATGAAATAAATAAAACATGGAAATCATGTACAAAAAGTTCTTTCTCTAATACAACTCTTCCGGCAACAAAGTGAATGGAACAAAATTAAACGCAATAAAAATGTAAAACAGTAATTTAAGGTAAGGCAATGATAAAAAACCTTTTGTGACTCGCTTGTAAGATTTGAAGTCATTTTAAACCACCATAGTGCAAGAATCTCCCTCTATTAAATGAAGACTGAGAAATACTGTCCTTAAAAGGTTCAGATAGTTATTTCAAACATCTCGACTTTTTTCATTTACTATGTGAGTTTTTGCATATTACAACTTAATATTGGTAATGAATTTTTCGTTCTCGTGTTACACTTAATCGGGATTAACGGTTAGAGAAATGATTGGTTTAAAATGAAGAGTCAATTAGGCAATGTATCAACCCCATATGTTCCAGAAGACATGAAGGCCCCCGAAGAGTGAAAAAATAAAATTTTGCCGCTAAAACTCTCTAAGCCTAGTCTCGTGCATTAGAAAAGATGGGTGTTTAATGGAATAGTCACTTATATATAAAGATTCATGATAAATCTAAATACCATATAATTTCGTGCAATGTTGGATAAATTTGCGATTGCATGCATGATTGGGCGCGCGAGAACGCACCATATGTGAGAAGGCGTGGTCGCAAATTTCAATAACATTTGGTTTTCGTCAGACTTTGCAACCTACAGTCTTGATGAAAATTCCCAGGATCAATTGAAATTTCTTTGAATTTGGCTACAAAGGGGTAATCTGATGGATAAGCTTGACACTTCTAACCTGATCGATGCCAAAATGGAGCTACACCCTGAAGAGGAGAGCCTTGCGCAGCCCATGATAATTCTCAAAAATAAAGGGGAAAATCGGTGTAATGTTATACGAATAACAGCCGTTGTAGTAATAATTGGTGTTGTAGCTGCGGCATTTATTGGTGGGTATATGGTACGAAAAACTGTGTTTAAATGTAAAAAAGAAGGTAGTGGCGATGTTCCGTCGTCCCCGGCACCTTCGCAAGTTCGACTGCAGGATATCCTGGCAGAAATGTCTGCAGATCAGATCGAAGGAAATTTAAGGTTTGTTCAAACTATTTACATTATTGCATCTTTTGAGAGCAATCAATTGACGATTAACTGAAGCTTAAAGATCGACGTTTTCTCATAAGAGCAGGTGAAAAAAACCAATTTATTTTTAATGTTTCTTCTCTAAGCAAATTTGTTACAGTGTATCAGTCATTTTCTGTGCGTGATGCACAGAAACGGAGTTGGAAGCGGTTTTGTGACGCGCTCTACTTCGATGAAAATGCGTGTTTAAAAATTTTTGCTCATCGCACAGCTGGTAACACAGTATGTAGTCGATCTGGAAGGGCTGTCAGCAGATAGACTCATATCGAGGATGCACGAAGCATGTAGATTATTTTTTTGGCACATGTACGTTTCGTGCGTGACTAGGCGAAGGTGCAGCCAGGTTTCAGCTTTTTCTGCACGGTTTATTCACATATTTTGTTTATATCTTCCTATCAGTTTTTGATGGAGCCTAGAAATACACTTTAAAAAATACATCAATATGGACTTGGGCCCAAATGAGTTTTTTTCTTTCCATTTTTGCGAGTCAAATCCCCCTTCCTCCCTCCCTATAAGTAAACGACTTCCAGTCAGTAAAAAATTCTTACTAACACTTTAACTCTCAAGATCTGATTGTTAATTCTCCCCTCTAGCTGCAACACATTTCCTCATAAATTAATTATGAGAATTTGGTGTCAGATCAAGATAACAACTTCTACCTGATAAGTTTTGAGTATTCGCATTACCTGTTTGCTGGATAATGTGTGGATATTATAGGAAGAAGTTACCTGTTAATCACTTCTGGGAATTAAAGGGTTAAAAATGATTATTACATTTTTTAAATATGTTGAAAATATATTTTTAAGCCATCATTCATGTTGTCATATCTTAGCCATGCTCAGATGTTTTACTTGAATCATGCTCTGTAAAGTATGAAAATTTTGCATGTTTTAATTCTTGCAGTTGTTTTGGTCAGAAATGTCCCCTGTCAGCTTTAACCCTTTACTTCCTAACATCAATATGCACATTCTCCATACTTCTCCCTAGACATTTCCAAGGGTTTTGTCAAGGAGAATTTGTTCAACAATCAAGAGCCTCTCTAGTTGGTGATCATCTCCTTTATTCTCATGACCATAATGTGTGATTCAGGGGTGATATTGTATGGAGAAATTAGATGTTAGTCACTCCTAAAGATCAAAGTTTTAGAATAAACTTCTGCAAAAAAATCTGGTAGAATAAAACGACAAAAAAGTGTACCATCTTCACTCTTACAGTGTGCTTTGTATGTGAATCAAATCCAACTCACTTGAAATATCCATTGTGATTCAGGAATTAAATGTTGTGTAGCTCACAAGGGTACAAATGAACATGCTGTGAGACTTTAAAAATGAGTCAAATAAAAACAGATATTATTAAGTGACTTTAAGAAGAAACATTTTTGTTAGGATTTTTTTAATCAGCACTGAATAAAATAGTTTTATATAGCTCATCAAAGTTAGCATCTGAATAAAAAATGCTGAGTTTTGTTCATATTGGCGGACTTAAGCCTTCTTTTATTGCAAATGAATATGATCAGGGTTTAAAAAGTTATTTCTCATAGTTTTGCTGATTTAGAGCATGATCGTTGTTTTTTTTCCTCAGGAATTTGACCCTTTATCCTCATCATGCGAGCTCTAAAAGAAATACTGAACTAGCGGAGTGGATCAAGGAAAGATGGGAAAGTTATGGCTTTGAGGTCAAGTTACTTCAATATAATGTTCTTCTCTCCTTCCCTGTGGAAGGAAAAATTAATGGAGCCAAACTTTATGATGGAAGTGGAACAGTTAGGTTTCAAACTGCTGAGAAGGAGAAGGTTATGGAGGAATCTGAAAATTCATCTAATGCATTGCCTCCTTTCAGTGGCTATTCACCTACTGGCAAAGAAAAGGTAACAAACTGTGCTAGTTAATGAAGTATAATTATGGCTGATTTATGAAAATTTTCTTGCCATTATTTTCTTAAACTTTGCTTCGAATTAGGCATGGAACATTTTTTTTGAACAGCACTGCTTCTGGAGGGTAAAGCAGACATTTATGTTCATGAAAAAAATGTCAGTGGGGTGGACAATTTGAATAGGACTCAAATTACTCATGTAGCTTCATGTACACGATAAGATCTACAGTATATCAGTGTATGGCCCTTGTTTGATTTATTTGAATGCAAGAAAAACTGCCAGAAATATTAACTGGGAAAAGCACAGGGGTCCTTTAAAGTTGTTTATTCACTCCTTTTATTTAGCCTTTTTTTCGTCTTGATACAAGTTCCTGCCAGAATTTTTGTAAACTCAGGATAGCAATCCATAAAACAGTTCAATAGGCCATTTTACAGTTGTGTACTTAGTTGCCAAGCCTTTGATTTGCAGTGAGGCTGAAGGTGACCTTGTTGTGATAGAGACCAGTTTCTTGTTAGCATGATAACAAAGTAATTTGCATTTGAAAAGCAGCAAGGTTTGTATCATAACAAGGTCACCTTTAGCCTCATTCCTGTTCAAAGGCTTGGCAACCAAGCACACAACTGTAAAATGGACTATTCAAGAAAATTTCTATTTTTCTTTTCACGTCACTTTTTGCAGGAATTGTTTTTTCAAAATTCTATTGCCTAGTTTTCCTCCACTCCTTTTTTCTCATCCAAACAATATAGAACTTGTGCTTTTTATCAAAAGTAATTGCAATCCACACAGTAGTTTAAACAAGGTTAGGTTGATGTACGTCACTATAACCTTTACATGCAGTTTGGTCTGTGTTGCCTTTCAGGGTGACTTGGTTTATGTCAATTATGGAAGACGTGAAGATTTTAAACTACTGCAAAGTATGAACGTCAACTGTTCTGGGAAGATTGTCATCGCAAGATATGGGCGTGTCTTTAGAGGTGACAAGGTAACAGATCAATACAGGGTGTAAGGCTCGATAAGAAGCAGGCCGTTTGACTTGTACAACTAATCTTTATAGCGAATAAAGGGGGTAAGTTTCTATAGAAACTGTGATGCTATGTCAGTGGGAGAATATAACAGGGTAATTTAGTCCTTTAAACTGAGTTGATAAATGTAATTTGGCCACCATAAAGAGTTTTAAAGCTGACCTTTGGAGCGTCAGCCCTTTGTCAGACAAAAAACAAAGGGCTATCGCTTGAAATGCCAGCTTCAAAACTCTATGTGTGTGAATTTATGTCATCAACTCAGTTGATAAAACCAAATTACCCTGCAGTGAGTAGTGTGGTGAGGCCCACCTAAGTGGGTCCAGTGGTTTTAGTTCAGTGAGGGGGAGGGGGAAGGGGTTATTGCTTGATATGGAATTGCTTTTAATTCTCATGACCAGTGAAATTAAAAAATTAAAACCATGTGAATTTTATGCTCTTTGCAATACATGAACCTTAAAGTTGTTTATCTGATTTTTCACAATGCATTATTTCAATTTTTGATGTACATGGAACATGCACAAATTTCCCCCCTCCCACTTTGCTCCTTCTTTAGTCATGACTTTCTGATTGCTGGTTTTTTTTATCCATGGTCAGTGTATAAATAAATGAATAGGAAATTAACTTAAAGATAAATGAATTGGATTTGGCAGTAGACCTCCACAGAGTGATTCTTCTCACTCACTCATGCACCTTATTAGATTAGAATTGTATCTTACTGAGGGAAACCCCAAAACGCAGAGAAAAAATATCAAGGTATAAACCAGTAATAAGCTTAACCCACATGTGACATTGGGTGTAAGGTTCAAAGCCAAGTCACAGTGGTGAGAGGCACCCTTACCCAAGGGCTATGGCAGAAGAGATTACAGAATTCTCTGGTTATGCTGCAGAATTATCTTGGTAAATTTCAAGGCAAAGGCTATTTTATAGTTAGATTAGAAGAATTATATGCAATTACTTTACACCATTCTCCTGCGATTACATATGTAATGCAATCTCTACCTACCATTACACCATTCCTGCTCTCTCAAAGATAATACCAGGATAATGAGTATGGAAAATTATATGGAAAATATTGGGTTCAGGTTGCTTAATTTGAATTGAGTTCTATTCCATATTCTCAGGTAACTAATGCACAGAAGTGTGGAGCAAAAGCTATCCTGATATACAATGACCCTCATGATTTTGCACCTGTCTCAGATGAGGATCTTTTTCCGCATGGCTGGTGGCTACCAAGATCAGGGGTGCAGCGTGGTTCAATCCTCATGGGCACTGGTGATCCTCTCACTCCAAGATATCCTTCTAAAGGTGACAGCTTAGTATTCATTTATGTAATATGGTTGACTTTAATACAAAGTACATGTAGGTGCCATTAGCAGTCAAAGGCTTTACCGCATGCAAGGGCTCCAGGAGCAACAAGTATTTGGAATAACCAATGCATCTTCCAGAAAAAATAGGTGGTCAAAATTTGCATGTAAAAATAAGTAAAACAATAGGGATGATTGCTGAGGTACTTCGTTCCCTTATTTTGTAAAAACCCTGATATTAGTAATGCTTTTTATTTTGTTCTTCAAAAAAAAGAACTGTTTGCCCTCCCTGTAAATCATGCCCAGGGCTCCCATTAATATTTTGAAACTATTTACTAAAACATCTCAAGTTACCCTTGAAACTGCCATCTTGTCCAAACATTCTGTTCTTTTTTGTTGTTATCAAAACATTCCTTTTTTAAAAACGTCTTTATTTAGAACTAGATAATGAAGATTCTTATCTTGATGTTGAAAAGATCTCCTCTAAACTTAAGGACTGCATAATTAAAAAACTCCCATGATTTACCAGATTGAGATCTAACTATCAGTTTTTAATTTTCTAAATAATGTTTGTTGATGATTGACAATATCAACCAGGTAAGTGATGAGAATAAAGTGTGTGTGTAATAAAGTGTGTATCAATTTGGGGATAATTAGTTGATCTAATACTAAATTCTTTGAACTAGCATTTAAGAATTGTATGGCTGGCAGTAAGGAGAATTACAAATTTGAACTGGGAGTGAAAGGGTTAACCTGAGATTGTTTTAACCCTCTCTGGATTTCTGATTAAAATATTACTCCACAAATGTAAAAAACAGTTTTTGGCTTTTTTTAACAGATGGTATTTATCGGAAAAGTTCAGATGAAATCAAAATGCCATATATTCCTGCTCATCCAATTTCAGCTGAGGATGCAGAACACTTTCTGAGGTCTGTTGAGATTTTTGTCATACCTGACTTGTTATCCAGTTTCTCCAATAACTACCTATGTGCAGGTAGATTATAAGGGCTGTTAGCAAGTTTGGAAGTAGAAGGCTGACAAGAGGTAGTATGTGACCAGGTATTTCTGAAGATGCCATGTTGTTTTGGCAAATTGCACCTTAAGCATGGAACTATCCTTTCAGTTAGAATGGCCCATGTTCCACAAAGTTTTCACCAACCTTTGAGAAAAATCTACAGGTGGAGTTGAGCATCCCCTTCCACTCAAAACTGGGAAATTGCTGTAACAGTAACTTTACAAATTTCAAAGATGGTATTTAAATAACTGTGCAAATTTTCATCATCAATTCTGGTGTATGAAGTTTAAGTAGCGGACTAGTGAGGGCCATTTTAGGTGGCAGTTATGGTTTGACACACCTTCTTAGTGGTATTTTCTTTTGATTTTACCTGCTCTGACTCTTATAGCCTGCTTGGTGGAGATAAGGCCCCTGATGACTGGCAAGGTGGATTGCAAATAACTTATCGACTGGGACCAGGGTTTATTGGTAATTACAGTGACTGGTAAGTCAGCTGTAGGTCTTATTTAAACTAATCCTTCACACCCTAACATCAGTATGCATGTTCTTCGCATTGTTCTCTGACCACTCATTTCTTAATGTAACGACAAGGCAGGTCTGTTTTTAAAACAATCAGGAACTTCTTTCATCAGTGATCATTTCCTATATTCTCATCCCCTTAATGTTTGATATAGTAGTGAGACTGTTAGGAGAAATCAGATGCAAATCACTTAAGGAGTTAGAGGGTGAAAGAGTCTGTATTAGGCATTTAGGTAGTAAAAAGTGGTGCAAATTAACCAGCAGAAGGACACAAAGGTTCATCCACATCAATCTTTTCTAATGAAATGGTTGGAACAAGGTGTATTGGTTTTAGTATGGCACTGGTAACAGAATGGTGATGCAAAAATCATTTTGGTTTGGAAGTTTAATTTCAAAGGGTGCAAAATTTGAGGTGTGGCTCAACTGTAGCATGAAGAACCATTACAGAATAAAATAGATGAAACCTCTTGTGCACCAAAATATTACTTGCTTTTTCAAATGATTTGAAAATATACCTTTGACATACGTCCTCCTATGTTTGTTTTTTGTTTGAGCTATTGGTATTATCACAGGAACTCTAATGTTGCACTGGATAAACTTGGCACAGCGCACCAGTGACATTGTATTTGACCTGGATATTATGAGAAAAACCGAAGCTTCTCTGTTACATACATGATAAATTTATTTTTGTGTTATTACACAGGAAAGTGGAAGTGGAAACTAACAACAACCACACGCAGAGGAACATTACCAACGTCATTGCCATCTTAAAAGGATCACTTGAACCAGGTATTTGAGAGAGGTTGATGAAAAACTACTCATAACTAATATTGGGTTCACTTAACCTGCCCTACAGACGCAAGGAAACAGCGCATAGCAGCAAGATAATAGAAAATCGAACGTGCTAATGACTCAAAATCCGTTTTCTGCGCCAAAGCTAAACGCATGCGCAAACGTCATTCAGCTCTGTCGAGCAGGCAGAGTTTTTTTTTTCGTACTCAGCAGCTGCTCAACGTTGTACAACAGCTGGTCAGAACTAGACCGAAGGAGAAAAATAACGTCGTTCATCCTAAATGAGATCTTAAATTTTTTGCTAAAATAATTGTTTTCGTTCAAACTGAACTTAATCTCAATTCTTAGACAGGTTGGTATTGTTAGGTAACCATAGAGATGCTTGGGTGTTTGGCGGAATTGATCCTTCCAGTGGAACTGCCTGCTTGATGGAGATTGCCAGAGCTCTGGGGAATAAATACAAACAAGGTGAATCAACTTGATAGCGTTCTTAAGTGGAGAAAGGTTATACCACGCTCGTGACAAGACAAAATATGTTCCATGTTACCGTGCGTCTGTTTGACAGATGACGTCAAAATGTGTTTGGAACCAAAATTGACGCATTAGGCGAAGCCGAGTGTGTCACTGATGTTTGAAACACAAGTTGCCATTTTCTGTGATCTATTACTGGACAGACGCACGGCAAAATGGAATCTATTTGTTTTGCGTTAAAGAGAGGCAAAAACTGTGTATGGTGACGTCGTCCATGTGTCTGTCTTCCAATAGATCATAAGAAAGAACCAATCTGAAGGCGCATAGGGCTGCGTACTGTGATTTCACATGATCAACTTGTCAGTGTGTCGTGCAATATTCTATGCAAACCTGGAACGCGGTCTTTCGTTGAAATCGTGTCAAGCCATAACTGAAAGCCAACGAGGCACAGAACTTACACGCAGATAGCGTGTTAAAAGTCCCCTCTGTTGTTTAAGCGTGCAATCGTTGCATTTGCGTGCGTGCGTGTATCTTGTTCCCGGATATTCTGTGAAGGGTCGCCTTTTATCAACAACCTGAATGACCGAAGCCGCAAAAAGCCGAACTAAATGAAATATAGCTTGCCTTTAACTCCCAAAAGTGATTGACATGTAACGTCTTCCTACTTTATCTGTCCATTATCCAGTAACAGGTAATGAGAACACTCAAATTTTATCAGGCAGAAGTTGTTATCTTGATCTCTTTTCAAATTCTCGTAACTACTTAACAAGGAAATGTGTATCAGGTAGAGGAGAGAATTAACAATCAGAAGATCTTTGAAGTTAAAATACTAAATTGGTGTCTGACTCGTCTTTCAGGGTGGAGACCACGGCGATCTATTGTTCTCTGTAGTTGGGGAGGCGAGGAGTATGGTCTCCTGGGATCAACAGAGTGGGTTGAGGTTTGTACAACAGATGTCTTGCTATTGAATAATTAGTCTGACCTGAGCTGTTTCATATAATTCAAAAACCTTAAAAGTCATCAATTTAACAGTGTTTTTTTTTTGTACTTGGGCCAATTGCAACCTGGTGACTTGCGTTTTCAAGCGCTTCAGGCAGTTTGTTTGTTTTTTAGTTCTCTTTGGCTCGGAGTGTCTCAGAGTAAATACACTTTTAGTTATCATTAGTAACGTGCTACAATTTTTGTCTTTTAGGACAACGTTCACTTACTTTATCAAAGAGCAGTGGCTTACCTGAATGTTGACTCTCCCATTAGAGGTAAGACCCACGTGAATGTACATGTGTACGTAGTTTAGTGGACTGATACCTGGGCTTAAATACTTGAAACGAAAATTCAGACAAATGGAGACAATCGCATGGCGAACGCGAGGTGAGCGCGAGTCGAACGCGTAGTGAAAGTGAGGAGAACGCACGGTGCGCGCGAGACAAACGCGAAGAGAGAGGAAGAGACATTTTTTCCAGCACTTCCCTTGACACGCGTGTCTCGTCTTTTGCGCTCTCCTTACACTCGCCTCGCGCGTGCCTCTACACGACCGTAAAACGCTTAAAAAAATTACAACTTTCCTCTAGGGTCCTATCTAAAAACTGCAAGCTCGACGAGGAATGACTTGCCGCAGTTTTAGGGTCCTTTTTTTGTTGACATGTTTATTTTGTCATTTGTTTTTCTCTAGGAAACTACAGCCTTTATGTTAGAGCCAGCCCTCTCTTGCACCAAGTTTTGTTTAACGCTTCAAAACAGGTAAGTTTTTGACATGTGTGTTTGTCAAAAACAAGGCCGGGCCAATGAGAACTCTCTAAGGCTATGTATCAGACAGATCTTGGGAGCGATTAAGCACATACAGGTTGTAATGGCGGTTTAAAACATCGATCGTTTATGGCCTTTTTAGGGGAGAATTTCTTTCCACCAATGAAGCTTAGAACCCTAAACTTACTGGAAAAGAAGGTCGTGGTATAGCTGAGGAATTTCGATGAAGAGACTGCCACAATGCAAGAATAAAGTTTAAGATAATTTCTCTCTTCTCTTTCAGGTGAAAAATCCTATTGATATTAGACAATCGGTTTATGATAACTGGTTGGATAAATTTCCAGCTGCAGATGGACTGAATCCAAAGTAAGTTACAGTTTGCATAAATTACATTTCGCTCCCTTATGTACTTTGTATTTACTTTTTGTGTAATGGTATCCAGGTACCAGCAAATTTTCAGGGAAACATGACGAATTGCGGGGGTTGGGAAACTTGCTATGGATCAGCAGCCCACCCCGGAGGAGTAGCGATACACCAAAATCGCCCCATACTACAGGAACTGTGTTACTCCACCAGTTGTAGTCACGTAGTATTTTTCCGCCGTAAACGACGTTCTTGTTCCAGTCCCCCCGCGTTTAGTCGACGTCTTTCTTCGTTCTTTTCGTCGTGATTGGTTAAGCTTCCTATTGTGAACTAACATAACGTTTCTGTTTGTTCCAGTCTGATCATCTCTCCTTTATCTTTTTGTTCCAAGGGTTCCTCCTCTTGGCTCTGGCAGTGACTATTCTCCATTTTGTCAAAGAGCTGGAGTCCCTTCAGCGGATATCCGATACGTTTTTGACACGGTATGCACTACTTAGTTTAAACTAGACGCATATCGGCGCATACTCGCAAGCTTATTGCACTTGAAAATGTCATTTCCGTGTGGAATTTTCCATTGGAAAGACGTGTAAGGCATTTAAAAAAATATGTGGAATATTCTGTCCCTTCCGCTCAGTGTTTATACATGCATTTCACTTTATTGAAGCCTACCTGTTGAAAAAAGAAAATTGGATTTACACATGCGCCTTATAGCCACGACTTTGATTTGCGACTCAGAATAAACAGTCCCCGTTTAGGAACTCAGGCCACCAAGAATGTTGCCTTTCTTCTTTATCAATTCCTTTCCTCAATTTTTTTTTCTAGTACCAGTTTCATAACATCTCTGCGTACCCGACATATCACAGTATCCATGATACATTCTACTACGTCAAGAAGTTCGTGGATCCGCAGTTTACAACCCACTTAGCTATCGCACGAATATGGGTCAGTACTGCATTCCTATTGGCTGAGACTCCTGTGCTGCCAATCAACTGCTCGGATTACGCCGTTGCCCTTAATAAAGGTTTTCACGACATAAATGCAACATATGGAAAATCTCTCAAACAAAAAGGAATTTCTCTAAGTAAGTACGTTCATTGTGATTTCTGTCGTGGTTTTTATTTAGAGCGTGAATTAAGGAATGGCTTGCCTGTAGCATGCGATCATCGAGTTATGGATGCATGCGGGAGGTTGCTAAGCACTTAAGATGCTAGAGTAACACTTGGCTATCGCCTCGTGCGACTCTTACGCTTCTTTCGTGCTTAGCAACCTCCTGCGTGCATCCATAACTCGATGGTTGCTTGCTGCACGCTAACCATCTCTTTTGTAATATTGAGACTTTCAAACATCTTTCGTTTCGTGTAGAAAGAAAAGCGAAACAAACATATTGATGGGGCGTATCAGCCGATCAAAGCATAATAGTACTTCAGAGCATAATCGTACTTCATGCATAACAGTGCTTCGTGGAGGAAGTTATCTTTTGCGATCGAAACTTGACATTAATAAAGCGTTAATCTCCTGTTTAATTGATTGTCGAGAAAACAAAACCATACTTATCGTATTGGCAAACCAGAACAAAGGTGAATAATCAAAAAGAGCCAATAGGAGCCTGATATGAAAACAAGGAAAGCGCGTCAAGCGCGGGAAACACGACTGACCAAGGCAAATTGGTTTTAGCTCTGTATGCGTTGAGAAATCAGTGTATTTATTCCCCTCAATTCCTATATCATGGCTGAGCACTTCACTGTAAATTACTCAAAATTTCAGTTCCCCGCTTTAGTTCAAGTGTAGGTCGTCTGTGAAAGACTTCACACTGGTCTATTTTCGCATGGCGCAATTTTTTGGAAAAAGGCCAGAAATTTTGTTGAACTCTCTAGGGTTCTCAGAACTTCCATTGCTGAAATTTTCCTCGAGTTGAACTCTGTTACTCGTTTCAGAATACTTGGAGAAGGCTGTCAAGAAGTTTGAAGATGGAGCTGAAAATATGCAGTCACTTATCGCCAATGTAGACCTCAATGAGTAAGTAAAAACTCCTTTCCTCTCCGTTAAAAGAGTATTTTCGTAGGCTATGGTTCGACCGAATAGTGCAGAATTAATTATCCTTGCCATGGCATGCATAAGAGAGTTTCGCACCACCACTTAAGTGTAAAGTGATTTATCGTATATATACATCATTAATTTCTTATGCAGTGATTTAAAAAATATTCTTTTTTCTGTGCTAAAAGAAAAATGTTTAGGAGAGTTGTTACTCTTTCTGGAGAGTTGTTACTCTTTCTGGAGAATATGCAAGTCCATCGCAGCAAGTTTCCCCTCCCCCTGTCCCTAAGTAATGTCTGGCTTTTCAGAGCTAATTTATGTTCTAAAGGGAGGCAATCCTCTCTCCGAGCTCAAAAACTTATCATCTCTATTATTTCTATCTGCAATCCTCTCTCATATTTTCAGCAAATGTGTCATTTGATCGGTTGAAAATAAAAAGCAAAAGAAAAAACAAAACAAAATCAAAAATTTGATTAGAAAACAAGCTCAAACTTCAAGCTTTTCGCCTGAACCCGCGTTCCAAGGCTCTGACGAAATTGATAACAACGCTGCGAGATGCACAAGATGTTTGTAGAGAGAAACCCTGTTGGAGTAAAAGTTGTTGGGTTAAGGACATCCAAGTCACAGGCCAACCAGCCTTAGGTCAAGAATTCACAAGCCCATCAGATCTTTCCATGGAACATTCTAGTTTAAGGCTAATCAGCCAAATAGTTCGTAAAAGTAAATGTAACTCTCCGATGCTGATCAGTACGCCTTGTTTATCTTTTCTTCTCAAGCCCATGGAAGCTTTCCTTTATCAATGACCGTTTGACAGGACTGGAAAAGAACTTCCTTAACTCTGAAGGACTGCCGGGAAGACCTCTTTACTGGTGAGTGGTAATAAAATCAGACGTTACGATTGGACGAGTCCGTCAGGCAAGAAGTGACAAACTACTTGACACTCTAAGACCCTGAATGCGTGAGACCATCTTCGTTACGAGATCTTGTGACAAATTTTATCGCTATCGATGTTAATCCTTCACTTTTGTTGGGCCATCTCAATCTTTTATTGACTTTCCTCAAGTTCTGAAAGGTTGCGCTGCAAAGTACGCCCAATTATTGGTAGAAAGGAATTTTATTTTGCTTTAGTCAATTATGGTGGATTAGCAATCGCGAGCTTAGGAAATATTTCTTTCGTCTGTAAGGAATTCAAAGTTTTGCAAAATAACATGACTGCTACTTCCTTGATATGGCCTACTCAATGTTTTCAATATTAGAACAGGTGGACTCCTCATACTGTTCTTTAGGTACTGTGATAGTCTTTTCGCTGGCGCGCGTCAAGCACTTCATTACCACGCGTTAAAGAAGGCGGGCACATGGGCGTAATTGAAGGCATTATTTCTCGCGTAAGGGCCTCCGCTTGCAAGCGCTTGTCTGTAGTACTTGTGTCCTTTTCATTTATTTCTTTGCGGCCCAAGTTTTTGAATAACGTCTTTATTCTTTTGTTCGTAGGCATTCAATTTTCGCCCCTAGTCTCTACAACTCTTACGCAAGTGCCACGTTCCCAGGCCTCCACGACGCCCTAGTTGAAGCGGTCAACAATGGCCCACATAATGGGAATTGGGTGGTTGTGAAAGAGGAGTTATCAGACACCATAGTAGCCATTGAATGGGCAGCTCAGTTTTTGAAATCAGAAGTTTAGCTAGCCGTTCCTTAACGATCCTGAAGTCTATACTGGAATTGAAAAGAATTTTTCGTACAAATTAATGGAACAATATTTAACTAATATTTAAATCCATACTTTTTGATTTAATATTATCATTAATAATATTATTTTTATTATTATTTCGTTCATAGAAGCCTAAATTGTGTATAATTGGGTTAAATTTTTGTGAATCCAGCGACACTCCAAAAAAATGGATAAATATTGAATTATTTCGGGAACCGTTTGAAAAGATACCATCTTGAAAGTATTCTAATTTTACTTAATACGTACGTATAATTATATTTGAGTCTAATATTAGTTTTGAATTTTTTTAAGGACAAAACACAATTATATCAGAGTTCAGCGTTGATTTTTCAAAAATGTTATTTTATAAGTCTCGCAAACTAATATTCTAAACGCTGTTTTTCACATTTTGCGTTCATTTATCATTAAAAACTTACATTTCAAAGTTAAGTCATTTCAGAACATCTTTCAGTCTTCTCTCCCTTTTTACGTAATTTTATTTAAGTCTTTTTCGTTATTAGTTTCTAGTTTTAATGATTTGTGTTTCAAAACGTTTTTGTTTTTTATTAGCGAATTTCGCCTTTTTTTTATTAATTCCTTGGGTTGCAATTGTTGGGTTGCTTTGTACTAGTTAACTTGCAGACGTGCCTGAGCAAATTTGCACCAACCCCCTCCGCTAACTCAACATTAATCGTAACTTGTCATTAGTTGATTGTTGTTGTGTTGATGGCGGAGGGTTAGATGCTCAGTTGCTACTTACATTGATTTGGAAGCTGAAATGCGTAAGCACTCGAAATCGACGTATGTATATATATATGTAATTTAGTATTAACAACTGAGCTGAAAACGTAAGTTGACCACCGTAAAGAGTGAAAATATTGACGTTTCGAGCGTCAGCCCATCGTCAGAGCAATTGTAGACGAAGGGCTAACGCACAAAACGTCAGCCTTTAAACTCTTTACAGTGGTCAATTTACGTTTTCAACTCAGTTGTTAACCCTAAATTTCTTGTTATACTCTCCTAGCGACGCAGCACCACAGTTTCTTTACAAAACTTACCCCCTTTATGTACACATATACATGCACGGAACATTGCTTCTTATTTAGGGCATGGCTAAGGTTGCTGGGACAACTTGTAAAAAATTTTCCTTAGACTCTTGTCTATTAGTCTTAGTATGATAACTTGTGTTAACTATCGCACAAAGAAAATGTATTCCTGGTACGATTGTTGAACGGTGATCTATGCTGGACTGTGGTCATATCCGTGCGTCCAAGTGGATAACTATTGACAGCTGTTATCTTATCCAACCTAACATTAGTATGCATATTGTTACGGTTTAAACTTACAGACAGGAAAACGCTACAATTCCACGAACTCAACTACTTTATTAAACAGCGAGTAATGTTCTTAACAAGGAACGACTCTTCAAAGTAATACAATACTTATCGTTAATAAACTTAATTAAGCGCAAAACGGTTTATATCTTAGCTCACCACTGACAAAATCTCACTGCTGTCTCCAAAGTCCTTTGAAACAAGCAATCCTCTGCATTAACTCGAGCTCTCTCTCGGTATAGCTTTCAAAACAGTCGTCGCTACAACGATAACATCTACTTTCTACTACATAAGCGAGTCTTTATTCATATATTCACAAAGTGTTCTGGATCATTCCAAAAGCTTACTTAAGAACTATTTTAGTATTACATAATAAGTACGTGACTTGATAAAATGTTCTGGAAAGTTCTTCGTTATGCAAGTCAGTATGACTCAACAGTCTGGAAATTTCTATAAGCAACAACAATTACCCATAACAATATTCTCCTTATTGTTTTTTATACATTTCCTAAGGTGCTGACATGGAGAATTTGTTTACCAATCAAAAGCTTCTTTTGTTGGTGATCACTTCCTTTACTCTTATGACCCCAGTGTGTGAGTCAGGGGTGATATTGTAGGAGAAATTTGATGTTAGTCATTCTTAGGGTTTAAAGGGTTAATCAATAGTATCAGTCTAGAAAGTTTTTCGATTGAGTTTAGTAAAATCAAAACCAAAGTAATTACAACATCTAATCAGAAGATATCTTGAAGAGTCAATGAGAGCTGCCCAAAGCGCGGGAAAACGCGGGCGGCCAAGTCCTGGTTGTTCTTAGCTTTGCTTCTGATTGGTTGAGAGAGTGGCGTCAGTTTTCAGGAGCAATCACAGAGCGAAGGAAAGCCACACCAATGCAGTCACGGATTATGAAAAACTAGCCATAATGTTTTAAAAATTCAGTAAATTTGATTGAACGATCATTTCTGAGTTTGATTTATGGTAGTGAGGTTATATTTGCGATGGCGGGGATAATGGTGTTTAGAGGAAAAATTTTGAAATCAGTTTTATCAATGTAGCTATGTATGTTGTGTTTTTTTTTTTTAATTTTTTTAATTTTTTTAGTTCGTCAAGCCATTCTCTTCCACAGGTGGTTCACGAATGTACGTCCATTTTTTCAGCAGGGAGAGGTCTGGGCACGAGGCAGTCTCTAGTTCGTTGAAGTTCGTTCGCACGTCGGTTTATGTTCGGGCGGTTATCTGTTTATCGTGCACTCTTCATTGAAAATCTAGTCGCTCGGTATTCGGATATGTTCGCTCCCTCACTCGTTATCTCCTCCGCTTGTTCACAGAAGAGGCTTCTCAGCACATCAAGCTGTTGTATCTCGTTATGTAGAGACTGCAGCTCACATTTTCGTCTTGCTCTTTGTTCCAATTTCTTTGCTTTCTCATAATCACCTTTCCTGAAGGCAAGCAATGCCTGACAATAGTTGTAGTAAATTTTGCTTCTCTTGGACAATCTCTCGATTTGTCGAGATGAAATACGGCTCAAAACAGTCTCAGCGACATCAACGTCAGATTTTGACACTTCTTTGGCAATACCATGCTGATAATAACCTAAATGAACCAGAGCTTTGCGCATTGTCACTTGTACCATGGTAACGCTCTTATCAACTGAGACTTTCCCGCAAAAATCGAGTGAACTGTTCAAATGAAACAGAACGAGTTTGCGATCTTCTGTGCTGTTCTTGCTTCTAGATAAGATGATATTTGCTTTCACGTTGTGTATCTCTACAAAATCCTCAAAGCATTCCCCATCTCTTAGCATCTTATCTGCTTCGTCAGCCTCTCTCATTGCTTCGTCGTCGTTTCCCATGTCATGTAAAACGAATGCCATACATATTCTTATCCTTGCATGTGCTAAAACCTAAAAATTAAAACAAAGTTAATCATTCAAGGAAATAACTACGTTCTAGTACGCTGTACGAAATTCTAAAATCTCATTGGTCAATACGAGTGCATTTAATAGCCCATGTTGTGCGATCATCATGCGTTCATTATTCCCCTTGTTAGTTTTTATAAACGATATAATGGTAAATGAAGAGATCAAGTTATAATTAGTTTGATACTTAAAGAATGATTTCGGAATAAACTTGAATGACACGTCTTTACATTCATATTGAGACCACGTAATTCAATACTTATAATACTGGATTTTGGTCAACAGCCGCAATTTCTTAACAGAACAACGGGAGTAGTGTCAAGAAGCCTAGAGAAGATTCTTGTTTTCCTTTTTAAACACTTTATTATTTATCTTAAACTTCTGAAAACCTTACGACCTCGGACCTTATTTATAGTAGCCGATTACATCATACTTATTTCTGAAACACTATTTTTAGCAGCAAGAACATTCTAGACACTAATTAGGACATATCCTTAAAATAACTCAATAGAATGTTCCGGAATATGGAGAAGATTCTAGCTCAGCTTATGCGATAGCGTTATGGTTAATCAATGTTCCATTGATTTCTGGAGACTTCGTTACAGTAGCAAAATTGCTTTACAATGGCCTTTTTGTCTTGCATTTTCCTGCAACTTGATAGGTTGCTCTAAAAAATTTCTTGAAATCTGATTGGTTGTTTTGTTTTAGTGTTCCATTCTCATTGGAAACTTATCAGGTTGAAGTTTTTATCTCGATCTGACACCAAATTCTCGTAACTTATTTACAAAGAAGTGTTTAGCAGCTAGAGGGGAGAATTAATGATCAGATCTTGGGAGATAAAGGGCTAAGTATTACCTTGGGCTGCTCTAGTGTCACTCTAGCCGTTCAGTTAGTGAAAAGGAGCGAAATTAACAAACGGCGCGTCGGTACTGAGCGAGCAGTGGTTTCGCTGTATATCCCTTCCCAGGCCCCCCTCGTTCATCTCACTCCGCCATTTAATTTCGTTCCTCGTTTTGCTGACTGATATATGAGCATAGGTGTGAATTTCTTAAATTTCATGCTTAAACGCACATACCCGTATTCTCTGTTGAAACCGCAAGAGGACTTCAGGCCATCTAGCATCTTCAGCGAGTCTTCCTTTCTTGAGCGCTGGTTGAGCGCGCAAGCTGCTTGGATTTGAGCAAATATCTCTACATCCCTATCGCCGCTAAATCCTTGCAAAAACTTCTCGAGATCTTCCCAGCAAAAATTGAAAGATAATGAATTAGATTTATCTATCAGTCTGATGTACCTTCCCCTGGTGAAAATTTTTAGTTTCCATTTTGAAGGCACTTGATCAATAGAAGTCGTAGCCAATTGTTTGGCGTCGTTCCTTCTGTGGTGTTCTGAACTTAAATTCCTGGTCTCATCCCGTGGAGTTTTCCTCTTGTGCCCAGGTCTCTCTTCAATTTTTTCTTCTAATGTTTTCACAACCCTTTCAAGCGACCGCGAGTGATCACGTTCGTTTTTCAACCATTTTTTGTAGTTTAGAAGTTCGTTCGTGTTGAATTCCCTTTCAGTCAGCATTTGCTGAAGATTTTCAACAATTGGATCAGATTTTGAAAGCAAGCCTTGAACAGCTGTTATTAAAGTCATCACGCTTGTCTTGAATGTGGCGTGAGATATCGATGCTCTTGCAGCGTGCGCCGACATTGCATTTCTAACCCTTCGAATTTGATGTATAGCGTTTAAAATTCTCTTCCCGTAGACTGTGCCTCGAGTGGGACCAAGAGCGTGCGAGTAACTTAGAGCAAAAACTAGTGTGGTTATGTCCCAAGTTTCGATGTTCCCGTTGGACAAATGATTCTTGACATCTCGATAATCATTACAATACACCGGATCAAAAAGTCGAGAGTGATGCGGTGGCATCTCTTCCGCTAACAGTTGTGATCCGCTCGAAGTGTCATTTTGCCATGGAGAGGAAGCATAAATCTTATTCCATTCTTGTATGAACACCTTTCTCAGTGCTGCCGTCGAATAATCATGAACGCATTTTGTGAGCCGAAAAAAGTTTAGATCTTCGCTGCCATAAATCACAGACATCTCATTGAAATTGCCTCTTCAGCGGATTTCTTCAAAGGAAATGAATTTTGAATCGAAAATGAAAGTGCAAGGTTGAGTGAGTTTTCCGTCCTTGAAAAGGTCTTCCAAAAAGTTATTACACACGTATACGTAATAGAAAATTTTACTTTGGGACGAGCAGACTTCAAATAACATGGTCAAGACCCAAGAATAAAAACAAAATTAAAAGAAAAACACTATCCTTGTCAAATTTTTAGCGTTTTACCTTGCCCGTTCTATAAAAGTACATGCTCATGTGATTGCAATTTTTGTATGGATTGGTGAACAGATTGTTCTAAAACTTTCCGAAACCTCACGATTATAGACGAAGATAAGCCGAAAACCTTGCAATAAACTACAAGGCATCCTAGGCATGATTCAGTGGAACCTGGGGATGAGAATGTATTCGATTTCCCTGATCGACGATTCAGAAGGTCTTCGCTGTTTTTCCCACACTTGCAATGAAATTAAAGTTCGCCTGCACTGACATTAGTAACTTGGGAACGATACTTGACGTTTGATGATGGACAACTAGAAAAACGCAGCTGTATGATATTTCCCTTTTGAACACATCTTCGCATGTTTCTTAAAACGGCGCGCACACAAGACACTCAGCTAGCGGGTTTCTATAGAAAAGGTAAGCGCTGTAGATTTCGTTTTGTATATATTTTGTCTTGCTATTGTCAACAAGTGATCTTTGAAATGTCCCGCTGCAAGCGTGTATCTATTATCTCGAAAAGAATGAAGAAGGGTATCTCTATCACTGTGTAACGAAAATGCGATTTTGCTCACGCCACAGGAAAACAGTCTTCGAATCTCTCAGACATCATCGGAGGGAATCTTAACAATTGCGTCTGTAATGTAGAGTTCATGGACTCTTGAAATTTTTCAGCAAGTGAAGAGAGGATATTTGGAAATGGGTAAGGACTTATTCTAGAATTCTAGTGGATAAAGCTACTCCTCTTATCAATTTTTACAAGCCAGGGTATTTCGAGTCACTGCTTGAAACTTTCAGCAGAATTCTCTTGCTATGAAATGTCATTTTGTCTTCCGCTTCGCTGGGGAGGTACAATGCAAGTATTGCTTTTTTTTTCTCTTTAAAGGAGTCTCTCTAGTTGTTTCTTAATTACAAAAATGGACCGTAGCCTTGGTCCTCTGTTGTCGCAATATGCAATTTTTAAGTTTCTTTAAAGCGTTTGAGCACGAGTTGTAAATTTCCGTTTCGCTCAGCGGTGCCTCGTCCAACACTAATTGTGTATTTTCATGTTCGTTTGTGGTCTTGCGTACGTTCTGATTTCACAAAAGCCTGAGTTTTATGTTTGTACAATGTGTGACACTCGTGTATAGTTCGTGAACATTTACGCATTAAATTTAGATCTCGTAGTTCTGTATCCTCGTTACGGCTGGCAGACAAATGAAGGACTTGGTAATATATTTCCGATTGAATTCAAACGGATGACAGAATTCCTTCTACATCGACTACGTTCGATTTTCTAAGGAACTTTACGGGATAATCGTCGAGCCTCGTTTTCTCTTTACTGTATCCCTGAAAATGACTCTAGCTCCAATGATTTTAAAAACTTAGTAGTGAGCGAAAGTTGTTGGAGACAAGTGTGCAATATTTTTTGTCAGCTGTATACATATCAGAATGTGACCGTGAATGAAATCCTTTAGTGCAAGTTTGTGTCTTATGTTCTGGTTATTTTACGCTCCGCACTTAAGTACTGTAAGGTTATTTTCGTGCTTTCGGCGATAAGTTTTTTAGAGATCGATCGCACACATTTTCAGCGTTTGGTGCGTGGTGGTATGTTAATATTTTATTGTCGAGGTTCTCGTGTGAAGAACGTTCGATCGCACAAAAAACATGCCTCTGGCACCAAATACATTTTGGCCTTTAAACCTAAGTGCACTGTTTTTTCTTAATACACCTAAACCTTAGGATGAGTTGTTTGTCCAAACATCCAAAGGGGATAACCTCTCACTACATTGATTTGTCCCTCCGATTACAGAATTTTTATCATCCGGAGGAGAATTTTGCTTCCATATTTGGGAAAATCGAATGTCATAGGTGAAAATTTAAATTAAAGTTGTCGCTCGCGAACAAATTATAATAATGCGTCATTAGCATGTAAGCGTATTTATGTACGAGGGATTCTGTTTATTGATGTTATTTCCTTTTCAAAAAGACCAAATTATCCCACAAGGACGCATTTTTTTCCGGATTTAGACTCGCCGTTTCTCTAGGTCGCCAACTGTGCTAATGAGATTTCGAGTGAGAAAATCTTGGAGTTTTACCAATCTAACGTGCTGTGATCGCATGACCCAAAGGAAAAATATTCTTGACTTATAGGCAGTCTTCCTTGTAGCCGTTGGTCATGCTTTGAATCTTCCACAAAATTTTCTGTTTTTCTCTAAGAAAAATTATTTACTTTGATACCTGATTCCCCAAAGCAGCATTCATATCAGCGCGCATTAATTTGTATCATGAAATTAAAAATAGCTCGTAATCCCACGGCTTAAACTCTATTGTAGAGTAGAACAAAGAGAAGACTAATTATTCTGTCTGGTTCTCTAAATTTCACTTTTCAATAAATATTACTTTACATTCATATTGCCTAAGGATCAAAACACTCTTCCTTGCCAATAAAATCTACGAGGACTTGACACTTCTTCCCTATGTCAAAATTAACTTGACAAATTGGGTTAAGGTGAAACTTAGCAAACCATTCTTAATAAAACCTCTTTAATTAACTTCACATTTTTGATATCTTCATCTTTGAAGATCAACAACATACACTGTAAACAACTCGGCTCATTGCCCCAAAACATCCGTTTTCACTAATTTAATCATTTTTAAAGTAGTAAACCGTCTGCTACTCCTTGACATATAACTTTTACTCCATCAAATTAGTTAATCACTACTAAGATAGCTGATCTGTCAAGCTTCATTTAAATGATAATTTACTTTTCCTCAGTGGACTTAATATTACACTGATTGTGAGAAATGTTAGCTTGTCAGCATCAATGAGTCAACATACCCTTATTTTAAAGGATTTTAAAAATTTGTGTCTTCCTAAGAGGTGTCAAGATGATACACCTAAGATTCTCTACGTGAATTATTCATTGTAGCCTGCCGGATATTGATGCATGTGTACAGTGCGTGTTCCTTGGTCTTCTATTTCACCTTTTGATGCAGTTTCGTTTCCTGCACAATAATATGGAAATTTTCCAAGGACCAAACTCAAATATAAAGTGCTGTTTCCAGAGGGAAAATTTCTGGTTTCACCTATGAAAATCTCTTGCTTACACTCAAAATGGCAGCTTTAGAAACTCTTTCCTGTGACCAAGTTACATTATCCAGTGAACTCAAGGCTGTTTCCAGTGGGTAAATCTCTGGTTTCACTTATTAAAATCTCTGGCTAGTACTCAAAACATCAACTTTAGAAACTCTCCACTACAGTGACTAAGTTACTTTATCAAGTGAAAACAGTCGATAAAACCAAATTTTTAAGCTTATGGTTTGCTTTGTTTCACATTTGAAATTGAAAGTCTTGTCAGAGTCGCAATTTGTTGACTGTGCATGGAGATTAGTTTCCAGGAGAAATTTAACACTCAGAACGCAAAGGAATTGAAGGAAAACGGCAGACAGTTTTTGTTATTCTGGGAGATCTTTGTGTGACTTGGAAAGCCTTTTACAGTATATTTACTTAACAATTTACATGCTTGTAATTGTAAATTTCTTCCCTTAGGCGCAAAAACCATCCAAGTGGCTTTTTAAATGAGATTTATTTGGGACAACTTTTTCATCTGTCATTGGTATTTATGCAAGAAATAAAACATGTTTTTACCATTTCAATTTGTGCAGTGCTGCACGCTTGTTTATCATTAAAAAAAGTTTTATTTAGAAAGTAGCCAAAGCAAAGTTGGGTTCTCTATGAGAGTAAATTGGAGTAAATATTCCTTCTGAAAATTAACTTATAGTTTACTTCAACTCTGTTACAGCTACTTGCAATACTATTAGAAAACTAGTAATACACGAAAAGGCTGTAGTTCTATAGATATAGTAGCAAATTATAACTTAATTTAAAAAGATATGCAAGATCCCATTTAATTCCTATTAGCTTTGTTTCCGTTTAAGTTGGTTCCAGAAATTAAAGTCTCCATGTTTGTAGTTAATAAATAATTTAGCCAGTCGTGGAGTGATCAAAAGAAGTTTCTCTATGTTAAAATTAAATATTATTGTGTAGAAACTTACATTGATCATTCTATACAGGATTGCTCATGATGTAAATTTGTCAAATAAAGTTTACTTGAAGTCTTTGGTGCCCATTGACAGTACACTTAATAATAGTGATTAAGATGGCTGTTAAGTCCAAATAAAATCTGAAAATCTCATTTTACCATTCCATAAACTTTAAGGTACATGTAATTTGTAAGAAGAATTCTGTAATTAATGAAAATTCAGACTGATATAGTTTTCTTTTTACATTCACATTACTCGAGGTTCATGAGTAGCCAATGTAGTTGATAAGAGGCAAGATCTGATTGTTAATTCTCCCCTCTAGCTGCTACACATTTACTTGCAAAGTAGTTACAAGAATTTGGTGTTAGATCAAGACAAGAATTTCTATCTGATTAGTTTGAATGTTCTCATTACCTGTTTGCTGGATAATATATGAATATTATCGGGAGAAATTGCATGTTAATCACTTTTGGGAGTTGGAGATTTAGCTGTTTTTACCAATATGTACACTTTACTCTCTGCACTGTTTTATTTAAAAATTTGTTTCCTGTGGTTCTTACAAAGAGAATTTTTGAAATGAGCAGTGGTGATCATTTTCTTCATTCTCATCACCTGTTGGCTGAAGAATGTATGGATGTTGTAGGGAGAACTTACATGTTATCACTTCTGGGAGTTTAAAGGTTAAGTGCTAAAGAGTTAACTTAATGGTGAAAAAATAAAATGATATTGATTCTTGAAATTATTCACGCAGATGATGATCTGGAAAGTGGATACCTCAGCCCTGGGAGTGAATCCTCCAGATCTCAGACCCACAGAGCAAAAAATGTGAACAACAATGTTCACATGATGGAACAGAAAGTTCGCATCAAATTTGAATTTAAAGGTGAAAAGAGGTAAGCATTCAGAGAAAATGAGTTACAATAAACCTTTTTATTTTCACTGTATCAAGATTGGTTTAGGTAAAGTTTGAACTCAACCTAAGTGGTCCACCTGGTTGGTGCTTATTCCAGTCTCCCTAGCATGAAGGGGAACAGAATATTTAAGTCTTCCCCTGTTTGGGATGGTAGTCCATCATAAGGTTAACCCTCCCCCCCCCCTCAGCATTTGATTAGGCTTCCTTAACAGTTCACTGTTACAACCCATTTATACTTCTGGGTGGAGAGAGAAGCCCTGTGAGAGTAAAGTTTCTTACCAAAGAACACAACACATTGACCCAGCCTTGTTATCAATGTTAACTTTTATTTTCTGTTATTAGAATCATTCCAATCGCCAGACCTGTGATTCTATCTGAGTTACTTTCAAAAGTCAAGACAGCGTATGGTCAGGATCTGTCGATGAACTATGTCAGCAATGAGGTGTGTTTTTGTTCTCTTTTGTTATAAGTGGAAGGTACCCCAGTTAGGTTAACAGGTTTTTAATTTGGGTGAAATATTCTACAAGAACCTTCTTTAGTCGAAACATTATTAGCTGTAGCTCCAAATTCCAAATTTTACCTTGAAGCAGTAGACTTAGACACTGCTTTGTGAACGAACTTCTGCTAAATTCGGATTAAGTTATTACATCAGTATCAGTTTTCTCCATACTCTTCTCTAAACATTCTTTTAATACTGACAAGGAGAATTCATTAAACAATCATAACTTCTTAACTTGGGGATCTCATCCCTTATTCTCATGATATTAATGAAAGATTCAGCAGTAGTACTTTAAGGAGAAATTAGATGTAGATGCTGGTTACTCTTAGGGGTTTAACCCTTTAATTATCCTAGATCAAATTTGTTATTCTCCTTACTGTCAACCATACAATTCTTATAATGTTATTTCAGAGAATTTAGTATTGGATCAACTAATTATGCCCTAATTAATATTTTTCTTCATTCTTATCACTTATCTGGTTGATATTGTATTGGTATTGTAAGGGAAAATTCTGTCTTTGTAAAAGGTTGACCCTCATTATTTTTCTTCTAGAATGCAATTCCTCTTGTAAGCCAGTCTGATCTTGACAAAGCAATTGAAATCTTGGACAGAAGCCAGCACCTCACCAGCCTTAGAATACTCTTGTCACTACCTAATGGCATCAGTGACCACACCAGTCACAAATCTAATGTGCCAAATGCACCAGTGATGCCTCCAAGCAACCCAAAGGTTGGATCTCTCTTTGGCAAACCTTTCTATGTAAGTGAGAGTTAAGAAATCCCTTGTCGCAAATTGTTTTGATTTTAATGTTTTTTCTCATCAATTGTCCTTTTGATGCAAGGATTGTTGCTACATGTAAGTTACCACAGTTATGGCTGTGTTATCATTGTGAAATTAGCTTTGCAATCATAGGATAAGTTGGTTTTTTCAATGTGGTTGAAAATATAAACTGGCCACCCTGGCAGACGGTTTCTAGAGCTGATGTTTTCAGCATCAGCCTTTCACCAGGAGGATCGTAGGAAGGATAATACAAGAAACATCAGCTGCACCACAGTTTCTTTTAATTAGAAACTTGCCTCCTTTTTTCCCAATTATAGATCACTGAAAGAGTAGAAAATTTTGACAAAAAGCTTAGAAAGTTGCAGAATTTAAAATAGTTGGTAAGACCCTACTATGTGTATAAACGACAATCTTTTGTAACGAGTAATTTTGTCATTTCTCTTACATGAATAGAAAAAAAGACAACCAAGAAGTTATGGACTTGGAATCAGGTAACCTGCCTTACATTTTGTGAAGCCTTTTGTTCTTCTAATATTTACTCAAATACTCACTCACAATATTTAGTTCCTGATTAATGAGGATTTAAGGCATCTCTCCAGGTCTCAGTCAACCCCTGATGAGATCGCTTACATGGCAGTGGATCCACCCAACACACCAAGTTTATCAAGATACATCAATGTGCAGTACATGTCATCCAGTAATATCAACACCAGAGGCCGAAACTCTCCCCCTCCAGGATTCCATCATGATGAATTCCCAGCTCAGCCTTTCCATATGGTCAGGGTAAGTTGTGATTGAGCTTTGATTGACACAGATTTTCTCCTGACAATTAGGAAAGAGGGTTTGAGAATGAAGGAAACAGTCATGTATGAGATATAAAGTGTTACGCTGTACTTTTTTGAACACTAAACATTTTTCACTGTACCTGTTTTGGTAGTTATATAAGATTGCATTTCTAAGGAGATAAATTTTGTTTTAAAAAAATCAGGATTCAAGTCCTCTGCAAGCTCTTTAGGGAATGGATCAGTCTACTTTATTTTCTTTGAAGTTTAAGCCTTAAACTCCATTTTGACACATACTCAAAAACTCAACCAAGAATCAACCTTTTTTCCTCATACATCACACCGTTAACCACCCTTAAGATCTCATTGGTAATTCTCCTTACCATCTGGCATGCAGTTTTTTTGATGTTAGTTTGGAGAATCTGGTGTTGAATCAACTTACAATCCCCTAATTGATATGTTTCTTTATTCTTGTTATTTGATTGTATGCTTGATATTGTATTAATATTCTGGGGAAAATTCCATCTTGGTCACTCACAGAAGTTTTTTTAAGGGTTAATACATTTTTGTTGGTTCTATTACAGGGTGAAGGTGAATTTATACCAGAAAGCCAAGATCATGTGGTATGCTTCATAATCAATCTTGAAAATGATATGCTCTACTAAATATTTTCATCTTTTATGTGACTAAGACTGAGAGAAAAAAAAATATCTTGTTAAATGGCAGATTCAAAAAGGTTATAACAATTCAGATCCATATCAGTATCTGGGCAATGGCCCACCTACCCCTCCCCTAACCCAATATTCACCCTAACTTGTTATCAATTGACTGTTGTTGGGTTAGGGGAGGGTAGGTGGGCCGTTGCCCAGATACTGATATTGATCCAAAAATTCTGATTAAACCCCCCCCCCCTCCCCCCGAAATTTTAAGCCTGAAAGGTGGCAGACAAGGAAAATTTTCAAATTATTTTATGTGGTGGCACAGGGCTAGCTGAAATTTAAAAATTTTCATGCTCTGTCCTAAAGGCCAGGAGGTATTTATCAGAAACAAATATGATCCTGTAGTTTTTTCAAAAATTGTTGTAGGAATATGCAATTTTTTTGTGGTAGTTATTTTCGTTCTTAATCTTACCCGACTTTTCTGGAAAATTTAGTTGTGAGTATGAATTTAATTTTCCTCCTTTATCTTCAGGTGGTTCCCAGATTTCATAGACGATTGAATATGTGGTACGATCCACTATCACACAGTCAGGTAATTTATGAACACAATCGCAAAATGTTTGTAGTTACTCATGGTAGTGAACTGTATATCTACTGTAGTTGTCTATTCCAATAGTATGTCTCTTGATGTAATTGATTGTTAATAACAAAGATTATAAAATCACAATGGCATACTGTTAGCCCTCATCAGGTGATGAGGTATTCTGTCTCACATGCCATTTCTTTGTTCTTACCACTTTCATTTTATATCATCATATCATCTAGATCTACCACTGAACAGAAGCAATGGCAAAATGGAATCCTTTTGTTAATTAGATCCATTACGTTGCATGCTCATGAACTTACTGCTTGATAAAAAATTTGGAAACTGCATTGGAAAATTTCATCTTCTACTCTAACAGTAATCCTTGTTATTGATTTTTTTCCAGGCCTTATTCTCGCTAAAGTAGTGTTCATTACTGGGAAGATTGCATTTTGTATTCATTTCTCTATTGGTAGTTCATGTATATGATTTTCTTAGACTTATAGTCATTTATTCATCACTCCATGGGTTTTTTTGGAACCAACATAATGACCAGCTCCTGGTTGGCTTGTTAGCTCAGTATTAGAGCATTGTACCCACAGGTCACTGCTGTTTAAGTAGTGTTCATTACAGCGAAGATCTCTTCCATTTTCACTAATCCTTATTACTTGCCTTGTTCCTAGGTAAGAGTTGTTTCCAGTCCAAGCTCTGAAGGTTCTTGGAGAGGATCATCATTTTCTGTGGACAGGTAATGTAGATATCAATATCATTTCTGAAGTGATTACTGGTCACCATTGGTAGTGAAAGGCTAGATGAAGTACTTTTTTCTGACGAATTTTCAACTGTGTCCAGAGAAGGACACAAATGAATGTTAAAATTACAATTTATTTTTCAGTGGAGGTGAAATGCAATCATTTTACAACTCTACAAGATCAGCATCAAACAGCTCACTGGTAGTGGCTAGTGGAATGTTTTCCTCAGGTAGAGTTTCTTTTAAGGAGAAATACTCTGTTTTTTTCTTTTCCTCAATCCATTACACCCCTACATCAGTATGCAGATTCTCTATACATCTCCTAAGGTGATGACAAGGAAATATATTTTGACCAGTCAAGAGCTTCTTTAGTTGGTGATCATTTCCTTTATTCTTGTGAGCTTAGTGCTTGATTCAGGGGTGATATTGTAAGGAGAAATTAGATGCTGGTCACTGATAGGGTTCAAAGTGTTGAATATGCGGTAATAGTAGTGTCCCATTGTCCAAACTTCACAAGGACTCAAACTCAAACATGGACTCAAAATTATTTCCAGGATTTTTATTTAAAGAGTTATTCTTTTGCTTCTCATCGCATATTTTTTTAATTGAGAGGTTTCAATTTTACACAAACTGAATCCATACCGGTTTTTTAATCTGCAGAAGAAGATATAATCGACTGTAAAGCTCATACGTACCCGAGAAGGAGGAGTCACACGATAGGAGGACCAGATGTGGACTATAATGACGGTATGACACAGAAGTAAAATGATCGATGAACTTTCGTCTTCAACCCCTTCTCATTGAGCAATTTTCAGCAGTGTCCAAAGTGATGCGAGACTGTATTGGTTTGCTTTACTTTGCTCTCTGATTGGTTCAGAAATCTGGCGCCATTCTATCAACCAATCAGATGCAAAACTAAGACTAGCCTCGGTCGCCCGCGTTTTCCCGCGCTTTAGGCAGTTTTCTTGTTTTTACTTTGAGTTCTCATTGGCTCTTAGAGGTGTCTTCCTTTCATGTGATTGGCCGTTGTAATTATTTTGATTGGCTCTCAATCGAAAAGTGCTAAATACAGGTCAATGTGTTTTCCACTAAACAAAGTTTTTGATGTCCTTCAGCCATTTCTTGAAATTTTTTTGACAACATGAATGAGTTTAATTTGGCAGAAAGGTCATCAAAATCCAAGACAAGAGAGACTAGCTTGGGTGAAATGTGAAAGTGTTTTTTTTTTGTTTTTTTTTTCATCCTTGGTTTGAATGTCTTGTGTTATCAAACCACAACATAGTCAGGTTTCTGTGAGCGAGCATGTAAGTTGATCTCTTTCTTTTTTTTTCCTTTTTCAGGAAGCCAAAGATACAATGGTACACAGAATTCTCGCAAACCAATCCCGCTGTCGATGAGAATAGACCAGCAAATTAGTCCTGCAAGCAGCAGTAGTAGCAGTAGTGGTTTAATTGCTGATATCGATATAAACACAAAAAGACCTGGAAGAGAGTCTGAGCTCGAAGTCGCCGTGCAGAAGCTTAAAGACATGTCAATAACAGAAACAAAAGGTAAAAAGAATTGAGCAACTTTATCTGCGAATGCATTGGTTTTGCTTTTCATTCGCTCTGTGACTGGTGCAGAAAACTCTCACCACACTTTCAACCAATCAAAAGTAAAATAAAACCAACTGCGACTTGGTCACTCCGCTTCTTTTAAAAGAAAGCTTAAGGAATTTCTTCTCTCTAAGTATTAGCTTCTGTAAGGCAGTAATTCTTAACTAACTTAGTTAATATGTGTGTGCGTGTGTGTGTGTGTACGTGTGCGCGGTCAAAGTTAATTACCATGAGTCCATATTGTAATTCTAATATAAGATTAGTTATTTTAAGTGAGAAAGCCTGACTTGTTATAAGCCTCGTGGTTTCTTTCAGGTTTTCTCGCCATTTATTTTCTGTCATCAATTTTCTTCATTTTTTTTTTTCCATGTGTAAATGTCGTATATGGCAAATAAATATTGTATTGTAATATTGTTTTCCCGCGCTTTCTGTAGTTTGCTCCTTTTTACTTTGAATTCTTATTGGCTGCTTCTGATATTTACCTTTGTTCTGATTGGCTGCTGTGATTACTTTGGGTTTGGTTGTACGGCAGCCAATCAAAATGCGGTTTAATATTTGTTCGGTTTCCATAACAGTAAACCACTACTCACTTGTACTTCTGGGTGGAGTATGAGCGACACTTTGCAAGTACAAGGTTTACTCCCAAATAGAAACTCTGGAGAAGGCTTGAAGCCCAGAGCTCTAATCATTAGGAAAACGCTCGTTGCTGTGCCACACTAATACTGCTTTAATCTTATCACAAATGAACATGATGGTCGGGTTAAGATATACGCAGGAGTATGATATAGTGTGGTTCCACTTTATTTAAAGGCCTAGAGACTTCAAAGTCAAGTTTTGGGATCATTACGTTGTTTTACTTCTGACAATTAATTCTGTGATGGACAATTTTTCCCTCAGTGCTTGAGGTGCCTCGAAACTGGACGAAAGGGAAGCTTCTCGGAGCAGGAGCGTTTGGTCAGGTAAGATTTGATACATTTATTTTGGTTACTTCTTGATCTTATCAGACCTTTTTCACATTGTAAAGCAACATTACTTACAGGACAAACGTTACTTACGGTGCGTACATTTCTTCCAACATTAATAATACTTGCACTACAATGCTTAAAAAACTAACTTTACACACATGAAGCTAGCGTTAACTTCCAACGTAACATTTTTCAAGGCCTGAATCTCTTACGCTACAGACATTACTTACAATACTGACATTGCTACATCTTTTCTCGGTCTATAAAGTGCCACTTTTTTTATTTACTTTTTTTCATTTTATATCAATACCTCTGGTTCCATATTACGGCTCTGTTTACTACTATGCATGAGAAAAAACACATTTGTCTGGATTTTATGTTCCTAGTGACTAAATTTTATGCTTTAACAAACTAAAGTATATGATTCAGGCAATGAACAACGAAGACCTTTTCCTTTGGGGTGTAAGCGTCTTTGTTTGGACGAAGAATTCCTGTCATGATTTTACTAGTTGTAGGTAAAGAGTCATTAATTTGAGTTGTTTCTTCTTGTATAGGTATACATGTGTCATGACCATGATACAGGGAGCGAATTAGCCGTCAAACAAGTTGAAGTTGGGCTCCTCAACACTGCGACCCAAAAGGTTTGTCATCAACTTCCAGCAACGTGGGAAGTGACCAAAACAGCATTTCTCCTTACAATATCGATACAATATCAAGCATACAAGAGATGAGAGTCGAAAAAAAATGTCTTGGGGGATTATTAGTTGATCCAATACCGAATCATCCGGCGAAGTAACATCATAAAAATTGTATGGCACACAGTAAGGAAAATTACTAATGAGATCTTGGCCGCAATAGGGTTAAACCAGGAGAGCATTGAAAGAGAAGCTTGATCTATAAACCACTAAATTTTATCCCTACTATTTAAAAGTGTGGATAAATATTTTACGGCGTTTCACGTCTTGAGTTCTCTTCAAGTCTCTTAATCGTTCGAAAATTGTCTCCAAATTTGGTAAAAGTTTGGCTGTGGACGCCGCCATTTTGTAAAGCACTCAGTAGCCTGGTCGTAAGATTGGTGTTAAAGCTTTATGGTTCTTTGTTTTTCTTCAGGAAGTGAAAGCTCTCGAAGCAGAGATCGATCTTTTAAAGAATCTCAGACACGACAGAATAGTGTTATACTATGGGACACAACAGACAGATCTGCATGTCTACATATTTATGGAATACATGCCTGGGGTGAGAATTGCCAGATCAATGTCAGTATCTGAAAAACTACGTATCTACTCCTCCCCTAACACAACAAGAGTCAACGGATAACAAGTTAGGGTTAACGTTGGGTTAGGGGTGGCGTAGGTGCGCAGTTTGGATACTAGTCCAAATTTCCTAAGTAAAATTAACTTAAAAGTATAACTTGTATTCATCTGTTGTCTTCTTTAACTGTTCTGACCGTTTCGTATCCTTGCCAGCTCTGCATTCAATGCGTTCCTTTTGAATCTGTATGCGGTTCTAAGCCGTCATTTTTCTGATTAAGCGTATTCCAGGATTCGTTTCAAATGATTTAATAAGATTAAAGCTAAAGTGGTCATATGGTAACATTAGCCAATCAAAACAAAGGGTAACATCAATAGAAGCCAATGAGAACTTAAACTGAATAAAGGCAAATGGCCGATAGCGCGGGAAAACGCGGTTGAAACGCGGTTGGTTTCAGTTTTACGTCTCTCTGGTTAAGAGGGGCCGGTATAATTTGAAGACCAATAGCAGAGCGAAAAGAAGGCCTATGTAATTCAGGAGCTCCTTCGACACCCAGTAAAAAATAAGACTATTTTCAGTCTAGTTGTGTAAAACTCGTTTACGCGCCGAGTGTTTCTAATGCAAAACTTGTGTGTTGCTAACCATTCTGTTGTTCCTCTTCTGGAAACTAATGCATACTTTTTTAATACATTCCACAGTCATCGGTACACGACCATATCAAACAACATGGTGCTCTCAATGAGAGTTTAACGAGAAAATATACAAGACAAATTCTAGAAGGAGTGTCTTTCCTTCACGCGACTCTAATTGTACACAGAGATATCAAAGGTAAACTGAATGAGATTACTACACCCTAGAGAAACAGTCTATTGAGTGCTATGATACAGAGCTGATTGCACATATATCCTTATTGCATAGATCGAAATTCAAACAGCAATGGATCTGGAGATGTTTTAATGTGTTTTTTTAACTCATTGCTCGCCTTTTCTCTGACGAAGCCTTTGTGTGGCCTAAGCCCTAAGCATTAATTTTTTAAGGAGGGCCTAAGGGGTCTGGCACTAGAAAGCCGATATGCCTGATACTTCTCTGGGCTACAGACATACCTTGAGATGTCAAAACTTTAAATTCTATGGCTTAAATTTGTCAGGAGTTGTTGTCATAACGAAAAAGGCGCGAAGATCGATAAAATTTATACCCGTATTGAAATATGAAAATACCGCACATGAGTATAAAAGAGGCCTGATACTTGACTACGCAAAACTGGCTGAAGATAGCAACAGAAATAGGTCTTTTGGAGATATTAAGAAACTAATTACGATTATCATATAATCTACTTATTCAGTTTTTTTGTTCTCTACAATTAAGGTGCAAACATCCTTAGAGATCTTCGTGGTAATGTGAAATTAGCCGATTTTGGAGCGTCCAAGAGATTACAGGTAACTTTACTAAATCACTGAACCTTGTTCTCAAGTGAAGAAGAAAACTTAAAATGTGCTTTGTTACTCTGAACGTTTCTGATCCTTAAAATTTTCAATTTAGGTCTTGTTCAGATGTTTTTTGCTCTTTTGTATTAAAGCCACGGACCAGTAATTTTATGTGGTACTACTGCCTTGTCTTAACACCTTCATCTTTCAATATCGCAGACAATTCGAAGTAAAACTGGTTTTCGATCAGTTCATGGCACTCCATACTGGATGGCACCAGAGGTGATAAACGGGGAAGGCTACGGGCGCAAGGCTGACATCTGGTGAGGAACCGGTCATGTTTTTAAAATATATGTCAAAAGTCGAGTTATATTAAGTTTTAACAACTTTGTAGAGGGCGTTAAAGGAGAATTTTGATTGTGAATTTGCTTTGTCTCCAGTGTAGATATGGTATGATGTCTGGTGAAGCACAATTTTAGTTGTGAAACTAAATTCTCCTTAATCGAATGATGTACTACTTGTACAACTTTCTGGAGGGCTTTAAGGAGAATTTTGATTGTGAATTTAATTTGTCTCGTGTAAATGTGGTATGATATCTGGTGAAGCACAAGCTCAGTTGTGAAACTAAATTCTCCTTAGTTGAATAATGTAATACTTGTCCAACTTTATAGAGGGCGTTAGGAGAATTTTGACTGTGAATTCGCTTTGTCTCCAGTGTAGATTTGGTATGATATCTGGTACAGCACAAGTTCAGTTGTGAAACTTAATTCTCAAAATTCTAATGATGTAATACTTAACAGCTTTATAGAAGGCGTTAAGGAGAAATTTGATTGCGAACTTGCTTCGTCTCTTGTGTAGGAGTCTTGGTTGCACGGTGGTAGAGATGCTGACGACGAAGCCTCCATGGGCGGAGTTCGAACCAATGGCGGCCCTGTTTAAGATTGCAACGCAGCCTACAGAGCCTTCGCTGCCGCACGATCTGTGTGAGGACGCCAGGGAGTTTATTCAGTCCACTCTGACAAAGTGAGTACCTAGATACGGACTTTCCTGAAAAGTGTTGTGTTTGTTGGTAGGATGGGGGCGGCAGAAGAAGATCGTTAGTTAGCGTAGATTCACAGATACATTTTCTAGGTGGCAATTTTGGCTCTGATGATACGATAAGCCTGCGATGCTTCCAAAGATGTTGCTAGGCATCATGCTGGTTCGACGCACTTTTGGTGAGATATTCTTCTCTATCTAGCTTGCTTTGTCTCGGAAACTGTGACCGTTTCAATTAACCAAATTCAAGAGAAGACACTAACCCTCCTCAGAAGAATGATAACTGTAGCTTGTTATATCGTAACAGGAAGCGTTGGTTAGTAGCAGCAACAGCACTCTTAGAGAGTAACAGAGCAGAATCGGCTTTACAATAGTATTGCCAAGGAAAATCATCCAAACCATAGCCATAGGAAGTAATTGCTTGGGACGAGAGAACGCAACTTTAGAAAGCCTTGCCAGGCAATATCAAGGTTGATAGCCACGGCTTCGGTAGAAGCGGTGATAGCTTTAGATGCTGGAGGGTGTGGTAATGATGGAATTGGGAGAAGATGATTCAAGAACACTTGCCGCAGTGAGATACGTAGGTAGACTAGGCAGGCATTGTTTCGGGGGTAGTCCATGCAGTGATAGATGCGTTACTTGTTGTAGATGCAAAAGAAGAGATAGTTGTTGATTAGGGAGATCAGGGAAAGAAATATTTACGATAGTTACAGCGTAGCTGGCTATCCCAGGTTTTGGCAAGCGTAGTGGTGGTAAGTTCAGCGGTATGTTTAGTAGGAAGTGGCGGCACTGGAGTTAGGAGAAGTACGAACTACATGCGGTAGTGAGAGCGGAAGTCGAAGGAGAGATCAGGTAGTAGTTCAGAGTAGTAGCATCTCTGTCAGTTGCTGTTAGTGTTAGCAGTGGATGAAAATTTGTTACAGAAGCTTCATCAGGTTTCGCCTTTTTGTCAACTATGGTTAAGTAATCTCGCTGCTTCATAGGAACTCTTGGCAAAGGCCTTCGGCTGACGAACTGCTGAACTTCACCTTCGTTGCAAACTCCGCAGTAACGACATGTTTATGACGATCGAAAAGAGCGAGCGATGTCTATGACGAGGTATCCTTGTAAGTCAAGGACTTTCTGTCGTTTGAAAAGAGTGGGTGATGAACTTCATCACGACTTTGCAGTCAATCCTTAGGAATATCATCAAAGTATACTTTACAACAAAATTGCCAATTAAAAACGTTGAGCTAAAGGTCATTTGATGCGGGCAAGCTAAGGATCTGTGATACGAAGGCATTATCATCCCGATGGAATAATCAAGGGAAGTTTCAAGCATCAAGACGAGCAATTCAAAATACAAAGTGAGAAGCAAACTGAACTAGAACGCATTGACGTTGATTTCAACTACGAGCGAGAGTTGAAGAATTTTCCACAGTAGTATTAATTATACATTTTACAAGCGATGAAATTTTTGCCGATAATTCTTCTCGTTAGACGTGGAGGCTAAAAAAACATCCTTAACAGGAGAGGCTGTGGTATAGAGTATAAAAGTTTTAAAGCCAATATTTTTTAGATTTACTCCTCTACGAAGAAGACGAGAAAATATTTACATATCATTGTACTGTAATTGTTTATAAATATGTGATTCTTTGCTTCTTCGTGCCATTCAAAGCCGACACCGACTTTTCACGAAATTGTACTGAAGATTGCACGAGTCGTGGACTTTTAAGCTTGCTCGTGGTAACTACAAGCATTCTGGCAACAGGAGTGATATTTTCAGTTCTTTGTAGAGCTATGTTGGAATTGTGTATGTACCAAGAGAATATCAAGCTAAGAGGCTGGCTTCCTTGCGATGAACATAGAGTTAAAGGAATCCCTCTCAATATATTTTCCGACTTATTTTCTGTGGTCTCTTGAGAATAGTGTCACAATTACCAGACATGTAACTTGAATCTCTTATTGGAGAACAACTACATTCAGCATTGGATGTCCAAGTGCAGAAATATCGCGACACGAAATTGGTTGTTTTCTTAGATCCTCCAAGGATATCTGAAATTAGTAGTGATTTCAAAATAGTTCACATGTTCTTTTTTTCGTGCTTGGCAAGCGTGAATCTGACTTCAAGTTGTCCTCCACTTTTCACCGGTTACATGATTGGCGCGCTCTCAATTGTCACATGTTTCCCGCACTTGACTCAGGTTTTGTCAGTTTAATTTATTTTTCCCCGCTCTTTTCTTTTGGCTTGGTACACATTTGGCGCGCCTGCCAAAAATTTTTGCGCGCTTGATGCTGATTGGTCCCACTGGTCCATGTTTCCGTTGCGTGCGGGTTTCTGGGGTTGTGGGTTTGAGTTTGACAATTGTGATACTAGTGTCAGTGAGACCAAAAGAGATTTTAGTCAACCGGAGATCTTAAATTAGTTACTCTGAAATTATTTTAAAGAAGCGTGTACATGAAGCCTAAGATATTGAGTTTTTTTACGATATGTAAATAATTAAGCTTGTCAATAGAGGCGTTCTGTTTTTTCGAATTTTGTTCGTTCTGAACAAGTGATATTTTATATGACAGCTTGCTTCAATAAGTCATACAATGAAAATTTATATTGTATAATACTGCTGTAGATAAGGCATAGGTTGTAGATAGGTTTCATCGATAAAAGATCAATTTATGGCTTTCTTAGTTCTCCAGCTACAAAGCCCAAATTCAAATAATTAATATTTTCATTGACAATTCATCGCTTCCCATAATAAACCGTCGAATGTGTGGCATGAATGTGAATGAAATCAGTAGTTCTTGTTTAAAGATCGCCACCATGGTTTCATCCAAATAGCTAAACCTTGGAACCACACCTTGCAGCAGAACAAGAATTGTTATCACTTTGTCGTTGTAGCGCATTTTGCGGGCTAAAATGTACTTTAGCCCGCTCGCACGCTCGCGTGATTGTTCCAAATTTTTTTGGTCATTTTTTTAAAGTTTTTATTTTTTCTTAATGCCTTCCAAAGTGATGATAATAGTAAGACGGTGTGTGTTCTTAGATACTGATATGTTTTGGGCTCTTCTCAGATCATTTTAACCCTCGCTCCGGCTCCGGCTAAAATGACTCGGTGTCGGGCTGCATGCTGTTTTAATAGCACAAGGAAGTTCTGCTCATTGGCTTCTAGACTTGAGGGTTTCTTCCACGCACTTTTAAACGAGAACTACTTTGTACATCGTGATACACAATACCACTAAACAGTACTACTTCATTTTAATGGTCACAGGGGTATCTTTCACAGACATAAAACATGAACATTAAAGGGTGGTTTTTGATAAGTGTCGTTAAAACAAAACCAAAGTAATTACAACTTGAAGAAAGGAAGACATCTTGAAGGGCCAATGAGAACTCAAAGTAAAAACGAGCAAACCGTCTGAAGCGCGGGAAAACGCGTGTGACCATGTCGAGGTTGGTGTTGGTTTTGCATCTGATTGGTTGGGAGAATGGCGCCAGTTTTCTGGACCAATTACAAAGGAAAGTCTAGCAAAACCAATGCAATTCCCGATTATTGTCAACGCCCAGTTGACAATTGCTCCAACAAACAGCACTACCTAGAGCTACTTCGTGTTAGTTTAATTTATACGTCAATATTCACCTCATTCGGTGGCTCGTCATTCAAAATGGACTCTGGAGCCAATGTAAATTGTTAAGTGACTCCTGATCTTACAGTGTAAAGTAATTCCAACAGCTGTCGACAAATTTGTTTTGGCAAACAGCTTGAGACAGTGAAATAGATTGTTATCTTTGAAAAAAAAAACAACGAAAAAACAAGGAATAAAGTATTGCAATGTTAGTGCATTGTGTGAAATAAGAGGCTACGTTCAAATTCTAAGCTGAGTAGTGTACTGAGTAGTGAACAATGGAGAGTGATTTCTTTGTATACCTCCTCTTTGGTACTGTTTGTAACTCCCCGAGTTGGAAAATTTCAGCTCCACTTCACAACAGATAGATGACATTGTATAAGCCATTGGGCTTATAATTTGCGTGTTTCGGCCGAACGCCAGAAGACATACAATGAATGAAGAAAAGCCACAGGTAATAAGCCCTTTATGATGAACAATATCACTCGAAAGAGAGAGAGGAAAAAAACAGAAATTGCTATCTTCGTTTGCAATATCACTCTACTCTACCTAGTAACCGCCAATTACAACATCATAACAAAACAGAGAACAACAGCTGGGCAACCAGTTACAAAACAAAGTGGTAGGAATGTTGGTCGGAAAAAAAACAACTGCTGAAAAACAAGGAAAAAGGACAGGAAATCTGGGTGGTAACCAGGGACAAGCTCTTTTAGACCATCTTACGAGGCCATATATTAAATAACATTCAAAAAAGAAAAGATTACAATGAGCGGTGTCGGCTTTAATTGCTCATTTGCAATCTCAAGATGAAATATCTGTACAACATTACCCATCATTCAACCCACGAAGATGCCGGCGCCTAGGGCCTTTTGTTCTCGTGCCGCAGAAGCATTTAATTTCCGGCTAATCCGTAAGCATTCGAGGTCCGGAAATTCCATTCTTCATCATTATTTGTCCCCCACTTGAGACAAAATTGTTTTTAGTACCCAGATCTTTAACTTCTTGATCTTTTGTTATTTTCCCTGTTCCCCAAATCACCCCTCCCTTGACGCAAGTCGACGCTTCAACGGCTGCGAAAGTATCACGCACAATTACGACAATTTGTTTAAAACTCAAAAGCCAATAAACTCTTGGAGCTATTATTAAACATGACCATTTAAGCCTGAATGTGAAAGATTATTGGGTACTAATTGGCGACTTTCGAAACTGAACGGTTTTAGCGAAACAAGATTAACAATTTCTCTACAGCTATCGAGCTGAGGAAGGGAGTTTAACTAAAAGCTGTTTTAATTTGAATATTCGACGAATGGAACAGGATATCTCCAAAGATAGCAGGGACTGGGCTTTTCGAAAAAGGCTGGATGGTGATTTTTTTGACGTGCCACACGTAAAGGTAAGATTTGTTTTCATTGGGGGAAACGACCTTACATGCTCTCATCATAGCGACTCCGATTAAAATTTTTCCAAGGAAAAATAACCTTTGCGACAAGGATTGCATTCTCAAAGCAGAAAATATCACGTCAAGCAATTAGATAATCGGAGAGAAGGCGGTTTAAATTTTTGCAATTTAGAGATATTTATGTAACAGCGGGTATAAGATATACCTTCGACAATAAAAACATAATATTTTTGTCGAATTTAAAATGGCATTTTCTCGGCTGAAACATCAGCCGGATGAACGAAACTTTGTAAGATTGCCAATCCAGGGTGCTTATTAGGGAATACTCATGAATTTCCTGTGCTATTTTGGCGGTTTTATACTGTATTCGTGATGTTACATCATTCTTCGTTGGGCCGTGAACATTTGCAGCATGTAGGATCGGCCGGGTGCCCGGGTTTAAAAACGAGAGAAAGAATCCGCTTTAAATTCGCTCTTTGCTCGAAAAAGCTGTCTCAGAAAAACGACGTAGGCAACAAGTTACTCTTAAGGCAAGGCATTTACATTCCTTTTATAAGACGCTACAAGCGATATTACTATTCAGTGTTCGATAGCAGAAAATTGCTTAGATGGCATTCACTGAGGAGATTCCTGAACGCATTGCGCTCCTATGTTGTCTAATTGATCTTATCTATGTGCAAAACACTTATCAATACACTAATGAAGAAATCTATACCCACAAAAACTACGGGTAGGTCACAAGCTATGAGAATAGCCTTGCATGAAAAATTTCGCAGACGCACGCATATGGAATTCAAGACTCTTAAGTTTGAGACGATCGTGCAATACCGTGCTACAAATAGATATGAGAGCCCTTAAACCAAATTTTACTTTCATTCAACACCGGAAGATCTGTCCTTCACTATGGATCGAGGCGAAGCAATGAGGGAAGCGGAGAGGAGGAGGAGGAGGGGTTCAGCCTTTCCTCGAACGATAATTGTGGGGGCAAAGCTTTTCCTTCCCTGCTAAGACTTTTCAGAACGAAAGTTATCGCAATTGAAGCATGAACTGGCCTATAACAATATTTAGTCTCGCGAGAGTGATCGTATCAAATATCACTACAAGACCCTTTTTGGACAACGACATCCTTATGCACTCTCCCAAAATATATGACGAACATCCGGGCTCTGGTTGACCGAAGGATGAATAACGCTATCCATTAGATAAATCTCTATCCGGTGAAAACCGCATTAAGTTAATATTAATATTATTATTATTATTATCATTTTATTTTTTTAACGCTCATCCACTGGAAAACGATTAATCTGTTGGATAGCGTTACCCACTCTTTGAATAACTGGTCCCTTGTTACTATTAATACTGCGAAGAGCTTTGCTTGTAACAACGAATTAGGTAAAATACATTTTTAGGAAAGCTGAAGCAGCATGACCCCCACCCCTGCCCTCGGCTTTTTAAACTGCCCTGCCGTCTACAAAGGGCTCAACAGGAGATACCATCGCCTCAAAATTGTTGCTCCAAATTAAATGTAGGCAAAAAGTCGTACGTATTCGTGATTTCATAAAACACTTTCATGTGAGTTTCATAGTATTAGGACGAGCTTTTAGATCCTGTTTTCATATTTCTTTTGCTACAGTAATTTTCATTTTAGTTTTTTGATAATCCGAGAATGCTCTGTTTCTGTTCTCTGATGCTTTATAATTGGTCTAAAAAACACGTGCCATTCTCTCAACCAATCAGATGTTAAAACTGAAATCGGTCGCAGCTTAGTCCTGATGCAGCAATTTACTGAACTATACTTTAAGTTTTCACTCCTTATAATAGATTCTTTGTTCTGATTGAACGTTGTTTTACCTTGGGTTTCGTCTGCGACACTATAGAATGCGCTGTATTCATATCACATATCAGTTATTTCCTTGGACATCATGTTTGCGGTTGTTCCTCGATCCCCCCTTGTACCCAAGTGGGTGACTGGCATCCAGTTCTTCACGGGACCCGCCCCAAACCTCTTTCGTTTATTATCGTGCTTGGCTTTCGGGACAGGCTAAATTCTCCGAACTGTATCACTACTGAATCAAGCGTTAAGATAACGAGGATGAAGGAAATCAACAACTGTGAAGAAGCTCTTGATTGATAAACAAATTCTGATTGTCAGTACTACAGGAAATGTGAATATACATACTGATGTTAGGATTGAAAAGTACTTAGCTTCTCACAATGTGAAGGCACCGTATATATCTCAACATTAACGTCATTAGTACAAGAAATACTCTGTACTGCAATGATTGTCTAAACCAAAAAGAGTTCTCATGATGTCAAACTCATGAATGCATCAGAAAGTTTCCGAAAAAAGACCTACCTGATTTTCCCATAGTCATTTTGTAAGATTTCCTTTACTCTTCAAATTGGAGAAATGAGTATGCGGTCGATTCAAAAAGCAGATCCCTACCCTCCAGTCCCTGATTGCTAACTGATTGCCTGGGGTTGTCCCTTAGGGTTTGTTGACTGGCGCCCAAGGATTGAGCAATTTTCCCAGGTACCTCCTCGGGTACACTAGTAAACAAATTCTCCATGTTTATATTTCGCTGACCACCGATCGAGAACGTATTTTTCGAATAGTAAGCTTTGTATTTCTAAGGCTTGGCCTCTTGAGTCAAAATATAACATCCAAAGAATTTGCTAGAGTTGCGAAGGCGAGCAGATCTTGTTTATTTTGACGAAGAGCTCTTTGCATATGGATGTGGCCATTGGTCAAATATGACCTGCACTGAAGCGAGGGAATTCTTGTCAGCATAATAACACGATTTTTTCAAACGTAACTATATACTTTCTTTGCGGCGAATGTAATGCTAAGCAAGGATATGGACGTGGTCATTTCTGAAGTTGTCATGGAAGGAGTATTGGCATGAATCGGCCGCTTTCTGTGGTTGTAAATCCCTGGCGAAAATGGATGACCGGACAGATTCAGATCACGATGGTGTTCTCTCAGATGACCAACCTCCACATGCGACAGTATGCAAAAAGGTTAGGCGGTAGATTTTTTCTGTAGGTGTCAAGTCAGGGATGCAGAAATCTAACTTAAGGCTTTAAATAATTTACTCGCTTTATAACTGGTCAAGGGAAGAGCAGTAATAATCCGTGGCTTTGTTCAAAGGTGACTAGAATGTCTCGCTGGTTTTCGATTCAATGCGGCGCATCGCTCAAATGTCAGCTTGAAATTAGACCACGGCTCTACTTAAGCTGAGAGCCCGATGCTTGTTAAATATGTATTCTAGGAATTTATCTTCTGTATGCCTCGAGATCACTGGTGTTTTAAGCTATTCCGAGCCATCTTGTCTAGTTAAATTAAAACCAAATGCTCTCTTGGCCTCTTTGAATCTTGACTTGCTACATTTGATGAATATTTCGGTTTCTAAGACGGAGCGTTTGAGATCAAATCTTCCATCTCACACAAGTCAAAACCGCAATTCCTGATATATTTTCCAGTTTAGTAACCACCCACATGATCTATTTTGCTGCAATATCTTATTTTTATTTCACAATTTTTAAAATATCAGATAATTTTCCAAGCATCGGGTCGTGCCTGAGTGCCTGTATTGAGCAATATACATGAATTTCTTTAAAATTGACATGACATATTTCACTAATACTTTTACACGATTTTTCTCGCTCGGAAATATTATAAACATTTATTTTTGTTCGTTTGATTTATTAAGGTGTTTATCTTAAAACTAGAGTTAAGGTCGCAAGGATTTTTGTCCTGTATGATTCAAAAAAGCGATTCTAAAACTCTTAGAAATTGTACTTGCCTAATATATTCACGCGGGGTCTGGTATTTTGAGAAAGAGGTCGGGCTATTGTCTCAGTCGTTTTCAGCTGGTTACCGTAGTTTCTCTTGTGGATCATTAATTGGAATCACGTACGCACGATAGGATTCATTTCAAAGCGAATTAAATACAATTTCGTTCAGAAAACACGCGTCGGAACCAAGTCATGTCGTTGATGATATGTTCACGATCGCCTTCGATATTTGACATTCCATCAAACTAACCAAAGCGTAGTACAGTACCGCAGCGTTACAATATACAGTATGTCTTCATTTCTTTAAACGAAGCTTGATTTTAAGGAATTGCAATGTTTCTGCATCATACCGCAGTCACAGTTGTATTGGAGATGTATTGAATATTTAGGAAAACACCTCAAATGCAGAGATTAGCAGAAATTATAATTATACTTGAACCAATTCAACAGTTGTATACTGTTCTTTTGTTCCAATTGTTTATGCGTTAATTTCATCTCTCGGTTAAAAATTATAAACAGTTTGCACCAGTGATCAGTTAAAGCTTAGGTTGCACTCAAGACAAAATTCAGACAAGTCTGTTTTAAAAACCTCCAAACCTGTCAAAATCTTGTCTGAAGATGACCTTGTCAAGTGTGATCAACTGGTTTTTAGACATAGACATAGCTAGGAATAAAAAAGGCTACTTTTCTGCTGAGGAGCAGAACTTTCTTGGAACCATAAACACTTTGTGTCTGTCTTTTGACAAAATTTTCCATCAGTTCAGTGATCCTTGGAGAACTTATCACTGCATATTTCATTATTTATGAATAATATTTTTTTTTGTCTCAACTACCCATAGGTTTATTTTTCAAATAGATTGTTTATTTTGGGAGAACAGCTCCAACTTGTATGAGGGCAAGAGTTGTTAAAACCTTCATTTGCATTACACTGATGTGCGGTGTTTTGCAATGAAGAGTGGGGTGGAAGGAGGGTAGGCAACAATTTGGAAGCAGGTAACAAGGAAAGGAGGGGGAACCACACCTTCCTGACTCTCCCCTTCTTTCCCCCTCATCCAATCAAAAATTGAAAACTTGATCAGGTTTTGTACTCTTTAACCCTTTAACTCCCATTAATATCAAATTTGTACTTCTCCTTACTGTCAGCCATACAATTCTTTTGATGTTAGTTTATAGAATTTAGTATTGGATCAACTAATTATCCTCAAATTGATATTTTTCTTTATTCTTTATTCTTTATTCTTTATTACTTATCTGATTGATATTATGTCAATATTATAAGGAGAAATTCTGTCTTGGTCACTCATGGGAGTCTAAGGGTTAACTAAACAGAATGTGTGAAACAGATGTTTAATATGATGCATTTGTCATAGTGCATCACTCTTTTGAGTCATTAGATGATAATAGGAACTTTGGACCAATTTCAGCTATCTTTTAGGAGTTTAAAAACCATTTAACTCTTTATACCTGAACAAAAAACATACATATTCTCCGTACTGTTCCCTGAACATTTCTTAAGGTGCTGACAAGGAGAATTTGTTTCCCAAAAAACAAGTCTTAGAGCAGTTGTAACATCAGTGGAGTGAAAAAAATACAGCTATCATTCTTCTTGAAGATAGTCAAAACAAAAAAAGGAGAAAAGCTGCAAACAGTGTGGTGTTTGATTTTTTTTAATCCATTGGTGTAAATTTACCATTAGGTCATTTATTCAGTGAGATCAAGCTTGTTCGATTCAATTAAAGCATGGTTCTTTTTTTGATTTGCCATTGTTTTGGATGTGAACTTTCTCTCAAGGCAATATTCTCAAAGCAGCCTCAAAAAAACCACACCAGAATCACAAAAATCTTTTCCTCAGACTGAGATAAGTACTCACACCTGTGAAGGGAAAGATTACACAAGTAAACCACATGTGAATTCAGGTGCACCAAATGTTGCAAAAGAGTCTAAGATGAAATGTACTTAGATGATCCTTTATAAGCGAAGGGATTTCACAAAAGTATAAATGCTGCATGGACTGAGAAGAAGCTTATGCCAGCAAGAAAACAGTGGAGAAGAGAATGCCGAAGAAAATCTTGCCTCTATCAGACCATTCTTTGAAGTTTCCTCTTAAAAAGAAGGGCTTCTGTCTTGCGTGGAAGCCAGTTTCAACTGAGGTCAGAAGCCAACCAAAATGTTGTGGCTCAAAATTAATATGTGGTTGTACTGGTTTGAAACTCATTTGCTTTGTATTTCTCTATTTTCTAATACATTACCATAATATGTAAACAGAGAAAAACACGAATCAAATAAGTTTAAAACTGGTTTACCTTGAGATCTCATAATATGTTTTTATGAATTAAGGTCAAGTCACCTACAGTTCAACTTGCCAACGCCAACTTGCCAACATATAAAATCAAGTAGAGACATCAACAAGTTGGTCTTCAATCCAGTACAACTTATTAGAAGTTAAACATATAGTAAAAAACATATTTGATTCCAACAAAGTTTATATGGATCTCAAGGTGAATAAAGCAAGGTAAGCAAGGTAAACAAGGCCAATGACTATAAAAGCTTCAGACACGAATGAGTTATTGTGTGACAACAACACCATAAAGACTCATCATGTCAATCGGTCAGATTTTTTCAAGAAAACTTGGCTTTCTAGACTAGATCTTTAGTAAAAAACAATTCTTTTTATTTCCAAAAAACTTTATAAGGATTTCAAGGCAAGTAAAGCAAGGCAAACATTGCCAACGACCAAAAAAGCTTTTGATGCGAACAAGTTTTAACTTCTTCACATCTAAAGCTTTTTTGGTCATTGGTGATGTTTACTTTGTCTATACTTTTCCATATATTTAACTTCTAATAAGTTGTACTGGATTGAAGACAAACTCACCAACGTCTCTACTCAATTTTAGACAGTGGTGAGTTGGTGTTGGCGAGTTGAACCGTCGGCAAGTTGACTGGTTACTGTTTATATTTATAAATCTCCTCCTGAAGTTCAATTTGAAAATTACCATAGAATGAATTTTACAAGCTGGGTCATTGTACTTAAGATTTCATGTAGGGGATCCAACACATTGCCAGCAAGTCATTGTTAATCTTTTGTTATAGATGGAGAAGCTTATAAATCAGATGCAAGACGAAAAAGCTGGAGTGCCCATCAGAACAGTAAAAAGTTTCATGTCCAAGATTCCAAGTGTTTTTACTGGTGAGATTATTTTAATTATTATACTGCACTTTGATATGGCAGAGTGTTAAGCAGTGTGGGCAAAAATGCTGACTTGGGAAGATGCCGATTTAAAAAAATCAATTTACGCTTTAAGAGAGAATTTCATGAATGAGCAGATGTGTTTGCTGTATTTTATAGCACCACACATCAACTTCAGCATAACCTATGTGAGTGGTGTTAAGTTCCAAATAAATAATATTCTGTCTGGTGTTTGGTTCTGAGACTAGGCAAATTTTGGGGATTTCACTTTGTTTTGTAAAGGGTAGCTAGAAATGTAGTTGATTCCAAAATTGGGGGCGCTTGAAAAAATGGTTTTAAACTGCTCAGTGCAGTCTGGCCAGAATCCCTTGTTAAGTGTTGTAAATTAGCTCAGAATACTCTCCTGGTAGAAGGGTATCAAAAGTTACTGAACCAAATTAATTTCAAGAGTGACAAAAAAGGACTTTTTCCATTTTTAAGCAGAGGGGTGATAGATCAGAAGGAAAATATCAAATACAGTATATTGTTTGAATCAACATGTGGCACCAAATTCTCAGAGCTGAAATTGTCAAAAATAAATGGCATACAGTTATTGAAATTGATGTTTACGTCTCGGAAGTCAAAGGGTTGAAGTTTGTGCAAGCTTGATATTCCTTTGTTTGTGATATATAGGACTTCAATAATCAACTGCCAAATGACTGCTGCCCATAACCTATCATTTTCATCTGGTAAAAAATTTGAAATTTTCTGAAAGTAGCAGTTTACAGCTGTTTTGAGAACTGTTGTTGCACAAAAAAGTGTAAAAATACCTGCAACAATTGTTGTGGGTATATTTCAGTCATGATTTCTTGACCTCATGATTTCAGGGAAATCTGAGAAAAAGTCACTGTGAGGACAAGGCATTGCAAGTTTGATGAATTCATATATTCATTAGACTCATTTAAATTCACAGATTACAGGATACACACTCAGATTACCTTTTCAAAACAGCTGATACCATTGAGATTTTTTTCCACTTCTAATAGTAAGTTAATTGTTTTTCAGGGAGTGACCTAGTCGATTGGATCATGGGCAATATTGCCATTGAGGAAAGAGGTAACATACAATGCATGGTTATATCTAACCCTTCCACTCGCAAAATCTGAATAACAATTTTCTCCCTGCAGTCTGCAACACAGTTCTCATAGTGGATTGTTTCATCTCTGAGAAGTTGCTGTTAAATCAAACAATATCCCTGTGTTGATATTTTTCTTTCTTCCAAACACCTCTCCACTTGGAATTGTCTTTTTTTTTTTGGTACCTTATGTATTCATTGATATTATTGTTACATATTTTTTTCCTTTTTTTATGTAAGTATTTAGTAAAGAAACCCCTTCATGTCTAATCAGACAGCTGGTATGTCGGCTGCAAATGTCTGTGGTTGAAAAATTGTCCAAAAAAGGAATGTATTTAGTTGGCCAAGAGGTGAAGCTTGGAGGGCAAAGATGAATTCTTGTGGACAATCTCTCAGCAGAGGCCATTGTTAGCTGATATGTCAGCAAGTCAGATAGGGATTTTTTTTTTATAACCCTCCAGTCACTTTTTGTAGTGCTTGTTGACAGCAAAATTTTGTTGACTTTTTTGTACTGTCTGATGCAGCAATTGATTTCAACTTTTGCTTATCACTACCCTTGGAGTCCACAAAATGAGTTCATTCTTCTTTCATTTTAAGTAATAAACATGAAAAAGTGAAACTCTTGGGCTGGCTTTTTTCCACTGGTTTCATTTCTTTTCAACGGAGATAAACAGGGGACAAATATTGATGTAAATAGGGGTTATTTTGTGATGACTGTCCAGTGATTTTGTACCACATCACGTAATATAGCCATAGAGTCACATAAAAAGTAATGTGTGGGTTCTAATCTGAGGTATTATGGGGAGAAATTCTTATTTTCGTCACACCTAGTGAAAGGGCTAAGGGTATAATTGTAATAGTCTGTTTTGCAGTTGTGTGCTTGGTTGCCAAGCCTTTGAACGGGAATGAGGCTAAGGGTGACCTTGTTATGATACAAACCTTGCTGCTTTTCAAATGCAAATTACTTTGTTATCTTGCTAATTGGATACTGATGTCAAAGCATGTATTATTCATCTTATCATAAAATAAATTTTCATGTATTACTCATTTGAATACCATTATTTGTTTCACCATCAGGGGCTGCAGTGCACCTGGCTTCACTCCTCGCAGCATATGGTTACATCTTCTCTATCACTGATCACCACTTGATGGTGAAAGATGATGCTTCTTACTATAGGTTTCAGGTGGGAATAAGCACATTTGTCACATTCAGGGGCTTTTTTATAAAATCATTTTTATAACTTAAATTCTTTTTTTTTTTGGAGACACTGTGGGCAGATTAGTAGTTATATACTTTTTAGGAAATTTGGATTTATCAATTGAGTTGACTATGTAAACTGACCACTGTAAAAGTAGTTTTTAAAGCTAATGTTTTGAGTGTTAGCCTTTGATCATTTTCTTTGACCAAGTGCTTGAATTGTCAGCTTTAGAAACTATCTGCTGTGGCCAGTTTATATTGTCAACTCAGTTGACAAAACCAAATTATAAAAAGAAAGTGGGATCCCATATAGGCCTGAATTTTTTTCAGGCGTTATTTTCACTACTGCCTATTTAAGTAGTGCTCATTACTACAAAGATCACTTTCATATTCATTTCTTAACCCTTTAACTCTCAGATCAAATTTGTAATTCTCCTTACTGTCAACCATACAATTCTTTAATGTTAGTTCAGAGAATTTAGTATTGGATCAACTAATTATCCCAAATTGATATTTTTCTTTAGTCTCATCACTTATCTGGTTGATGTTGTGTAGAGATTGTAAGGAGAAATTCTGTCTTGGTCACTCGTGGGAGTTAAAAGGGTTAAACAGCAGTTTTCTTATATTCAAAGCCATTAAAGCCAAATTATCTTGTGATTTCCCTCACTGACGCAGCACCATAGTTTCTTTAGAAACTTACCCCCTTCTATTATATACTGGATACACTGTCAAAAGTTAAATTCTAAGGAAAGATGTTATCTCTCTTGTCTCAAGCATGGGACCAAGAAAACAGTCTGTGTGCCCCATGTGGAATTAAATGCTGGACTGTTTGATTGCTTGCTTAAATGCTTTACCACTGAAATTCATTCTAGTTCTGATGCTATTCGTATGGTCTATAGCTTCACATCCCCTTTTTATAGTGGAGCTCATAGAGTGTAGCCCCATAATTATACAAAATAGTAGTAACCCATCAAGCCAAAAAAATTTGGATGTACAACCGTATGACCGACCATACAAGGTACTACTTTTAGCATGCTTGGCCAACTGTGCCACAGGCACTATCTTATAATCAGTCCTCTACACGGACATGGAGAAGTTGCGAATGAAAATCCATTAATATTACCATGCACTTTATCCATAAAAGGGGCTTTAGTTTTGTTGAAGAGACATGCAGGGAAAAAAAATGCGAGCTCTGCTTTTAGGCTTACCTAAATTTATATATTAAACATCTATATGTGGTGCTAGTTGGGGTATATGAATTGTGCTTCAGTTTGCAAAATTTTTATTTATTTTTATTTTTTTAGACACCATTCTTTTGGTTATCAAATAACTGGGAACCTGAGAATGTAGATTATGGTAAGTTTATTATACATAATTATATTTTAACCCTTTAATTCCCAAGATCTCATTTGGTAATTCTCCTTACTGTCTGCCATATGGTTCTTGTGATGTTAGTTTGGAGAATTTGGTATCAGATCAACTAATAATCCCCTAATTAATATTTTCGTTATTCTCATCAATTATCTGCTTGATATTGTATTGATATTGTAAGGAGAAATTCTGTCTTGGTCAATCATGGGAGTCAAAGGGTTAAGAAGCTATAAACAATTCTTACTGCAGGCAATGAACACAGTTTAACCTTTTTTCCCCTAAGAGTGACTGGCCTCTTATTTTTCCCCACTTTTTCATTCTATAAAAAATTCTAAAGGTCATGATGAAGGTCACAAGAATAGAGGAAGTGATTGTTAAACAAATTCTCCTTGCCAGTATCATAGCAAATGTAAAGAGAACAGTGGGGAGAATATCAATATTAACATTAAGTCCTTGGAAGGTGTGTTTCTACTTTAATCCATGGTCATCATCTCTGACCCTTCACCCAGTATGCATCATCTCAAATAATTCATCACTGGTCTCTGGATCTCCATTCCACGACCCCTTTCCCAATCTCAATCCCAATCCCCACCCCCTCCTTCCTTCCCTTGACTGTTTACTCCTTTCCCCTGAGAGGAGGAAAGAGAGGTGTAGGACTGGTGCTAAGTATTGTAGTAGCGGTTACAAAGCTAGGCGCTGTATCCAAGTGTGATTTCTTTATATTGTTCTGCAAATTAGTTGTTCGAGGCGGTTTTGTCAGTGGTGAAGTGCCTCTTTACAGAGGCACCATGAAAGTGATTCCCTTAAAGCCCCATGCCATCAGCATCATATCTCTCCTCCCATTATCAGGGGCAAGGTCACAAGAATCAAGGAACTGATTCTTAAGGAGAAATTGTCCAGATCTTCGACAAATTCTCACAATAGTTAAAAGAAAATGTATGGAAAGCAGTGAGGACAATTTAGGAGTCACGTATGAGGCATGAAGGATTATTATTCAAGGAAGTGAGATGGGTTTAAGTTGGATGATACTAGCCTTGCTTCTCTGTATCCATACTTCTTATCGATTTAATTTTTTTTCTTTTCACAGCTGTGTATTTGTGTAAAAGAACGATGCAAAATAAGTCCAGACTGGAATTAGATGATTATGAAGCAGTAAGTGCGCAAAATCTTGTTTCGTTACCTTGCCTTTGAAGAAAAAAGTTTTTAATTTTCAGTTCATACATATGTATGTTACTAACCTACTTTTGACAGACTTCCTTCTCCTACGTAGTCTGTTGTTTATATGTTTTAATACATTTTTAGTAACGCTCGTATTAATTGAGTTAAGTAATACTAATAGATAAAACTGTTTGTAGGAAAACCTTGCGAAGCTACAAAGAACGTTGTCGCGGAAATGGGAATTTATATTTATGCAAGCGGAGGCACAAGCAAAGTGAGTTGTTTTTTTAAAAACTACTTCAGTAGCTTATGCAAACTATTACACAAGCCACATCAAACGTGAATGCTGATTGGCTAAAATTGCCATTGAGCATTTTCAAATGAGTGTCAAGAAGTAATCTGGGATTGATTTGGTTTTGCTTTGTACGCTCTATGATTGGTCCAAAAACTCACGCCACTTTAACAACCAATTAGATTAAAAACTGAACTCAATCACATCTTTGTTACCTGCGTTTTCCTGCGCTTTAGGCAGTTCACTTGTTTATACTTTGAATTCTGACTGGCTCCCTGTGAGAAGTCCCTTGATTCTGATTGGTTTACACGAACCGGTGTGTTTTACGACCATAAATCGAAATGCGCACTAGTAAGAGAGTAATTGCTGTGTTAACACCAGTTTTTTTAAAATTTATTTTGCAGGGTTGATAAGAAGAGGGACAAAATGGAAAGACAAATATTGGATAGCCAGGAGAGAGCATTTTGGAATGTTCATAGACCACCGGTAAGAATAAAAGATTGTAACCATAGTCAGTGATTAAAAATTCGTCCACGTGCAGCTTCATTGGAAATTAGTTTGAAGGACCATAGGAGGGTGGAACAGGGTTTATTCGTGACACGTTAGTGACGCGGGAATTTTAATGAAAGATGAGCGTCATTCAAGAATTTATGAATCAGCGTGAGGCGTGATTTGGCTCCTGAAATATAAGTGACTCTTGAATTTTTTTTCACAGTCCTTGAAAACCTCAAGATTTCCCAGAAACCTTGTTTGCAAGGAGTGAAATTTAAAGTTATTCCTTTTATAGGCCTGACGCGTTAATTTTTTTTTTAAGTCTGTGCGTCTGAACCCACTTACAGCAGTTTACTGCGAACAAAGTTTTAAACATCATTCTTAAACAAAACCTCCAAGTAAAAACAAGGAAATTAGTAACCAAGTCGTTACAGGTCTTATATTGGCTTCTGATTGGCTTTGAAGGAGGTACAAGTTTTCTACATCGATCAATTTAGGCGTTTTGATTTATTTAAGACCTTTTGCTTGGATAATATGCTAAAATAGGCTATTGAAATTTTATTTTTAGCCAGGTTGTGTGTCGGTAACAGAAATAGATATAAAAAAGGCTTGTAAAGCGGTAGACTCATCACCGACCGCAAACAGGAAGGTAAGTCATCCGACTGTATACTGTAAACTTTCAAATCAGCTTCTCCCTCCTCCTCATGCAGCCCCATCTTTACAAGGGTCCTCCATTAGTACTTCAGCTCCAACCAGAAGCCTGTCTTTGTTTAGTTTCTTCCTTCTCTTGCTTTTTTCTCTTTTTCTTTTTTTTTCTTTTTATCTTTCATTCGTTTGTTCTTTCTCATTTTCTGTAGTTCGTCGTTCATGCTCTTTTGCGTTCGTTCGTTCATTCTTTCGTTTGTTTGTTCGTTCTTTCGTTCTTTTGTCCGTCCGTTCGTTCGTTCGTTCGTTCGTTCGTTTCTGTCTTCGTTTTTTCGTTGTTCGTTTGTTCGTTCTTTCGTTCGTTTGTTCGTTTGTTCATTTGTTTGTTCGTTCGTTCCTCAGTCCGTTTGTTCGTTCGTTCTTTCGTTCGTTCCTTTGTTCATTCGTTCGTTTCTGTCTTCGTTTTTTAGTTGTTCGTTTGTTCATTTGTTTTTTTTTCTTCCTTTTTCTTTCTTTCTTTTTTACTTTCCTTTTGTCGTTATTGTTGTTGTTGTGGCCTCGGATTGAATTCCAAATCTGGCGCCTGTCTTGGCCTGAGTTTTTTGTAACAAGATTAACAAGGTATTTGAGTGTGAAAATAATTTTTGAAAATAACTGCACAAATTGACGGCACAACAAGATTGTTCATGACTTTTCAACACAGGTGAACTTTCTACAAGAGGATTCGTCGATGTCATTGTCGTCCTTGTCTGCGCTGGATGGCGTCAAACAAGAGGTACAGTTCAATAATATCTCATTGGACATGATTTATTGTATCAGAATTGTGTGCTGACACTTCTGGCGTCTGATCAATGTTTTCTTTTGGGGTGAAAGCCACTTGTGTCAATATGCCCCCTATATCTTAGCGAACATTTGCGAAAAAAAATGGAAGGAAAAAAGAAGAAGAATAAGAAGTAAAAGAAGAGAGAAAAAAAAAGAATGTGTCCAGTTTTGAAACCGCCACCTGACAGCTCTTGGCTTGCGTGTTGACGCAGTTAGCGATCGATCTAGTCGCAGCGGAGCGAAAAACGAGGGAAGTTTGGGTAGAGTCGCAACCCGACCCAAGCTTTCCTCATTTATTCACTCCTCCGATACTATCGCGCTCGGTTTTGCTAACTGAAAGCCTGGAACAGGCTACCATTTGAATATCAGTTTGGGATTTTAGTGACCTTGTTTCCCCCTGGGAAAAAAGGACTCAAGAAAGGGTTAAAAGTTGACCAATTTCATCATCGACATTTTGTTAGACAGGGCTCGTACGGGTCTTGAAAACCTGGAAAATCCTGCAATTTTATTTTGACATTTTCTAGGACCAGAAAGCCCTGGAAAAAAAGACTACGGGTCCTGGAAAAATAAATCTAAGTCCTGGGAAAATCCTTGAAATTTGTTTCTGAAAAGGGGTACGAACCCTGTTAAACCGTCTGATTTTTTTCGGTTTTTTTTTAGTTCTTTTTCAGTTTTTTTCCCTTCTTTATACATATTCAAAAAATGTTTGGTTCACAAGCGTGTTAAAAAAAATCAGATGCTGTAATTAGATAGTTACGTTTTTATTCCAGGTCAAAGAATTAAGGGAGAAACTTCACAGAAGACGAATGAAAACTTCACAAGCCTCTGAAAGGTGTCCAACAATGTTTTGATATGATTGGTAGAATTCCACATGTTTAGTGATGGTTTCTTATCCATGATGATATATTTTTGATGAACAAATGAGGCCATTATCATCGGTAATGTTTTCTTTATCACGTGGGATGCCTGTGGTAGACCACGTTTAAAATTCGCTTGAGTGTCACCGTAGTCAGATATGGACCAACACATCCCTAGATTTTAGCTCGCAGTACTGGTATATTTTGGCGAGCGAGGGCTCCGTATTTGCTTGTGGAAAGTTTAAACGTCATCTTGAATTTTGAAAAGCTGAGAGAGAGTGGGAAGAGAAAGGAATCTTTTCCTCTTCCCCCCCCCCCCCGTCTCCGTCTCACACAATAACCTTGGGGGTAGACGATAGGCAAGCTTGTAACCCTCCGAATAAGGCGTCTCCTGAGCATTCTACCTGTTTTTGTACATCACACCAACTATGAAAAATGTGATTGGTCTAAAGCATTCAACCGGGGAAGTTTAGCTTCCAAGCTTTTCGTCCGTGTAGTTGAATTAAATCATTTTTTTTTTTCAGTTTTATCCAGAGGTGTGAACAGTATGCAGAATATGATGCATTTATTTGGGCGCCAGAGCCATCAAATCCATGGATATCTGATGATATCACACTCTGGGAGCAAGACAAGAGTTTGTAAGTCACCGTTTTAAACAAGCTCCTTTATGGAAACTTAGCAGCAGTTTGTAACGGGGTTAAAGAAGAAGTTGGGTGGGGGGTTTGGCCTGTCAGACCTATAGGTTATTTACTTGTTTTGGGGTCCAGAGGGAGGTCAGTTGGGGTATCTGGACCCCCCTTCCCGTCAGACCTACAACGTATTAACTTGTTCAGGGATCCAAGGGGGTCGGGTGGGGGATCCAGAGGCCCGTCCCGTCTGACCTGTGGGTATTGGTACCACTCAACTCAACTATTTAAAAATTCCCTATTTTGACATTTTTCATAGCTTATTTAGGCTCTAATGTTAAAGGAAAGATGTTGTGTTTCTGAATCGAAGTTGAACCTGCCCTATCCAAAATTCCTAGATTCGAACCCGAGTTAAAAAAAAGAGAAATTTCTTACTTGTCAAGTGCGAGGGCCGCAAGTTTTTCAGTGTTTATGTGGCTGTCGTCACCATCATTAAATAAGTTGATGCATACTGGGGAATATTGGCCCTAGATCGTGGCATACGAAAACAGCTGAGGGCCAATATTCCTCTGTACGGCTCGAGTAAGGAGGTTAGGAGGTAGTTAATTACATGGCACTCAGTCCAAACTTGTTTAATTTTAATTTGCCGGCTTTTGCGACCATGGCTTATGACAATTTACGTGGAAACGTCGGGGGAAAAAAACCTGACCAAGTAGGAACCAATCAGAACGCTCGGATGTACCTCAGGACTACCTGCCATATAAGAAAGCGGTGTATTTGTGTGTAGTTCTTTGTTTTAACACTAAATGTTTTCTTGTCTTCCAGACATTACGTTCCTCCAAAGCGTGTGAAACAATGGGCGTTCTCATTATCAGAACTTCTTGCTGATCCTTTGGGCAGAAGACATTTTGCGCGCTTTTTGGAAAAAGAAATTAGCGCTGAAAATCTAGGGTAAAATCTAAACTTGTGCTTTGTTTGTCCTTTTTTTCTTTTAAACGTATATTTATGATCAGGGACTAGTCAATTTTATCACCTGGGGGGGAAGGGGGGCACGGAGGATTTTGTTAGTGTCGCGATAAAATTTACTTGACCCCCCCTCCCCTTGTAAGGCTCTGTAATATTCTTTGACCCCCCCCCCCCGTTTGCTTTTTATTGTCATTCTTTCCTCTTTAGTTCCTTTTTCTACTCTGTTAGCAGTCACTTACCCTCCCCAATCTCCTTGAAAACCATGTAATTTCCCCCCCCCCCCAGAAAAAATCCCTCAACCCCCTGGTAATAAAGAAAGACTGACCTTCTCAAGAAGTCTACTATAGTGAATGGTTGATATAAATATTTATTTTTGTTTTTGAATAGAAGAGCATTGTTCCTTAACCCTTGAACTCTCATGAGTGAACAAGGCTGAATCTCTCCCTACAATATCAATACAATATCAAGCAGACAAGTAACGAGAATAAAAGGAATTATCAATTAGGAGATAATGAATTGATCTTTTACCAAATTCTCTGAATTAACATCATGAGAATTGTATAGCAGACAGTAAGGAGAATTACTAATGAGATCTTGGGAGTGAAGGGGTTAAGTTTGCATCTGTCTTATTTCTTTTAGATTTTGGCTCGCTTGTGAGAAACTCAAAGCAACGCCGATACGGAATGTGCCAAGTAAAGCTCAAGAAATTTTTAAGTAAGTGTTTTGTTTTTTTTCGTTTGTTGGTCTGTTTGTTATCACGAGCCACAAAGATGCGAATGCTCTATATCAGTGTTGTGTAGTGTAGATGCACACTTACATTATGTAACGCGCAGGGATTCAATCCACCTGTGTCAAACACGTAAGTACAAAAGACTCCGGTGACATGGTCGGAAAAATAGAGGCAGGTGACTTGGTGTAGCAAAAACATCTAAGCGGTGACCACGAAGTTGTATGTGGGGAATTGTTTTTTCTTTTTGACTTGTTTTAAAATATTTTTGAGGGGCTACTACACCCAGAAGTTAAGGTTATTCCCATGTTATAAATGCTCTTACTCCTATTTTTTTAAATTTTTTTTTTTTTTCAGCGAGTATTTATCTGATAGTGCAACGTCTCCGATTAACGTGGACTGCAAGACAAGAGAAGAAGTGGAGTTAAATCTAAAAAATCCCGGCCGATATATGTTTGACGCCGCTCAGGTGAGTTTCAAGACGAAACAAGATTTGTCCAACGTCGCCAATTGGCTTTCAACTGGAAATAGAATATTGGCTCGGAAAGATGGAAACTAGACAGCGGGCAGGTCCTCATCGTAAGCTCTTTAGCACGAGTGTTTCTCGCCTGTGGGAAAGTATGGGGTTTTTGCGCAACACGAGTCAGGAAGAAGGCTGTAAGGGGTCTAGCACTGCTAATTATTAGTGCCAGACCCCCGGCAAACCTCTCTCCGACTCGTTTCAGATCTTCTCGAGGATGGAGAAACGCGCGTCACTTTTTGTTGTGTTTGTGGCGTTAGGCTTGGTTATGTTAAACTGTTATCTCATGCTTTCGTTTTTAGGATCACATATTTCAGCTTATGAAATCCGACAGCTATCGGCGTTTTATCCGCTGTGATCAGTATAAAGAACTCCTTAAGGCTCCTGCGAATAAACAAAAAAGGTAAGTACTCAAATATTAGTATCTTAATTTAGTAATTCAGGGGGGCGTTTTGGTCTTTGCTTCGTGTTGTTTACCTACCAAACTTGGTAATTAATAGACGAGAAGTCCAAATCGTGGTCATCATGAGAGCAATTTTCAATTAAGTCTCGAAGGTAAGGCGGGGTTACTTTTTTTTGTTCCATCTCGCTCTGTGATCGTTCTGGGAAAATTCGCCCCTTTTTCTCGACCAATACTAAACGAATACTAAACGTGACTTGGTGACCCGCGTTTTCCCGCGCTTTTCGTTGCTTCTCGACCAACACTAAACGAATACTAGATATGACTTAGTGACCCGCGTTTTCCCGCGCTTTTCGTTGCTTCTCGACCAACACTAAACGAATACTAGATGTGACTTAGTGACCCGCGTTTTCCCGCGCTTTTCGTTGCTTCTCGACCAACACCAAACGAATGCTAGATGTGACTTAGTGACCCGCGTTTTCCCGCGCTTTTCGTTGCTTCTCGACCAACACTAAACGAATACTAGATGTGACTTAGTGACCCGCGTTTTCCCGCGCTTTTCGTTGCTTCTCGACCAACACTAAACGAATACTAGATGTGACTTGGTGACCCGCGTTTTCCCGCGCTTTTCGTTTGTCCGTTGTTGCTATGAGTTATCACCGGTTAACGATGATGTTTATCTTTGTTAACCCTTTAATCCCGGAGAGTGACCAGCATCTAATTTCTCCTTTCAGTATCACCCATGAATCAAACATTAAGGTCATGAGAATAAAGGAAGTGATAATCAACTGAAGAACCTCTTGATTGTTTAACAAATTCTCCTTGCTAGCACATTAGGAAATGTATAGGGAACAGTATGGAGAATATGCATACTGATGTTAGGGTGTAAAGAGTTAAGATTAGCTAGAATGAATACTTCTTTTTCGGTGTTTCGCTAATCGTTTGAAAACTGCTCCAAGATGTGAGCTTTAAAAAGATTTTAATTAAGTGTGGAAAGTAATCGTAGAATTCTTAACTGCTTCATGATTTGTTGAGAAACTTCGCGCCACCCTCTGGGCCAATCATATATGTTCAACTTGTGGCTTGGTCACGCGCGTTTTCCCGCGCTTTAATGAGTTTACTTGTTCCGACTTTGAGTTCTCATTGGCTACTAGCGATATTTTCATCTGTTTTGATTGGCTGTTATAGTTATCGCTGTTTTGGTTTAACATCACTTGATAGAAAAGCTCTTGAACTCTACAAGGAAACATCTACTTTTTCATGAGAGTCGTTTATATCGTTACTATCAGTTCAAGTGCCATCAACTTTTCGGTAAGGGTTGAAATCTCAGGACGATCAAGATGATAAAAGCGGACATTTTTACTTGTGTTTAATTTCTGAAAGTCGTTGAAACATTCAAGAAACAGTGTCAACGGACTTTGGCCTTTTCTAAAGGGGGAAAGTTTCTAAAGAAACTGTGCTGCTGCGTCGGTAGGAGAGTAGAACAGGGTAATTAAGTGTTATCAACTGAGTTGAAAACGTAATTTGGCCACCGTAAAGAGTTTAAAGGCTGACGTTTCGAGCGTTAGCCCTTCGCCAGAGCGAAGGGGGCTGTGGGCGTTTTTTAGCCCACTTGTGAACTTATCTTAAAGTTTATTTTCTATCTCTGATTTCAGCCCACTACCCACAAAACCACTACAGAATCTTGCGCGGATTGCTGGGAAGACATGACGCAAGGCCTTCTGGATAAATTGAATTCACCGTCCTTCTAGTCGTTAAATTATGCAATTAAGCATATCATGGAATGTGTGTTGAAATATCCTCTGTTAGTTTTCCCAGAACCGAGAACTTGAAAATTTATGTGGTTTTCTTGATCAGTTTGTTGTCAACTAAAATTCTAACTGTGATCATCATATCCTCGGGACGGACCATTAGAACTAAATTTCCAAGGGGAGGAAAGGATGGAGGAATTTGTTTGTTTGTTTGTTTGTTTGTATTTCCTCTTTTATCCCTTGTAAGGTAACTTCTTATTAACCAAACGTGAGGGCCATACTGGCGAATATTGGTGCGAGGTCGTGGAAGTACGGTCTAAGCGCAGCGATGTCCGTACAAAATCTACCGAGGGCCAATGTTTCAGTCGTTCAGTTATTTATTATATGGTACTTAGACCAAACTTGTTTATTTTGAATTATCCGACTTTTTCATTCAAGAATACGTGGCTTACGACCGTTGCTTTGGAAACAAAATACCAATTAAGTAAAGAACCAATCAGAACGCTCGGATTTGCCTCAAGACTACCTTGACATATAATAATTTTATTTGTTTCATCCCCAAATTTTTTCTAGTTGACTGTCCTTCATTTATCTGTTCAAGGTCCGCGGAATTCTGCAGAGTTTAGCCGAACGGAGTGTTAGCGCTGCTTGCGCTGAATTGTCACGAATGTTGCGTTACCTCGTGACGTCTAATGCAACATAGTCGTCATCAGTTAGGTGTGAAAGTTAGATCGCCTCTAGTACAACGCGAAGGTTTTCACATTTGATTTAGTTCCAAAACTCGTTGTGCCTGACATGACAATAAGACGCAATTTAAGAGTATTTGTATTTTTTTTATCGAGGGGCAGGCGCAGGCTTACTTCATGCATTTCAGTTTCAGTGATGTTCAAAAGTGAATTTTAGTTCAAATGATGCTTCGGGATTCTTTGTTCCTTATCCAAAATACGAAACAGTGACGATTATGGTTGACGCGAAATTTTGTCGCCGAAACGATTATTTTGATGAAAACAATTATGCCTGTTAGAGAAGCTAGCCTTTTTTTTATTTCCTTTTAGTATTTTTTATCTCTAGTGAATTGTAAATACTCCTCTTGCGACCGCTTTTTGGTTGTCACGCAATGTTCCTGGATGTAGCAATCTGTCAAGCAAGCGTCGAGTCACGCTACAACAAACGCCTCGGAAGTCTTGGCAAGATACAAGAATGGATTAATACAATGATTATACTAGTGATGAAAAGTAATGGAAATGTTTGAAGCATTATTGATAATTATTAATTATTAATGTATTGAGATGTCTATGACTTCACTGTCGTAAAGTGATTGAAATTGGTTATTTAACTTAACAGAATTTATTGTGACGATAATTCAGAGTGATTTATTACGAGAAGTATTCTTGAATAAAATGAAAATAGAACGTTTTTTAAAATTATTTGCAAAGAAATAATTCCACATATATATCCTTCCCTTGTGGCTGAGTTTGTTGTTGTGGCGCGACAAGCCCAAACAAAGGCCGCTCGTCCCAGGCACATATGCGATAATAAACTAGAGTCACCTGCGCGACCAGGGCCCAAACGTAAACCTCTTTTCCCTTTGCGCGAAACATGGCAAAAGCCTAAGATCAGGCTAAGACTGTGACGGGCTGAAGATATTATTAGTTTCCTATTTGCTCTCGTTTTTGCCCGTACAGTTACGCTTGAGATTGAAATGAAATGCAGTTGCAATCCAAAGATATTAATCAAATGTCATGGGTCTCTGGCTCTTATCCTCGTCGCCTTTCTCAGAGAGTGCTTTCCCACATGTTAGGCTCGGAAAAAATTAATTAAATATAGCGGAGTTCGTTAAATCTATCAGGGTCGCTGGCTGTATATTACAAGGAGTGACCAGGTTGGGGAGCTAAGAAATATTCCGTTCATTATGCGGCAGTATTTTTTCTCGTATTGGGTGGAAACAGGACGGAGCCTATTACCTTGGTTCCGAGTAGAAAAAATCCTTTATCAATACCGGTCTTCGTTAGTAAAAGCATCTTAAAACGGAGTTTTTAAGTACTTCTTTTGAGTTCGACTAATGAGACAAGGTTCAGCTTCACACATGCGTTTAGAGGAGATATTCGTCTTAAAAATAAAAATTACGTAACCCACGAAGTTTCCTCTCCTAAATATGAAAAATTAATGCAGCGCTTTGTCAGAACCTGAGAATTTTATTGCAGGTACATCACGAGTGAAGTGGGTGGAAAGGATTTTGTCATGCCTTAGGACAGAATATCAAATTTGTTATTTTCAACAGAAAACAAAAGGGACCCCTATTCCGATAAGCGGCGACTAAAATGCCCCACCCTCCAACCCCCTGGTAAAAGTGAAACCGGACCCCGACCGATCCACCTGGAATTTTGTTATTTTTGGCCATCTCGAGGTGACCTTAAATTATCAAATTGCCAAAGAGGATCAGGTATCTAGAGCGCGCTTTTCTGAATCTTGTGAGAGCTATAGTATAAGTAGGCGGTGAACGTATCTTTCAGATTTCATTCGCTATTTCTACTGGCAAGTACCGTCATTAACACAGGAACGGTTTTCTGTCGTTTTACCTTCATTGTTGCGATCCTGTGGCTCTGTTGTATCTTCCAGACTGTTATTTGAGGTAAGCGTTTGTCTCTGAAATTTAGCAACGGTTTAGATTGTGTTGCCCGCCAATTTTAATGCGCTTTGGCACAATTACAGCACTTGTACGCGCTATTATGGTTCTCTTTGTTCGCTAATGTGTAAATTGAGTTCGATTTTTTTTTACAGCAATGCTTTGAAAAATACCTCTGAGGCGTCACGGTGCAAAATATTGATTTGAAATGCAAATTTTAACGTTATAACAAAATCGTGCAATTATCACTGGTTAAGAGGCGCTTAACATTCGTTATTGCTTCCTAGAACAGTTTTAATCTGCCTCAGGCCTCGTTTTAAAGGACGTTCCAATGAACTGAATTCTCTATATTAATTGTTGTGCCTCTATATACTTCGATGTTCGAGTGAGATCTGTATTAAAGCGATCCGTATTTTAAATCGAAATTATTTCCTAAATTTGGCAAAATATCTCAAAAGATCTGTTAGGAGCTAAAAATATGTTAATGCAACTTGAATATTCTTCCTTATTTATTCAGAAGTGCTCTTAATTTCCACGCAAAGCAAAAAAAATTGAATTTAAACTTCCCTCGCCCACTCACCATAGTTTTGTATAAATTTACTTCGTGTTCCGGTCGAAGAAAGAGGAAAAAAAACAAATTTGTTTGCTAAAATAAGAAGGGTGCTTTTGCAGCCTCGACAAGCTCTTCGCTTTGGTAAACATGGCAAAACCCTTAAAACCATAAGGTTGACCAGCGTCTAATTTCTCCTTACAGTAACAGTTCTAAATCAAATATTAACCTTTTGAGAATAGGACGAATGATAGCTAACAGATTCTCCTTAGCAGTGCCATGCGAAATAATTTTAAAACATTGAGAGAACATTTTAGAGTGAGGTTGAACCTTCTAAACAAAACCACAATGGTCTCTGAATGCATTCAATGAAAGTTTCCACATGTGTTATCTTAGCAACTTTAGAGGGTTAAAAAACAGAAAGATTTCCTTTCCCCTTGCTTAAAAAAAGCCTCTTTTGTTTTAATCCGATTTCTACTACGAGAATAATCCTTATTGGAAATCGAAACTTGTTGAAGTGAAAAACGTATTTTTTTAAGGAATTTCCGATTCCTAATGGGATGACGCACAATTCAAATTTGTTACGTGTAAATTCTGCCCAAAATGATTATATTCGTATGAAAACTGCAAATCTTTCAATTTAAAAAAAAAACGTTTCTGTTTAAATTTTACAATTAACTCCTCAGCAGGTGGTTGTTGTACACGATTTCCATGAGAAATATTCCCTTTCCAACACTGCAAACGAATTATACAGAAAAATATGTTTCTGTTTGTACTTCTGCGCCTCAGTCAAATGGCAAAATTCGCGCGTTTCAAAGCGACCGTTAACATATGGAATTTCAATTTTTCTTCCGAATCCATCGTTTTTTTTGGTTCAATAACGAACGAAATTTTTTTAGACGCGCCCTTTAGACGCGCCCTATTAAACTGAAGGGCATAATTTTTTTGAACAGAGGACGTGCCGACTACTACACTGCAGGTGACGAATGGGAAAATAAACAAGGTTAATTGGTAATAGAGGCTAATGGGCAAAATTGTTTTCTTAACGCTCTCTAATGGTGTAAGAAGATATATTGAGAAAGCGGCCGCGAAATTTTTTGAACGCTCATAATGCGCGTTTGTAGCAGTTCTAGCTTTTATAGTAAACATCGTTTATTTTTGCAAAGAATAGTAATGTCGTTTTCTCGCTGGACTGCAATTAACGATTTTAAGGAAAGACTCAACGATATTTTTTTCTGAGGAATGAAAGGGAAATACGACGCTAGCAATTCTGTAACAATGTTTCATAGCGTATTTGTCTTTCATTAAAATAATTAAAATGCTGCTCGGCTATAGTTTGTCTGTTGTGTTTTTTTCTGCGTTGCAAGAGAGATAAATGACTCTTGAAATAAGAGAGGTTTGGCGCGCCTTCTGTTGCTGCGATACAAAAGTTCTATAAACGTTGAAGTTCAGTGAAGTCAAATGACCAAAAACTGCGGTTTCGCTTTGTTCATGATATGTGGAACGCAGTCAAGCATTAAAAGGGTAACGTGGTGGAAAGACACCTTAAAAAGTGGATCAAGTTTTGGTCAAATTGTAATCATATTTTTCATATACGTGTTAACTATTTAGCCACTCTGTGTGGCTCATCGGCCGACGATGAAATTGAGAGTGATTGACATTTTTGAGTTGCTATGACCCATCTTTAAAATTGGTAGAATATTTGTAAAAATCTTCCTTCCCAGCCAGCGTTGTTCTGCATTTGATTTACTAGGATCTCTTTCATCTGATCTTACCGGCTTTCCGGCGTTTCAATACATTCAGTCCTAGACAAGATAGTTGTCGTCAGAAACTCAGTTTTTGTTCAATTTCATTGTCGATTCAAGGCAATTAACCCTTTTTAAAACTCCTCAGAGTGACCAGTATTTAATATCTCTCCGCAGTGTCACCCTTAAATCGAACACTAAGGTCATGAGAATTAAGCGAAAGACCACTGACTAAAAAAGCTTTTGATTTGTATGAACGTACTGTGGTTCAAGTCAAATTTTCTCGGTAGAAGTCATATGAAACTAATTTAAATAGATGCTCACTATGTTTTTAGGTTTTAGCCATGTCTAAGCCGTTTGGGGTTTTCTGTTGTCTTGTTTTTCTCGCCCTCATCTCGTCGAGCACGTCCCACAACCCGTTTGAAAAGTTTGGAGTGTACTGCAAACCAGAAACCTATACACGACCCGTCACCAAATCAGGTTGTGGATCCCAGAAGGTCCGAGTAAAAGCCTGCCTTGGCACATGCGCGTCGTACGCACTACCGCTGGACTATTCACCTCATTTCAAGAAGGTTTGCGAATGTTGCAAGCCGTCTAGCACACAAATGGTAACATTTAATCTTCCAGACTGCCAATCAGGAATCTCTCCTATAGTGCAAGTAGAATCGGCAGTGCAATGCAAATGCAAAATGTGCACGTGAAAGAAAATAATTAGCGAAGTGAAAGGCATTTTACACGAGAACTGGGACTTAGGTGTAACACAAACAACTGTAAATCGATTTTATACCCAGAAGCTCTTTTGCCCCAAATGATTAATGCTATTTACAGAATAAGCGCCCTGAGCTTTGTTAAGATAATGTCTTGAAGTTTGCAATCTTTGTGTCTCACATCATTTGTAATCACGTGCATTAGAATGAAACTAATTAATTTAATTGAGAATAAATTAAATTCTGGATTTAAAACTGTTGCAGTACTTCAACTTGTTTTAATCATTTGAATCCTAAGAGAGACCAGCATCTAATTTCTCTATACCATATCACCTCTAAATAACACATTAAGGTCGCGAAAATAAAGGAAATTCTCACCAACCAAAGAAGCTCATGGCTGATAAACAAATTTTCCTTGTTAGCGTTTTATGTACGAAGAACAGTATGGGGAATATGCAGGCTGATTTTAGGGTGTTCATCCATGCAAGATTTCGTGAGCTATTCTGAGAGATCTGTTTTAATAAAAAGTTGCAACTTGTAGCAGAATTTAAAACGTGTGTGCTATAAACAAGCATAGAAATGGAGAGTAAGAGCACACCTTCCTTTTTAGGCTAAGTTCATCATGCAAGTCCAAAAAAGACAGCGAGAAAAAAAAATTGATGTTCGCGCGCCGCGCGGAGTTTTACGAATGAGGTGCGTGCCACGAACATCCCACGTCGATTTTTGCGACTTTAATTGCGAACGACCAAATTCGAAAAACAAGTTTTTATTCTAACAAAGAAAAAGCAAGAAAAATTTGAAACTCAAAAGCCGAATAAAACTGAAAAGCACAATGAACTCAGAGGCTCGAGACTGCCGGGAAAATTCGAAAACATGCACAAACACTGATCTCATAAATGACAAAAACCGAAAGTAAATATACATATACTCCCTCTCCCAATATCTCAAATCTGTGATAAACAACCCTAGCAAAGGCCGATTACCAAGGAATGGTAAATCAAAAGAAACTCAAAACTCACGTATTTTGGCACGTTTGGTCCATACCAGTTCTTTTCCTCCGTACCATTAACTAGCTCACCTCACATCACCTCACCGTCATAAGTCAATAGAGTGAATTGAATTCCCGGACAGAACCGAACTCAGCCACGAAACCACAATATTTCCATCGTCCTGTTTGGCGTGCCTCCTCACTTGTTTCAGCTCCCGCCACGTCCGAGCAGAAATTTTTCAAATCCCGGTTCTTAACTCTGGACGTGTATATTTCGCCGCAAGAGGGGCGTTATTTGGTAAGCGTTGTACAAACATCGAAATAAGATACGAGGCTATCATGCGCCTAACCTCCCGCATTGTGAAAAGGCACTTTCCGCTTTGATTGAATCTCTATCATTCCGAAGATCTCAGATAGATTCTCCTAACTGTTTGCCACACATTTCTTTAAATGTTTAGTTCTGAGAAACTAGTGAGAAATCGAACATCCATTCATATTTTCTTTCTTCTAATCGCTTTTCTGCCTGACAAGAAAGACCGAAAGATTCAACACCCCAACCTCCTGGGATGATAAGCATCTTAACTCTCCCTACAGTACCGCCTCTGAATCAAACAACAAGGTCATGAGAATTAAGGAAGTGATCGCTAACTTACGAGGCTTTTGATGGATGAGTAAATTCTTCCTTTTAGTGCCATAGGAATAGTATAGAGAATGCGTATACTAATGTTACGGTGTAAAGGGTCAAGAACTGGTATGTTTCGAAGGAGATGACAGGCGATTATTAAGGAGGCTTATGAAGAATTGATTGGGGTATTTGAATGGCAGGATTTTAAAATGAAATAACACCCTTGCGTCTAGATATTCATTTTTTATTGCTATACCAGGTGCCTGCTCATAGGGGAGGAGGAAGGGGCGTGAAACAGAGTTAGGTATGTCTTTTTCAAACCGAGTTATTAAGGATTTGTTCTCAGAAGACTCGAGCGAAATACAAATTTGGCGCCAGACCTCTCGCTCTCGCCGCAGTGCCTTGGAGAGCGTGCACACGAGCTTAAGATTACCAAGTCAAAATTGCTTCCTGCGACTTTCAATACCAAAAAAAGGGATTCTTGCACGGTGTAAGCATTTTCACATTTTAATTAAAATATTGGAATATATCTCTAAGAGAACGAGGCTGTCATAGCAAGACAAGGAATGCTTTTGTCGCATTAAAAAACAGCCTACAGTAGTTCAAATTTACCAATATCGATTAAAAATAAAATTCATGATTTATACAGCTAGTTAATGTTATAGGGTGACTTGAAGATTCTGCAGTTTATGCTCAGCTTCATCAACAAGAGGCACATGAACACTCAGTCGCACTCTTCACTTTATGAAAATACTTGACGAGGCTGCCTGGATTACTCGCGTCTTGGCACCAGAGCCCTACATCGATGGTCGTGGTTTTGGTCGGCTCACAGCAAGTGCAGGATTCCACTTGCTCATAGTTGGATCCAGTTGGCGTCGAGAAGGACAAGCAGGTTCCTATACATGTATTGACAGTTACCATTCGCTCCTGGCAGCCCACGACTTTGACAGGGAGCATGTAGCCTTTGCGCTCGCAGTGAACGCTGGCTAACGCCGCTTTCATTGGGTTTGCCAGTAAACTGGGCAGTAAGCACAGGGATACCAAGTACATGATGAGAAACAGCCTGCAATTGCTTGCCATTTGTAGCTTTGTAGTTTTAAAAGCTGAAAAATAAAAGAAACATAAATCTCTTGGCCAAATTGCTTGAAAGTTTGGTAGCAGTGATTGGCCAGTGTTTGGTAAACTTCGTGGAAAACTTCACAGGTTCTTAACCTAAGTACTAATTTGTGCTTTACAATGAAAGGGGTGCATAAAGGTGCGATTGCCTCCTCAGAATTCCACGCAGTCGACTACCGTTTCACCGCAAATAATGAAGGTGTTAGATATATAAAATTTATTTGTGTGAATAAACGAAAATATTTAAAATTTTGTGTTTCTGTTAAATTCTTTGAAATCTAGGGACCGAGAAAAGACAAATATGATTACAAGTAGAGAATACTTTCTTTTTTCTAGTAAAAGACTTTAATTACCTTTAAGAGAAAATAGACCTCGATCACTTGCACCGTCGCTTGCGTTTGCTTAGTTACGATATAGTTCAGTGTGTGTGGTCGATTAATTTTATTCAACGAAAACTCACGAGATTTCTTTGTTACAGCATTTGAAAAAAACTTACATGAATTTCGCTAGCTATGGCATGGTAAATTGATGAGGAAAAATTTTAAGGGATATCATAATTAAGTTAAGCAGCAACTCAAGAGCACAATATGACCTCGGCGAGGCATCAATAAAAGCGGTTTTTTCGTCTTTCTTTATGATGGAAAGACGGAAAGTATTTTCAGTACATAATATGATGTTTTGACTACAAGTACCAAATGGTTTGCCCTTGCAATCTCGGCCCCATGCCCTCTCCCTAGCTCTACAAATGGAGGACTGTTGATAACTCTATTTATCGTTGGACAACAACTGAAGTTTTGTAAGGCGTTCTTGTCGGAGGGTTTTAGCGATCACTTAGGCAATTTCTGCCCGGAGAAGATTATTTTGATAATATTCCAGGACACAATTTGGCAGCTCACATCTGTTCCCGTTTCGAATTAAAAAATCAAATTCGTATCTTTGGTATAATTCGGATGAAACAAATATTTGAATTGTTTATAAATTCAATTAACGTTCAATTGATTTGAGACTTCCCAGCAAGAAAATCCGCTCTACTATCCTATTCGTTTAGTTAGCAGTTAAATGAAAGAAGGGTTTTGGAAAAAATAAGCGAATAAAACGGTAATATACTCACATGACTTGAAACTTTGGTAAATTCAAATTTCTGGTCGAAAATAGCCTAAATATTTTTGCACCAGGGCAGCTGATTCTTTGCGAGTTACAAAATGCCAAACGTGGAATGGTTTTCGGTCTGTCTGCTGTCCGAGTTAGCGAAGCTAAGGAAAACTTCGCTGGATCTCGTAGCTTCTATTCTGCGCGAAAATGCTCTGTGACCGTTGGATAATTCTAAATTTACCGGTTTGACACTTTCAGAATATCCAATTACAATCTGATAGCTTGTTTACGACGCGAGGTCGTGTTTCATCAACCTTTTACCTTTGCGGCGCAAATTGACACATCAATAACGCAATAAAAACAAGATTAAAGTGGAACAAATGAGCATCATGTAGCGAAGCAAGCATAGGATTTAAACATCAGCGAAGGAATATTTGCGTAAATTCACGCGCGCGAAAGCTCAAAGGCAATAACAGTAAACATTTTGCAGAGCTAATAGCAACCTCTTAAAACACGTGGATCAATGGTTCAAATTACGGGAAGACCAGTCTAGTCAGTAATAAATATGCACGCCACACTCTTTCCAGAAGTTATCGTTGTCTCACGAGTTTGTATATCTAAGCATAACGCTGTTATGACATTGTAATTAATTTCCGGTGCATACATGAAATTTTTAGGGTGTGAGGACGAGGAGCAAGATTCGTGTGGTCTCAATTTTTAAAACAACTGTCCCTGATAGGAGTTTGGACTGAAATTCGCTTCTGTTAATCCCCCGCCCCCTCCTTCCCAAAATATTTACACGGGAAGCCATAAAGCTTTGCATATTCACCTGGTCCTCTTTCCAGAAGGTTATTGGAGGCTCACGAGTTTGTACATCTAAACAAAATGATGCTGAGAAATTAGAATTGATTTCCGGTGCAAAACATGGGATTTTAAGCGTGTGAGCATAAGGAGCAAAAACTAAGTAAAGTCCACAATTTGTGACCTCAGTTTTTTTAAAAAATTGACGTAGACAGGAAGTTTTGACAGAAATTCGCTTTTTCGCATTTTCCGCCCCCTCTTCCCCTAATATTTACACGGGAAGTTATAGAGCTTTGCATATTCGCCTGATCTACGTTTACCAGCTTAGCTACATGACGTCGAAATTTCGAGATCAATTTTCAATTAATATGACGTCAAAAGCACTCCGGGATTATTGAAAGATATTTTATTGCAGTTGACTTAATGGTTTGCTTCAAAACCCGATTTTCAGATGCCTGAAAGAAAAAGATTTAGTGTCTACAATAAATTCGAACGAAATAATTTTTTTTTAAGGAATACGCGAGTTATCTTATATATACGTGCGTCATTAACTGATAACAATCTGGAAATAACTTGCCAGGGTCGACAAAATACCAGAGAAGTGAAAACAAACTAAAAGGGAACGGAAATGGTTAAGGACCGCAAACATGGAAACAGATTATAAACGACGAACTTGTTAAACTTAATTGTAAGTTTTCTTATTGACAAATCATCGAGATCGTAATAGTGATTCTCCTTACTGTTCCCCATACAATTCTCACGTTTTCAATTCAGATAATTTTGTATTCGATCAACTAAAAATCCCTTAATTTATATTTTCCCCTATTCTCAACATTTCCCTGCTTGATATTGTAATGATGTTATATGGCAAAATTCTGAATTGAGATTTTAAGGGTTAAACATGCATTGAGTTAAAGATGAAAATAAACGAAGGCATACCTCACGACAAAGAACTGAGCAGAGAATTTCAATAAAAAATTCAGTCAGAAATTGAGTAAGATCCCTAAAAGAGCTGTGACGGCGCCCAGACCACCTACGCAAAGCTTGGCTTACGTGTGATTTTACGCCGATAAGTAACCGCAGATCTTCACAAGACTCGAAATAGAGGCGTGGATAAAAGTTCCCAGTAGGATAAGGGGGGGAGTCCTTTACTGGATCTTAAACTGGCATTTAAGTGAACCATAGTAAAGTGTAATTTGTTATAATCTCAATTAGCATAAATTAATATTTTGCCGGTACGTATCAGAGGAATGGAGGCAATTGAGAGGGGCACGGAGAGTTATGGGATCGTAGTTTGTAATTTGAAAGCGTTATCTACGGTCAGCCTTCGCTGTGTTAACTTTAGTTTTCGTTTAAATTTATTTGGTTTTTTTTTTTCTGAAATATTGTCATTTTGAAATGAGGTTTTACTAAAGCTGCATTCGCATACTTTCCCAAGTAACTGTTATCTGCTTTTGTCCATCAGGTTATTCGTAGGATATCCTAAAACCTCGAGGGTGGCATCACTGAGGTACACATTCCCCGTTTTCTCCATCAGCTGGTTTTTCAGGGGTTTTCGTGTCCAGCTTTGGTGCATTTAGTTTCCTTCAATCGTAATAAACTTCTGAAAGCATATTGGTGTTAAATGAACGGTACCGTGGCTTGGCTGGCCAACACACCCAGATATCAGCACTTTGTAATTTATGTCCCCGGTTGAGTAGATGCGACAAAATAATTCTTCTTTCACAGCTGAGTCTGTCTGCGAACAAGGTAAGGGGCAGCCGCACAACATCGGGCGAGAGATGGGCGGTGTTCATGTTAAGCAGATCAATTTGCCGCTTAACTTTTTAGACTTGGGCAATTATGCTGGGAAAAAGGCCTCTTCGTATCATGTGGCATTTGCCTGAACTTGTTTTTGTTGATTGAAGATGACACTCAATGCTCCCTTGTGCCCAGCCCATGCTAGAGACAGCAGAATATGCCTACTTCCGGTTAGGACAGGAACAAATGTTTAATCGTTGACGGATCTTTCAGGCTCACGGATACGAACCTTTCAGATATCGTTACCGATGAGTGTTTTAATGTAAAAAAGAAGCCAAAAGACAGCGCCTTAGAGTAAAAAGGAGAGACGTAATCAGATTTTTTTCAAATCAAAATTCGTGTCAAATTGGCCTGTACCTATCCACACCCAAATTTTTAGGATTCCTATTTCTTTAACCTAACCAGGAAGTTTGCAATAAGGAATGGAAGGAAAAACAACGAAATTGGACGTTCACTTCATTTTCATCGAAAAGCTGAAACGATGAGACTTCCTTAATGCAAACAGGGAAGGGATCGACCTTGTTTGTCGACTTTGTCCGTTAAGCTGGAATCACGAGCGAAATATTAATTTTGGAGCTTAGCGCAGGGCAGAGAGAACAGAGATACCAGTGCTTTTCCGAAGAGGACGGAAAGAGAGTAATTCTGTTTATCATGAAAAAAGGAAGTCGTGTGAAGTCCGTAACCAAAGTTGCCGGTGTGTTTGAGCGTGTTGGGAATGAGGTAGTACGACAGTACGCGAATCTTTTCCGGAGCTAAATATTGTATTTGCTGGTCCTTCTTGCCACGTGAATACGAACACACAGACGCACCAAGATAGTGCAATAATGGTTTTTGCCCCTCCCCCACATAAGGCATGTGGACATTTGTAACCGTCAACACCTCCCTTCCCTTCAAAATCTTATCTGTACCCTTGAAGGAGTAGAGACTGCACGATCGGGATTGAAAGTGGCATTCGGATTTCTGAAAGTCGCAGCGCATCACTCATTATCGTATAAGCTTCAAAAAGACAACGGAAATTTAAGCAAAACTTTATTAGATCCTACGTTACTACAACAGTTTCGTTTCATCATGCTACATAACTGCCACTGATACCCACGTGATCTGCGTCTTTCTATGAAGATTGTGGCGAGTTCTAGCGTCTTTGAGTGTAATGCACGTGCAGACCACCATATTTCCTGTGGGTGATTACTAAAACTCTAAAAGATATTCTTGCGGTTATGCTTACTTGCGTTTGGAGATTGTTGTCCTGCAGGGAATTGCAAAAAAAAAGAATACAAACTAATTAAAACAAGGTTGTACATCACGGGTCGCACAACAGGTTCTGAGTAAGTTTAGCACGCAACAAAGTTTTTAAGCCGTCTGGAAAATTCCTCTTAAGCAAATTCACTAAGATAATACTAGACCAGCATAGTTGTAAACGCGAAGACCTCAAAAACCGAGCATTTGTCTGAGAGGGAAGTCTGTTCAGAGAGGGGGAAGGCGTTAGTTTCTTTTGGGGCCTTTTTCTGTCGGAGAGCCCGCCGTGCGACGAGATTAAACATCGAAAGAAAGTCAAGGAAGGCAAAGGACAGTGACTGAAGAACTGAAACTGCGGGGAACTAATCCAAGAGACTACTTAAGGGAGGCGCGTGTCTTCGAGAGATTTCTGTCGAGAGAGATCTAAGCGTATCTCGTTGTTTCGACTCCCCCTTCCTAGGCGTAGACTTATGTCTATATGTCATTTTTATTTTAACCCAAGTTTTGATACCGCAATATTTTTTCGCTGTTGCACAAATATGAGTAAGCCAGACCTTCCCATAAATCACTGCAGTTGCTTAAATTGCCAGTCGACATAGTGGGGAAGCTTTCTTCGCCTGAGATAATCGCATTGTAGGCAATCTATCATGCTGTTATTGCTGATAATCGCGAGAGGTTTGCAGTTCGTTGGGCATGCAACTACACAATCAAAATTGCCATCTCAATCTACGTTGTGTTTTTTCAGGAAGAACAGCCTTTAGAGAGAGTCGAAAGACCGAGACTATTTCTTATAGCTTATATGTTAGCCTCAGATTTCGAACACAGTTACATCATTTTAACTGAAGAGAAATTTACTTTTCTAAGGGCATTGAGTTGAACGAAATGAATTACTACGTCGCCTGCGAAATGGCACGAAATTAATCAACATCAAAGACTCCTTCACGCGCTCTACCGATCGTTTTCTTTACTTCCTCTGCACATTGTGGGGCGGAAATTCCTCGATGCAGGTTTTCGTCGGGTTCTAAGATGAACTATTGAATCGTAATTACATTAAAAGCACCCACTGAGAAGGAAAAAGCTAGCAACGAGTTAGGGAAGGTGACATCAGGGTCTTAAAAAATAATTTCTTATGTAGAGAAAATTTTCGGCGATTGGTTACTGAATGATCAATTCAACTCAGCAATCTATGGAGCAAAGCTCCAAAAATTCCATGAAAAAATCAACGCATGTGGAACATTTTTGCAAGTGATTAGGTCGCCGGAGATATGACTTCCATAAATTGACTGATGATCATCTTTACAACTGGATAAATGCGCGGTGTGAAGAGGAAATACAAATAATGCGAGCCACAACGTGCCGCGCCGCGTAACTCGTGACAAGGTTCTGTGCAGAGGAATTAGTTACACCCATTATCTCAAAGCCTGGGTGGTCCCCATAGTTACGCCTACGCCTGCCTCACCCTAGTCTCCTTCTGGCCCCCGGTTGTTTGAAGGGTGAATAACGCTATGCACTGGATAAATCTCTAACCGGTGGATAGTGTAGCAAGTTCCGTTCACACTTATCAGTTGGATAACGTTATCTGCCCTTCTAACAAAAAGGCCCTGTTCTTCCACCTTACTAATACACTATTTAGGTTTTTCTCTCGCGCTGCAAGCGATTTTGAACGTCGCAAAAAAAGACTTGCCGAAGCTCACTGAAATATTCGATTCCTCTTCTCCCTGCTGTGATTACACCACCGGAGCTTGCCCAACCATCTCCTCACTGGGGGCGGGAGTGAACGAAACAGAATGACACTTCAATTATGTTACAAATTAACTGTTACCCACCCAGTAGAGAAAGTTTGTCCTCCGCCACTAAGAATAACGAAAGGCGACTGAGCATTTTTCTGTTTCTCTATCAGAAGCGCTGCGGTGTTGAGTGGCGTGTCTCCAGAGTTCATCTTCTGAAGCGCCTGAAAACATGAACCGCAACAAGAAGCATTAGTGTTTCTGTCCAAAGATGAGAGTGTAAATTCTCATCAATGTTTCGCATATATTTCCTAAAAAACTGGTTCAGAGAATTTTCTCAAGTATCACACACGTCTAAGCTACAGATATCTTAACGAGCCTGGAACTTAATCGGGGTCATTGAAAATTGTACATAACTGGAAGACCATTAACCCTGTAACCCCTAAGAGTGACTAGCATCTAATTTCTCCTTGCAATATCACCCCTAAATCAAACATTACAGTCATGAGAATAACGAAAATAATCAACGACTACAGAAGCTCTTGACTGTTGAGCAAATTCTCCTCGTCAGCACCTTCGGAAATGTATAGAGAACAGTGTGGAGAATATGCATACTGATGTTAGGATGTAAAGGGTGAAATAACGGTTAGTTAGGGAAAATAAACATCAAAGAGCGAATAAGGATGAATCAAGTAAACATGACTAGTGATTTTACTATTGCGAACTCAATAGCCAACCTCTGCATCGTCAGCCGTTCATTCCTCATAGTTTTAGCTCTGTGAATTTGACATTAAATCAAACAGTACCCTCTTTTTTATATTCTACTTTTTTCTCATCAGTTGTTAGCTTAATATTGTATAGATATTATTGGGAGAAATTTCTTGTCGATCACCACTGGGAGCCAAAATGTTTAGAGTGATTGAAAACAAAAAACACAAACTAATTGTACAAAAGGTAAATTTTCAAGGTGTACAATTTGAGACGTGGCTCTAACATTACATAGAGCGAAGAAATTAAGTTTAATCGATGGTGGCCTAACAGATGGAAACGGCCACACAATTTTGGAGTGAAAACGAACTTTTTCTTAACTTACCATCTCATCCTGCTGTTTCTTCATCCTTTTCTCAGTCTTCGTTTTCCCGGAAGCTTTCCCATGGAACTTGTGGGACATGAAACGGAAAGCCTGAAAGAACAAAGATAAGAAGAATCAGAAAAACTTTCAAACGAACAACTGGGAGCTTTGGCAGTTAGAAGAATCAACGGTTCCTAGATACCACCACTACACCACCAACAACTACAGCTTAAAAAACAACAACAACAGCAAAGACGTTGACCCTTTGAACCTCAAGAGTGACAAGCATCTAATTTCTCCTTACAATATCACCCCTGAATCACACATTAAGGTCATGAGAATAAAGGAAATGATCACCAACTAAAGAAGCTTGGAAAAAGGCGGTAAAGTACAGAAGGTAAAAAAAAATAAATCTCACCTCTTTGGGTGTCAGAGGTCGGCCATTGTCATCATAGTATTCCAGCTTCACGTCGGGTTTGTATTCTTGCTTATTCTTTGATGAACTACCACCATGTCTGGAGAAAGAAATGCATCGGTAAAAAGCCACTCGTGCGCTATCGACATACTTTTTATTTTATAGATACTGAGATTTACACTTTGAAGTACTATCGAGTACTATCGTTCGTGTCTCTGATTGGACAAACGATGTAATTTCACAGGCGTTCGCCGCCAATCTTTGAATTGAAATTTGAAAAAATCTCAGTTTGTATGAAATAAAAACATCATACCATGGAAAGTGTTTGAACGATTTTACTCACCAGTTGCGATGCATCAGAAAACTCACTCGTTTGCTGCGCTCGCTCGTTGGTATTTTTGATGCTTCGCAGCTCGTGAATAAAAATCGTTCGTGCGCACTTTCCATGGAATAATCACTATTTCTTATTACAAAATTCACACGATGCCAGTGGCTATGAATCTCTAAATTCTCACGGGTAACATTAGAGGAATAAACAGAGAAGAGTGACTAGAATTCACCTGTCTCTATCGCGGTCTCGGTCTCGGTCGCGGTCGCGGTCTCTGTCAATATCCCTAAGAGAGAGTTTCTCCTTTAGTATTTCATCAAAAGGTTTTCTATTTTTAACCCCTTATATTGATAAGCATTTCATTTCTCCTTACAGTGTCACCACGAAATCAAAGATGAAGGTCATGCGATTGTTCGACAAATTCTCCTTGCCAGTATTGTGGGATATACATGGGGAATAGAAAGGAGAATCTCCATACAGATGTTAGATGGCAAAGAGTTCATCCTTTAATTCTTAAGAGTGACCAAACAGGAATTTCTCCTTACAATTGTAATACAAGAAGAATATCAAGTAGCAGATATTGTTTGATTCAACACCACATTTCTCAGGGCTTACATTATAAGAAACGTATGGTAGAAATAACAAAAATTATAAATTGCCAGGGTAGATTAAAAATTCAAACATTAGTAACGTAACAATTCAGAGTAATGATGCTAAGCCTTGCTAGAACTATAATCCATTACAACTACCTCAAACTTGCCACATAAGACTGTAAAGGCGTAAAACAAGAATAAATGTTTACCTTGAAGATCGACCTCCGCGTTCACGTTCCTCTTCGCTGCAATGAGCAGATCAGTAAGAAAAAAAGTTAATTACTTTTACTTCAATTAACAACATCAAAGAGCGCAGCTCGACTGAATGTGTAAAATATAAACAAAAGCCATCACAACGGCCGATCAGAGTATTGAGAATTTTCACAAGCAGACAATGAAAACTCAAAAGTAAAAACAAACCAAATGCCTAAAGTGTGGAAAATGCGAGAGATTGAGTCGTGATTGGTTTGAGTTCTTACAACTGATTGGTTGAGAGGGTGACGCGACTTTTCCAGACCAATCATAGAGCGAGACATAGAGATCCAAGGTAGTGATTACTTTAAGCTCTCAATTGAAAACATTGCAACAACAAGGCTGGAAACACAAGAAAACACGCGTCACTGCTCTACTAAAATATTCTTTGCATCTACAACAACATCATTCTAAACTAAAAGGCACTTAAGTTTAAAACGACATAAAACATCTTTATTGCTTATCTAAACTTTGACAAATGCTGGACTCTTTTTTGACCCTTAAACCTTTAAGAGTTATCAGTATCTAATTTCTCGTTACAGTAACACTGCTAAATCCTTCATTAAATTGTTCAACAAATTCTCCTTCTCAGTACCAAAGGAAAAACGCAGAGAACAGTACGGAGAATATTGATACTGATGTTAGGGTGTAAAGGGCAAAGGATACATACAAACTTCTCTTCTTACCGCATTTTTTCTTCGTCCACAACACCAACAGAGGGAAGAAATGGCAAAGCTTTTCCTTCAATCTTTGCCTTCGAGTTTTGTTCCAGTAAACCTTAGCAAAATTAAGGAAGAGGAAATGGTAAAAACTCAAGCAATAAAAAATATAACAGCAAAATAAAACGTATAGCAAAAGGCATGTTATTTACCTTTCTTTGATGCAAGAAACAAAGCTGCACCTACGCCTTTTCCAACCAAGGGCTCTGCGTCAAGAATGTTATTTTCCGTTTCCTATAGACAAAAGAAAAGTATAATTCTGTACCGCGCATTTCGGCGCAGTTTCGTAACACCGTGAGCAAAGTAAACTAAACAGCTAATCAAAGGGAAAGGAAAATATCACTAGAAACTAATATTAAAACAACACGAAATGAAAAGAAGCAAACTGCTTAAAGCGCGGGAAAACGCGGGAAACTAAGTCGCGATTGGTTTTAGTTTTGATTCTGATTGGTTAAAAGGGTGGAGCGCGAGTTTTCAGGACCAATCATCATACGATGTAAAGCAAAACTACAGAAATCCCGGATGACTTGAGACTTGTTTGAAAATTGCTGCACATATATACTGATAAATTTTAATTTGTCCGTAGCACATTCACCGGGTTGTAGTTTTAGTAGAGGACGAAGATATCCGAGAAAGGGCCACGGAGAAAGGACGAAAACTAAAGAATAACTCAACCCTCATGTAACATCCCGTTCCCGTTTCTCGAAATTCTTGGTAGTTACCCATCCCGAAAAAAAGCTCTCTTTCATTCCTTCCAAGCCCCAACACAAACATACTTGAAACACTGTTTATCGAAAACAGTTGAACTCGAACCGAGCGATCAGGAATCGTACAGACCGCTCTGCTCCTTTTAGCAGTTACGATAAAGCTTTTCTTAAGGTTAATCATGACGCTGAAAATCCCCGAGGGCCCCCTGAAATTTAACAGCTCGAACATGCAACCATTTAAAAGGCGGGAAATGTTATGTTCGATGCCACCAACGTCAACAGTGCTAAACGCGGGAAATCATTCCACTCATGAAAAGCGCGCGAAAAACGAGGAACTTTCTACACCGATTATACAGAAACCATAAGCAAGTGGGAACTCTGAAAAACCAAACAATAGAAAATGAATATATATTGAAGAAAACTTCAGCGAGTTGCCCTTCTTCAAACCTCTTCTCGTTCTTTTTTCCTCTTTTCTTCTTGTGTTTTCACCCATTCCCATCCTCCCTGCGGTTCAGCTTCTTCGTCTCTCTCGACATCCATTCGCCACTGCAAAGTAAAGAATCGTAAGCTCTTCTTGAATTAACCTCACGTTCTTTGAAGAAGACAACACATGAGAACAAACATTCACATGAATTTCTACGCATTTCTCACCTCATTATCGTCTTCCTCTTCCTCCTCCACTTCCTCGCCAGGTGCACCTACAAAGGAATGAAACATTTTCACAATCCGTTTTAATCCACCCCGTACTTATCCAAATTTTTTCGTTTTGGATTTATTTATCTCCTTTAAGTGTTTATCCACCTAAGAAAACGAGCCTTAAGTGTTTATCTACCTCAGCAAACTAGCCTTTCTTTGAATTTAGAGTTTTTTTTTCCTGCTTCACGCCAGATTATATTTTTAATAAGAATACAAATGCAGGACACAGTAAAGTAAAGAACGAAAATAATACTACTTTTGTGTGACAATCTTCTAAAAAAAAACTGTTGGAAACACTATGATAAGCTAAGATAACTCTGAATTCAAGGTATCATAGTCTACCCTGAATTTAGAGTTATCTTCTATTGAGTTTCGCAAGTAATCCGAGAATGGTTTAATTTTGCTTGACTCCGCTCTGTGTTTGGGTTTGAAAACTAGCCCGCGCTTTCCCGCGCTTTAGGTAGTTTGGTTGTTTATACCCTAGTTCTCATTGGCTCTTCATGGTATCTTCCTTTCTTCTGATTAGCCACTGTGACCACTTTGGATTTGGTTAGACGACACTCAATCGATGCACTCTAGGAAAACCACCACAATCCCTGATTTCTTTCGACCCTCAATCGAAAGTTACTCTTAAGTCGAACAAAATAAGTTAATATTTACTTACTCAAAGTGGGTATCTCCCCGAGTGTTCGGCAAAACTCAGAAGTCGAGTTCAAAATGATGGAATCTGAAATCGAGAAACAAAATCTGAGAAATTCTTTTCCACTGCAAACTACTGTCCGAAGACATCAGAAACGTGAAGCTCCTTGCAAAATAACCGCGTCCGCATTTGAAGAATTGTAACTCACCTTTATTGTCTACGTCTTCCTCTTTTTCTTTTTTAATCACTGTGGCTAGAGCCTCGACAACCTGGCCAGAAAACAAGATTGGACTCCATTAAATATCAAACAATTCAACTGCGACACTCACAAACCGTGTTAATAAAATTAGTAGAGGGGGTCTCATCTGATCTATGTACGGAACCTCGACAACCTGATGAGAATGAAAGATTACGTACCACCCGGTGTATAATAAATAATTCAATTTTGAAATCTACAAACCGTCCACATAGAATCAATGAGGGGAGGAAGGAGAGGGAGAGGGAAGGCGGTGAAAAGATTTCTCATCCCATAGGTTCCATCTGTGTATGCACCATCTTTAAGACTTTTTTCGACATTTTTCGCGGGACTTTTCCTTTTGGTTCATGGTGACATTTCTAGTGCTTTTCTTTACATGTAACCATAAATTTGGGCTGTGCTTCATTTGTACGTCATTCTGGGCGGAACGTATTTTTAGATCCTTAAAGATTGCTGTTATTTTTTTACTGTGAACAATTTTTAATGTATGTTATACCCTGAATGTGTCCTATTAACAGTCAACGCTGAACGTTGGTTGTCCTGGAGAAACTCACCTTTTCTGCGCCGATCGTCGATTTCTTCTGTTTTAGTCGACGTGACCTTAAGTGAAGAAAGAAAACATTTTAAATTCGAGACTACTATCCTTAAGATTAACTATGAAACCGAAAACTACCAGTAGGCCTACTAACAGTTCAGGAACTTGGCCATGTAAACAGTGAAAAAGGCGGGAAAAATTATGTCAAGCGCGGTGCCATCAAGGTCAATGCTACAAAGCGCAGGAAATCGTGCCGCCCGTAAAAAGGGCGGGAAAAAAGAGGAACTCTCCGCACGTATTGTACGACAAGTATCAGCAAGCTATAACTTTCTTTTTCACTCACACGTGGGAATTTGTTTTTATATCAAAATAACATCTTCTAACTGATCTCTTGGTTTATTCTCATCTGCTGTTTGCTGGATACTGTGCTGAAACTACACGACGACATTATAAGGAGTTAAATATTTGCATTTATACCTCTCTAATGCCAGTTGTAACTCTAACTGGGCCTCGTCATCTTCGACTATAGCACCATTGTCTGTATCAGCCACAGGAACTGCTACACGCAAAGAATAATAGAAAGTGATTCATGCGGGAATGAATTAAGAGGGTAAATTTCTCATAAAATTATGCTGCGTCAGTGGTGGGTATTACAAGATAGTCTGGTTTAAGTAAGTTTTTAAGGTAAGCTGGCCATCGTGCAGAGTTTTTCACAGCTGACGTTTCGCGCTTTAGCCCCTAGTCAACTTCGTCATTCGTTCTGACGAAGTGCTGGCGCGCGAAACGACGCCAGAAACTCTTTACGATGGTCAATTTACAGTATCAACTAAGTTGTTCAAATATTTTGAGGAAAACTCCAATGCGAAGTTTTCCTTGAGGTGATTCTCTGAAACTAGAACTTGCCTTAGATTTGCGATGACATTTCTCACGCCTTTGTAGCATTTCAAGGAAATGACAAAAATGTTATGAAGAGGGGGGGGAGGGGAGAGAAGGTGTCATCGTACTCGTTTACGAGAAAATCATGATGTTCATTACTGGCAATCCTACGACTGTAATAAAAAAGCCGTTTTGTCGATGTGCGCAGGACGCTCGTATAAAAGAATAACTGTAAGACCTTCCGCCGGGACGGGTTCGAATGTCCTATTCAATTACTTGAAAACAAATGCTATAATCGTCTTGGTTGCGGCGAAATTTCAATGAAATGGTATACAGGAAAATTTTCAACAGACCGTCGTCTTCGGGCTCCAAAGGATCAAGTTCCATCATGTCGCCTGTTTCATCTCTCTCCTCCATCTTGGGTGTATTCTTCAGTATGGACTTCACACTCCTGTTTGGAAGTTAGGAAAGAAAATGACAAACAAAGTGGTTAGTTAAAAGCGCGGCAAAACTCGTAACCGCTAGAAATTTGTCAAAAACTTTTCCCTCCATAAGTCCTTAGCTACGACCTTTGCGACCAAAATATTAAGGTAAAATGTCGTATCTTCAACGCTAGAACAAATAAAAAACTAACTCAACGCCAAAATTTGAAAACAGTACCGTGATCCACGATCACTGTGTAAATCTGTTTGTCCTGGTAATGCCTCAAGGTCATCTGCCTATGACCCAAACAAATACACAAACACAGTTAACCAACAACATACTATGCATTCTAAAAAATAAAGTGGTAACCAAATAGACGGCAAAACCAGAGCTATCTTGTATTACAAATTACACTCAATTTGCTGAGGTTCAAGACGTAGTGTCTCCTTTTAAGAAAAAGAAGAAACAAATTCCGACACCACAACCTTCAACTACATATTTGACGAAGTATTCTGGTGAATGTGAAAGTGAGCTTCGTAGTAATGAACGCTACTCGAGCAGTAGTGAAAACAAGTCTTGAAAAAAATGTAGGCCTGTTTGGGATTTGAACCCATAACCTTTGCGATACCAGTGCAGTGCTTGACCTGCTGAGCTTACAGTCATCGGTTCAAATTCCGTACAAGCCTGAATTTTTTGCTTAAACAGTGCTCATTACGGCGAAGATCTTTTTCATATTCACTTCTTTATACGCAATTCATATATATGATTTTCATATATTCCCAGTCATTTGAAGTATTCTCATTTACCTTGAGTGTTTCTCTCTTTTTAATCTTTCTTCTCTTCTTTGGTTTCTTAAATTTGACCTTTCAAGTAGAGATGGAGTCAATAAGTTAGAGAATGACAAGCTATTAGCTCAAAGACAAGTGGAAAGAAAGTTATGTAAACGACCTTCTACCATTTCTTCCTGAGTATAGTACTCTGCAACCGGTCGAGGCTGCGCCATTTCTAGTGACACCTGCGAAAAAATTAAGAACAAAATTGAATTCTACATTCGTGGAAAACGTTAAAGCTATTTACAGCAACAATCATCAAGCAACATTACGCAGAAGATAGCATATAAAAGCATACTGCTTGCAAAATAGTTAAAAGAATTATACTGATTCGTAATCATTTAAGACTCGTTCAGTACATAAACAAGACCTTGACAAACTTTAACCCTCCAACTCCTTGAAGTCATTAACATGTCACTTCTCCCTATAATATTCATACATTTTCCTTTAAGCAGGTAATGAGAAAACTCAAACTTATCAGGTAGAAGTTGTTATTATGATCTAACACCAAATTCTTGTGACTAATTTAAAAGTAATTGTGTAGAAGCTTGAGGGGAGAATTAATAATCAGATCTTGGGAATTAAAGGGTTACAGGAACTTGGAATCAACTTCCAAGGTCTTTTCACAGCGTTATTTGAGTAAATAGCTGGTGAGATCATGTCGTACTAACAAGACACTTTAAAACAAACGTATAAAATTTTTTCAAATTGAACTTGTATACCCACCATCTGGGCTTTAAGTTTCGCTTGTATCTGTTTCGATAAAAAAAAAAATATATATATATACATTTTTTTTTGTGACTTTCTATCATTTAGAAATGCAAGTAACATTCTACACAAAATTTACAGTTATGTAAAAATTGTCAGTAAAATTAATCTGAAAAGGTACCTTTTTAACTTCATCTTCCTTAGTTGAATCATAATTTCCTCCTGAACCTGACAAAACATTTTGTTAAAAACCTTTACTAAGAAATATATCACCATCTGTCAGAGCAAGTCTAAAAGGAAGAATCCCAAGCATTTGGGTATTGGAGAGAGTAGGGGATATTCAGCCAGTCTCTTGTCATACGCCTAAATATCTTCTATTAAAACAATTTTCATTAAATGTCAAAGTAATCCAGGATTCTTTTGGTCCAGAAAACTTGCACCATTTTTTAGCCAATCAACTTGGTTGCCCACGTTTTCCATATTGTTTGTATCACCACAGACACATACATGAAAACGTCACATTCTTACCAAGGACAAACGATTTCTTTTCCTCTCCATCAATTTCTTCATCATATTTCTCTAAAAGTCCTCGCTGTTTGACCTTGAAAATCATGATGGCAAGGATATGAAGATTAACAAACTCATTACACTATTCTTTAATGTACATGCAAATAAGCTCCCATTGACACAAGTGCTCAGGGTGACAACTTCACAAAGTTCAGATGACTCAACATCATGAACTTACCTTGCCATATTCATCAATTTCTGGCTCATCATACGGTTTGTAATCTGGTTTTCTTTTCCGAAGTTCAACATTTTTATCTGCCTAAGAGAGAAGAGAAAAAATTGAGTGAATTCCATCCAATTAATCTTTTAATGAATTGTTTTCATTGTTTAAAATTAGCTGTAAGTCAACCATCATAAATTTAAATTATTATCTTTTTGTTGGCATTGCAGTGCATTTTGCAGGCTAAAATGAAGATTTAGGTGGGCTAAAATGTATTTCATTATACAGACTGGTTTGTCATCATTTTTTTTTTTTTCAGTTTCTATTTTCTTAATGCCCTTCAAAGTGATAATGATTTATAGTAACACAGTTTATGTTCTTGGTTGTAAATATGTTGAGGCCCCTCTCAGAACTCAGTTGAACCCTTGCCTAACAGCTAAGCTACGATAACTCTGAGGCACGCTCAAAATAAATTGATGCCCACAAACATAAACCCTACTGGATTATAATTTGTTGGTTGGCTTCAAAGTGATCTATTTGCAGAGAAGAATTTGATGTGAAACAATCAAATTAAAAGGAACATACCTTTTCTCTGTCCACAATATTTACATTTATCAAAGTTTGGTCATCTTCATCAAGGACACCTGAAATGCACAAAATTAAAGTAGATCAAGATAAATACTCAGCAGTTTCAATAAGAGCAGGTTACTTGTGGTCAACTGTAAGACCTCCTCCTACTGTCTGGCAGACCTCTCACTGTCATTTGTAAGACCTTCTACTGCTACCTGTGAGACCTCCTACTGCCATCTGTGAGACCTCCTTCCACTGTCTGCTGTCACTGCCATCTGTTAAGCCTACCAGCAAGCTCTTATGTTTGGTCTTGCAGAACAGCTGGCTAACACACCATCAGCAGCCACTTATGGTAAAAGTTATTGAAACCCCTTGAATATTGTATAACTGCTGCATAACTAAACAGATGTCTTCTTCAAGTGCTGTGACTCATACGTCAACAATCACCGGCAAACTGGCAAGTTTATTGTCACTTCTAATATTTAGAGGGAAGTGTGTAATCAGATTATCTAACAACATCTAACAGTACCTAACAATACGTTATTCATTGAGAATAAACAAAGGAGCTGGTTTTAGAGAGATTGTGGTCCTTTGTCAGTTGAGGGTATCACAGATAATGACAATGTAAATTGGCCTCAATAAAGAGTTTCTAAAGCTGGAATTTCAAGCATTAGATCATGGCTCTGAGATTCTGGCTCAAGTAAGCCTACAAAGAGAGAATCTAACACTCAGAAATAATCTAATATTGAGAATGGTCCACTTACCAGCATCTTTTAAGGTCATAATCACAGTAGAACCCTCCTGAAAAAAAAGGTGAAGTTTAAAGTGAGTCCTGTGAAAGAAAATCCACACTGAGATTTGTGACAATACTGATGTAATGATAATATTATCCACATGGGCACTTATTCAAAATTTTGGCTAAAAAGAAGGTTGCTTATTGGAAGGAGGGGCTTCTATTTGAGGGGGCAGTGATTATTCTCTTATACTGGTAAAGCTTAAAGGATAAAGCTTAACCCTTTCACTCCCACAAGTGACCAAGACAGAATTTCTCCTTACAATATCAATACAATATCAAGCAGGTAGGTGATGAGAATAGAGAAGAATGTCAACCATGGGAATATTAGTTGATCCAATACCAAATTCTCTGAACTAACATCATAAGAGTTGTATGGAAAATTGTAAGGAGAATCACTAATTAGATCTTGGGAGTGAAAGGGTTAACAAAGTGGCAATAACAAATGGTTTTTCCATGTATCCCTACATGTAATTATATGAAACAGTGAGGTACAAAGGTGGGTGCTTATTCAAGAGGGGGCATTTTCAAAGACAACAAAAGTTGCACAAGCCTTAGTGTAACTTGTAGTCTTTGAAAAATTACAAGTACTTATTTGCATGAGAAAACATGTTAATACTTGTTAATAATTTCCATGAAAAAAGCAACACAGAAAGTCTAGACAAAATTTTAACAGCACACCAGCCATTTGTAATTTGCACTTGTGTTACAACTTCCCATTTATATTACATGAAAAATGCACTTGTTTTCAACCAATCAGCTGTATGCAATTTTTTCATTTATATTATTACAAATTAAATATCTGACTTGAACAAACCGTAAAATGTTCTTGTGAATGTTCAACTTTTATGCCTCTAAGATCCTGGCTTGAGTATGTCTAGAAAGAGAGAATGCCACACTCAGAAATTTCTGAAAAATAATACCTAATTTATAAAATAGTGTACTGGACACTTCAATTTTTCAATTTTTTTATCAATGGAATAACAAATCATTAGTATTCTATAAATTTTTCGAAACAATTTTGAACAGAGAAAAGTTTTGAAAGTTTGTCAAAAATGAGAGGAAAATGGGAATCCATGATAATACCCTGTGTTCAACTCCTGAAAGTGATTAACATGTAACTTCTCAATATAATATCACTCTGTACTTTATCCTCCACTCAGGTAGTGCAAATACTCAAACTTATCAGGTAGAAGTTGTTACCTTGATCTAAAACCAAATTCTTGTAATTGCACGCAATTTTCAAGAAATTGTGTAGCAGCTAGAGGGGAGAATTAACAACCAGATCGTGGAAGTTGGATGGTTAAAAAAAATCAAATTTTCCATTTCTATAGAAACTTTGGGCAGAGACTAACTACATACTGGTTTCTTTGATTTTGACAGAGATCGAAATTCTTCCTCCATCAAATCACTTATCCCAAATTCTTCATCCATTTCTTCCAGCAATTGTGCCTGTTGAAAACCAAAATTTATACAGTCAAATACATTAAAAAGTTTTTATTGCAATTTAGTAACAGGTCCTCCGTGAACTTCCAATATTTCATAGAATCATACTGCATCTATGTCCCTCGAAGCAACTTCATTTCTTGTAGCCTGCCAGCAGGTCTCCACTTTCAGCACTTCAGCACAATTGTTTTTTTTCCACAGGAAAGAACAAGGCCTTCAGCATTACAAGCCAGCTAGCACATATGATCAGATAACAGCTGCCCCCCGTCTCTCCCCCACTTCCCGTAAGTGGAAATATAGGTATTGCAACACTAATAATGAGGACCTGCTCACAAGTTACATTTCTTGAAGCCTAGAAGAAAATTCTATGTGTAAACTTTTTCACATGTTCACATACATGTAGCCCCTTGCAACATGAAACTGTTTTGTTGTCCAATACCACAGCATCATTTTTGAGTTATAGAATGTTCTGTTATTTAAGTTACCTAAATTATAGTTAAGCCCATTTCAGAGAAGCATTGAACATAGCTTTATAAAGCAGTGATTAAGGGCATAGCTATGGAAAATTTCTTAATGGCTACAGAGCAAACTGGAAAAAAATTTTAACAAATTCTGTGCAAATTCAAAAAAACCAATTGTATAATTACTGGAATAAAACTAACCCTTTTCTCAGCCAAAGTCTTTTCATTCTCTTTTTTCCTACTCTTTAAAACCCATGACATGGCACTGTCATCATCATCATCACTGTCAGCAGTACCCAAGCTTTTCACTTTTCTATTCCAAACAGAAGAAAGAAGTAGTTTAAAGAGGCAGTGCTTATGAAGTATCTAAAAATCATTCCTTATGACCTCTCCATTTAATAAAACTATTATTAACTAAAATCACATTTGACAATTGGAGGGCTCAGAGCAAGAACGATCCCTTGATTTTTCGGCCATTTTTGAAAGTGTCCACATGCCAAAATTCAACTACTTCTGAACACTTTCAAAAATGGCCGAAAAATCAAGGGATCGTCCTTGCTCTGAGCCCTCCAATTATAGATAATCATTCATCCTAGAGTTGGGACCTCAATTTTGAGAGCCCATGTTATGATGAATCCTTTTGAGTGATTTGCGTCTGATTTCTCCTTAAAATATCACCCTTGAGTCAAACATTAAGGTCATGAGAAAAAAGGAAATGATTGCTAACTGAAGACACTCTTGATTGTAAAATAAATTCTCCTTGTAAGCAACTTGGGAAATGTATAGAGAACAGTATGGAGAATATGCATACTGATGCTAGGGTGTAAAAAATTAAAGGAAGTGATATGGGAGTCCAGAATAAATCTACTTGGCAAGATATCTTCATGACTCACCCAAGTTTTTTGTTTATTCTTCTCTTCTCCTTCATTTCTTCCAGTTTCCTTTTAAACTAAAGAAGTTCCATAATCTTAGTTTTCATTTATAAGTTATGTAAGTCTTATCAAATAAGCATTTTTGTCTTTCTCTTCCAGAAGTTATCAACATGTAATTTCTCATCACAATTCCAGTAAGTTATTTTAAAAACAGGTTCAGAGAACAGATGAGCTTATCAGCTTGAGGGGTGCTATTGTGATACAACACCAAACTCTCTAGTCTAATTTACATGAAAATATATAGCAGTCAGTAGGGAGAATTATCAGATGGATCTTGGGAGTTAAATGTTAAATAGTTTTCTGGGTTTTTAACAGCTAGTCAATTGCCTATGTGCAAAATCAACTACATTGGTTTTTTTTACTATCAATTTCTCCAGTAATTAAAATAAGTGGTATTGGTTTGAGAAAAAAAATTCAAGTAGTTCTGAAGAATTTCATGTTTTTTCTTTTATTCAAGAAGCAACATGATCAAAAAAGCCTGAGGCCCTTTGTCATCACAAAGACAGATTAAAGTTTCTAATTGTCTTTAATTCAATTTGTAAATGAACTACTTTTTTATAAATTAACTGATTGTTAATATTCAGTTAATCAATAATGTTTCATAAATAATATGCTAAAAAATTATGTATAATTATGTTATGCTACAAAAAAATTCATGTGGAGCACACCTTTTCAGTTTCTTTCTGGTCAGCCATGTTGATTGCTGGCACATGAACATCCTCTTTCTTAGAAGTTGCATTTTCTGTCCAGAAAGATTATCGCAATAAGACAACTGTCACTCTTTTACCACTAAAATAAATGCTTGGGCTGAGGTAAAAATTTTACATCATTGCACAGCAGTTTAAGACCCTCTGTGCTTCCTGTTTTTGGCAATGCATTTCTTTATGCTTTAGTTATGTTACATGTGTTGTGTTACATACATTAATAGGTAACACAGCAATGTACATAGCACTGTGACATTGATGTGTTCCAAGGGAGATGAGTTTGAGAGAGTTCAAATGTGCATTAAAAAATAGTTTTTTGGTGATGAGCGGTGTAGTTTGCAAACCAATGAGTGTTTAATGGCTGCTATTCCACGCCATCCTTACCCTCTTGTGTTCCAGATGAGTCAGTACCTTCAAGAGGCTTTAGTCCAAGTTTGATTCTCAGTTTACTAAAGATAAAGCAATAGTAAATAGTATAAATATTACGGAATTAAAATATAACGGATAAAAACGATGTTTATTGTAAAAAGGTTTGGATAAATTTCTTTTTACAAGCAAGCAAGTTTTAATGTGGAAAAATGACTATAAGTAAACATGAAACTATAACTACAATGCACATACTTAGTCTCCTCAATGCTTAAAGAAATGTCTCCTCCCTCTTGCTTGGGCTGTGTGTCGCTGCCTGTGAGAGAATGCCAAGGCTTCAGTTCATTAGCAAGGGCAAACAACATATTCAGATTTATTTGGTATTCTAAACTTTTCTCTCTATTTTCAAAACAGTAACATACATATCCATATTCATCAAACACATGCAAAAGTCATCGATGCCACTCACTTCGATCCTCGCGAGTCGATTCTTCTATGGCGTACTCATAGAGGTCATCATACTCTTCTCTCTTAGACTTTTTCTTCTCAATTCTTTCTGTTTCTTCATCCGATCCATGAGCTCGCTTCTCCCGATGGCGTTCATCATTCCTTCTTCTTTCTCTGTCCCCGTCCTTCTCGCGCTCCTTGTCTCTATCGCGGTGTTTTCGGTCTTTCTCTCTTCTTCTTTCGCGATCTCTGTCCTTATCCTTTTCCTTATGCTTTTTAGACGAACCCATTATGTCATAAGCAGACGTAAATGAAGTTATATGACTTTGGTTAATTTGTGATACGCTTTTCCTACGATCACAACTTGGCAGCCATGATGGACATTAGTAACCAGGCCTTAGAGGTAAGCAGCCTGGCCTTCAGCTGTGTTTCCCAGGACTGGATGGTCGACCCAAACTGAAAGGCTTCCGTTGCGTTTGTGACAATATTTTTCAGTTTTTAAAAACTGAAGAGGGAAGATAAAAAAAAAGTTTAAGAAAATTCGAAAATATTCCCTTTGCGCTTTTCCAAACTATTATGCCATGTATGGTGTATGCTTCAGACTATAGGTAGACCCTTGCAATTTTTTTAAGCACGGTTCGTTGCCCGAGCAAATAGAGATCCGCTAAAAAAAATAACTACAGGTGTCGCAAATTGCACGGAGAAAGAGGTCCGAGTAGCTCCGAGGGATCACGAGCGGTGTACGAAGATTTCTAACCTCCAGACCCTCACGCAGACCTCAAACGGTAACTGTTTTTAACATGGCCGCCGGTAAACAAAGTGCTCAACACGAGCCTAGGTAAGATCATCTTTTATTCTAATTAATCGATATCCTTATTCGATTTGAGAGCTCCTTGAGATCAATGGCCTGATAACAAAGGATGCAAAAAATTCAGCTGAAGTGATTTTTAAAGTTTGGTTGCATCTTCACGCTAAAGCTTGAAATTTTCAAGAAAAAGCTGAGCACAGATCTTTGCAGATTTACTGGCCAACACGTCATTACAGACATAATCGGTTTCTACATAATCTGTATTCCATTTGTGTCCTTATCTTACAGTGTCAGTATTGTTGCTCGCAATTCCGGAGACCTAATAACGAGTGCGTGGGTTTCGCCGAAAGTGTCTTCTCCTTTTTCAAGTTCATTCATATAAAAATTCCATGTACGAAAAAAGATATTAGAGTCCAAACTCCGTAGAAAATATGCATTGAACTTGTTAAATGAGCCACAAAATTAGGCTAAAACAAAACCTCCGAAACTTCTTAAAATTCCAAAGGAATAACAAATTTACGTGAACGAAAGCTCAAAAACAACAAACTAAAACTCCGCGAAAACAAACTAAAGTACGCGAAAAATGTCCACGTCAGTTTTCCAGTGTCAAGGTTAGAGTTCTTTGTCGTGATTGGCTAATTTGTGAAATCACGCGCGCCGCATGTGAATACAAAAAGAACACAAAGGGAGTAGAGGAAGCGAAAAAATGCTACTTGAAATTTAAAAGCGAAAGAGATTTTCTGCCAGTCAGTTTTTTTTTAGCTCCTTCCTTTCTCCATCCAATCAATCTCAGTTAGCGAAACAGATCTCTAGTTATGTACCGCTGCAATTATGTTTTTTTTTTATACTGTCCTGAATCAATTTCAGTATTTGAGCAACTGCTTACTTACCCTTCCCCAACCCAACATTGACCCTAGCTTGTTATCAGTTGACTGTTGTTGGGTTAGGGGAGGGGTAGGTGCGCAGTTGCTCAAATACATGAACTGACACTTATACGTCCTCAGAAACGATACATTTTAGATCACTTCATGACCGCTGTTTCAATAGTCCATTTTACAGACGCGTGCTTGGTTGCCAAGCCTTTGAACAGGAGTGAGGCTAAAGGTGACCTTGTTATGATACAAACCGTACTGCTTTTCAAATGAAAATTAGTTTGTTATCATACTGGCTAGATATTGGTCTCTATCATTAAAACGTTCAGCCTCACTTCAAATAGAAGGCTCGGCAACTAAGTACACAACTCCAAAATGGCCTATTCATGGTTTTCTTCTCGCGCCAGGCTCTACTTCTAGATCTTAAGTTTGGGATGCCGTGTCGTGAGCTTTTTTATTAAACGACATAAAGGAAAAGATCCTTTACAAATTGAATTTACTTTTGTCTGAAAAATGTTCTACGAGAAGATATGTTTTACGCGTCGAACGGCGCCAGACCCCATTTCCACTGTGATAAGAGAGGGAGCGTTAAATTGTACAGAGAAACTAGAAAATTTGCCTTCATGATTCAGCAAGCCTGTCCTTTTTACATTTTAGCAGGTTATAATCTCTTGATTTTGGTTTGTAAGACCTCTTCGCGCACGCGGTTTTTCAATGAAGAAAAGGAAAGAATCTCAATCAATTTTAGAACACTAGCCAACCTGAATGATGTTTACCCCGATACAGCAGACAGCAGACATGTTTATTTTGAAGATCGAAAACTTCTGTCAAATAAAAAAGTTATGATTGTGAAACTGAGCAGAAATGTAAACGTTGCATTAAAATGATTGCATTATTGAAATTATTTCCTTTTGTCTTTCCCTAAATCAAACTTTCAATTGAGCAATCAAAAGTTTGCGATTTCTTTTTCCCATAAATTGTTTTCAGGTACTGTTTGTTTTTTTCTCCATAATGAATTTAAGGGAGGTCTATAAACAAAATTTTCGCGTGATGTGAAAATTGATCCGGGCATAAAGGCCAAAAAGATTGGAGAAGAAAGAAAGAGAACGGATAATGTAGAAAAAGATTTGACCGTATGAAAGAAGAAAACATAAGCTGAATGTGGAAGCTGTTGAAAACATTTATATCAAGAACAATGGATTCTACAGGCTACTTGGCAGTTTTTTCACACCTTCACATCTTAACTGGCGTGCGCAAATTAATCATCACCTACACTTTTAATAATCAAGTGAATGGTTTGTTGAATTGGATTGTTTTAGGCATGTTTTTGTTGACATTTTAGGACAGTTAATTAACTTGGCCGTCAGAGGAGAGATTAGATAGCTTAACTTACGCATTTCTTATCTAAATTCTTCGCTAAGCATTGAGCAACTACTGCATGCGAGGTCAATACGTGTTTAAACATTGAAGTAACTTGGACATTTCAGGTTTCCCGTTGTTTCTAATCTCATATACGTTGTGCGGATTTCAAGGCCTGGATACCACGTCGCCCGAACGCAAGTTTTGGTACTTAAATGATCATTTTTTGAGAGGGATTTATTTTGGAAATGCTGCCAAACCAAACAGAGAAGAAAGAGCAGTTGTCAGTTCTAAAGAGCGGACGCAATTGAGCAAGTCTTGGATCGTAAGAAGATAAAAAGACAACTCACTTTAGGACTCTTCTGAACGGCAGTCTTAAAGTGATCTTCACTGCCTGTTAAGGACAAGTTGAGTAAACATGACATTGAGCCCAAGTCCTACTAGTTTCATTCCTGACACCACAAGGCGAGAGGCATTAAGAAAGGAAACAAGCGATGTGCCGATTCGAACATCACTGTCACAGTCGACGAGAGAGTATATCTCGATGACAAAAACTCATCCCGTCGATGCTCTATATTTCGACGGGAAAACGATATCAAAAAGTTCTACAATAACTCCTTCTTCATCTATTTATCATGAGTCAAAGATTCAGGACTCTGCAAAGCAACATCGTGCAGGTAAGAATTTGTCATTGTATTGTGTGTGCAGTCCATGTGTCGAACAATCTTTACAGTACGGTTATTAAAGATTTGTTTACTCTGGGAAATAGGATTCTGTACGTCAATCATCTCGTTGAAAGACCTCACTTACGGAAAGTTAAGTCAGCAACGATTTTCATCTAAAAATGATGCTATAATTATCTTCTTTCCGGGAATTTCTTTCAGATTTCTTCATTCGACATCCTAAGTCCATTAGCTGAAGAATTCACATTTGACAAATTGATGAAACTTCGACGCGAAAAATCCACTGTTTTGAAGTTGACAAATATCAATTGGCCGGAAGTAGAGTGGAATCCGTAACCTTTTAAGAGAAAAAGGAAATTTTTGGAAATTCGATTAGACAGATTTAGTTTTGAAATGGCGAAAAATTACTTTTCTGTCAAACGTAACCATCTGTTTTTGAGATCATCCGATGATTAAGACAAGATTTAAGTCCTGATTGGGTGACCTTGTGTTAATGCTTTTTACAGATGACTGTTCTTGTTATTATTATTTTATTTTTCATTATTTTGTGGCAGAACTCTGTAAAAGAGATAATCTGAGCGTTTTCTATTTTATTTTACCCCCTTACGCCCTAACATCAACATCTATATTCTCCGTACTCTTCTCTGTATATTTCCTTTGATACTGACAAGGAGAATTGGTTAAAAAATCAAAGTTTGTTAGGGTTACGATCATTTTCCTATATTCTTCTATCTTCCTCAGGTGTGTCTGATGAAATAATAGCCGGAAGCGTGGCAGGTGGATTGACAGTTCTGATTTTAATTGGTTTACTTTTGTTGGCGGTAATTTTGAAACGGTGAGCAATAATTATTTTATCATTGTTTTACGCCAGGTTATTCTTCTTCCTCTTTCTCCCGGGGTCAGCGAGTTCCCCCTGTTTCAGTCCCTCCTCCGACTGGGCTGGGGCTGTAGGAACCCCTGATTCCGAGGATTCTACTTCACCATTTTTTTGTAGAAAAAATGTTCACTATTGCAGCAACTGCTCTCATCGTATTACTGTTTGATATTGAGACTTTCCACCGCATATTCAGTGACTGAGGGATTACCCAGGGAGTAGATTCTCCAGCGATCTTTTCCCAAGGAAGATCAAAAAAGACCTTACGCCGGTCCAAGGGTGATATAGGCGCGAAGATGAATATCTTCATCTCTGTTACCCCGGATACCCGTTGTTCTTTGACATGCTTCCACGGTCATCTACTCCAGGCTGTCGTAATTTTACTTCCTCACCCTTTTACTAAACTACGAGGATTCTCACGTTTCCGGCAAAGTCTGTGGCGCGCTTTTAAAATTAAAAGAAGAAAAAAAACCGAAAAAAAATTGATGTCAGCTTGACGCGCGGGACCATAGGGGTGACGCCTAGTCTCGTACCCATACCTTCCACGGCCAGGCGGAAAGTTCTGGGTTCGAGATCAAGTGACGTTTGTTTTGAATGCGCCTCACTCCCATAGTTCCGTGCAGCTCACCAACGTCTTGTTTTGGCTAATTTTATTTTACTAACGCGATGGACTTTGCTGCAAAGGAGGGACTGCTCGTAGTCTACCCCCTTTCCTGAAATAATTCATTTTCCAAACTGACCATCTATTGTTGATTTCTGCTTTCAGTCGAAAAAAAGGCGGATCAATCGTTGCCCAAAGTAACACAGAAGCCTCCTTCGACAATCTTGGATTCAATAGCGGCCGAAAAATTTCCGAGTACATGGATCTGAGCGAACTGGAATTGGTCAGAGTCAAAGTCACCAACACTGTGAAGAGAAAAATGTCCGCTTTCACCAAGGAAAATCAGAAAACTAATCGGGTGTCCTGTGGTCGGTTGGACCTGGTTGAGGTCCCTGTGAACTCGCACATTGATGACGATATACTTTTGACGGCTTGGGTGTGACAGAGCATATAGGTTGTAGGAAAATAAATTTTCAATATAAGGAGTCTTGCGCACAAAATTGCTTCGCTAGCTTTCCGAGAGCTAAGGTACATAATAATCATAACGGTTTCTGTTTTCCAGGTTCTGTAATTTAGAGCTAAAATAAAAGGTGGACAGCCTGTGTGTCATTTGCGCGCTGCTAAGCTTATCCATTTTAGTCCGCGCAACAGGCCTCTCTTTTCTTTTTGCGTTGAGTCGCGTGGACGCGGGCGCGAGGCAAGCGCGAAGGCCGGTTTACGCGCGAGAGAAGGAGCGAAGTAAAAATTTTTTTCGCGCGTGACTCACTCCTCGCACTCGCCTGATAAAGCAAAGGAAGGCTTTGTTTTGCTTGCTGCGAAAAATGTACATAGGAAAACTATGAAAATTTAGATCAGAGGTAAGAATTCACATAATTGCGGATGTAAAATATCAAGGAAAAAAGCTTTTTTTGGTTTTCCTTTGGAAACAAACAAATTGCCACAAAAAGTGAATATCACCTCTTATTTCATTTATTGCTTAATCAATGAAAATCTTGGTATGAAAGCTTGTTTCAAAATAAATAGGTCATAGAGTTAAACACTAATCTCTTTCACAAATATTCTTTAGGTTTCTCAAACAATTAAGCAGTCTTCTTGTTTGTAAAACTAGCCAAACATTTCTCTGCCTTTTAACAGTACAATCATTAGAATTAAATTAAAGTTTATAACTCTCAGACAGTGCCATATGTGTACATTTTGAAAATGAATTCAAATCTGACTGTAAGTTACATCAAAAACATTGACTGGCACTAAGCTTTATCCATAAGAAATTTCCTGTTTTCTAAAGTTGAATAAAATTTCACATTACAAACTTGAATGAATGGGATTGTTTGAGAACTAACTGGTGACTGGCCAGCTGTTACCTTGAAAACCAAGACCAGATCACTGAATGGTCCCAAAATCCCTAATGTTGAAAACTTAGTTTCTCTCCAACAGATTTAATATGCAAGAACTCTTCCACATTCTGGTTTAAGATACATTTACACATTTACCATATGTAGCACTAACAGCCTACAATCTTACAGACTTACAAGGAAGCACACTTTGCTTTAGAAATCCTCATCTACAGATCTAGCTTTCTTTGGTTTGGTAAGTTTCTGCAACATCTCATCTCCTACACTTGATGTAAACCTCTGTACTACACTATCAAGTCCACTGGACATGGCCAGATCATAAGCTGTCTGTCCGGCATCATTTGCAACATTAGTTCGGGCACCCAGTCCTAACAGAGTGTCAATACAGTTGAGTCCATTGGCACCTAGATGCACAGCTTCATGCAGGGCTGTGTTCCCTTTGGTAATGCCCTTAACATTGATTTTAGCACCAGCATTCACTAGTGGTGGAATACTTTCAGCATGCTTATTGATAGTTGCAAGGATTAATGCAGGAATGCCGTCAGAGGACTCACATTCTGGATTTGCCCCCTCATCAAGAAGTCTTTGCACCTCCTCATCTCTCCCTTCACCCCTTGCCCCAATCTCTTTCAGTAACAACTTGTCCTGCTCACTGAGTTTAATCTTAGTATTTTCTTTCCCCTTCCGTTTTTGCTTCTTTCCCTTAGCAGTAGTTCTCAAACCATTTTGAGTCTGTTTTGTACTCCTTCTCAAATCCTCCTTACTCCTAGACTCTGACCCATACAGATTCAATGCTCTCAAGCTTGAAGACAGAGCTTTGGATTTCTCCTTCCACAACTCTTTACCATCTCTTCTGGCAAAGGTCACTGTTAAAGTGACCTCCTCTCCATTGAGATCTTCATGAATTGTTGCAGTAATAATCTTTCCCAACCGTGGTTCACCAATGGTGGCTCGGAAATCTGGATTATTCTGCACATGTGCGCGGATGTGCGAACACACATGGTCCATCTGTTGCCGCCAGAATCCTTTCCCAGGACTTACAGCAGCAAGAGCTGGTCGTCGGTCTCTTGAAGCATCAAGCCGACTTTGTTCCAGAGCTTCTGACTCCATTTGTGATTGAATACTGGTTGCTGATTTATAGAAGAGACCAACTGTGGAAGTTGCTGAAAAGAAAAGAAAAATTACTAATAGCTATACATGTTATAATTCATTTATAGAATTAGCTGAATTAAATGTACACACAGACTTTGATTGGTTCTTGCTTATGATCTATTGGAGGTCAGATGCATTTATGATGTTACCATTAACAATTTTTTGCTTCTTCATTGTATAAGATACTGTAGTTTCTCTGTTAAAAGGCGCACGGTTTTCTCAAGAAGATTCTGTCTTCAGTTGGAAAGTTAGTGCTGAAATCAGGGTGCATCTTATAGCCAAGTATTTTGCACAACAAAGTCTTAAGATCACAATTTTAGCAGAACTTACAGTTAAAAAGGCAAGAAAAGGACACTAATTGTTGAGAGAAAAAGGAGAAAAAGCAGAGCTTTTTGGTCTGAGGTGTAGCAAAGATTGCATCAAATTCATTCCTTTATTCCTATGAATTAAAAAGGAATACTGCTTTTAGAACACTAATCAACTTCTATAGAAAAGCAAACAAATGAAAATTTGCATACAGGATAATTGTTCTCAGTTCCATTACATCCTTTTGTTAACTCTCAACCTTTTGGTGCATCTTATAACCGAGTATTTTCATGTAATTTTCAGTTTGGGAACTTGGTTTGACTAAATTGCTAAGTTTGGGGTGCGTCTTATAACCGAGTGCACCTTATAGTCACAGAAGAAGTCTAAATGTAACCAGAACATTAGTGACACACTAGGCTGCACCACTCAAGCTGCTTTTTTGTCCTCAAGTTACCTTTGACATCATCTATGATCTATTACTAAACAGATGCACAGCAACAAAGAATCTTTTTTTAACATTGATAACAATTTTTTAGTTATAGCCACCCTCTTATAATTTTTGTTGTCACCAACAGTATCATCTATTCTTTCCCCCCATGAAATCCAAGAGTGACTAACATCTAATTTCTCTTTACAGTATCACCCCTGAATCACACATTAAGGTCATGAGAATAAAGGAAATTATCACTAATTTAAGAAGCTCTTGATTGTTAAACAAATTCTCCTTGTCAGCAACTAAGGAAATGTATAGAGAACAGTATGGAGAATGTGCATACTGATGTTAAGGTAGAAAGAGTTGAGCACCTTGTTTAGTAAACATGGTGGCCCAATGGTTTGTGCGCTGGGTTCCATGTCAAGAGGTCACTTAACCCTTAAACTGCCAAGATCTGATTGTTGATTCTCCCCTCAGCTGCTATACATTTCCTTATAAATTAGTTGCAAGAATTTGATGTTCGATCAAGATAACAACTTCTCCCTGACAAGTATGAGTATTCTCATTAACTGTTTGCTGAATAATGTATGGATATTGTAGGGAGAAGTTACATTTTAATCATTTCTGGGAGTTAGGGGGTTAACTTTCCTTGTCTCTCTTAACTCAGGAGTATAACTGGGTACCAGTGGACCTACAGAAATATTGGCAAGAGCATCTTATTTCAGAAGAAAAATTGTTCTTACCTTTATCTGCTTTTTCTGCTGGAGTTGAAGGTATAGAAACTGGCAACCAAGTTGCATTTTCTGACCTTCCTACTGTTTCACGAATGCTACGCTTTTCAACAACAGTGCCAATAACATTTCCTGGACTCTGACGCGAAACTCTTGGAGGTGGTTCAATACCACATCCACAGGTATTACAAAACCTTGCGAATGCACTATTTGAAGCCTGACATTGGGAACAGATTAGAGGACTTTGGTAAGGCTGTGGCTTTGATCCACACCAATCACAGAAACGAGCATCACTGCTATTCACGCGAGAACACTTGGAGCAAGACATGAGGCTACTAACAGAGTCCTTTGGCATTGGAGGAGCACTTGTGCCTGTAAATATTTGTTTGGCATTGTATGGAAGTTTTGCTTCACAGGTGACACAAACTGTCATGTCTGGTGGATTTCCTGTACCACATACAGCACACATTAACTTGTGTGCCAATTTCTTAGTGGCCTGTGGTTGACGCTGCGGTGAAATAGGCGCTTCACAGATGATGCAATTGGGTGTGTTCAGTGATACCATTGAGTTACAGGAGACACACATACCAAGCTGCCCACCCTCAGGAGGGGGAAGCCTTGAAGACGGTAATGGCGGAATGGGGGATCCGCATTCAGAACAGAACCTTGCATATGGATCTGATGGTCTGGGTGCCATACAGTAGATACATTTTAGAAAATCGGTCTGTTGTTGAATCTTACTTGCATGAATTCTGTTCTGTGGCCCTCGTCTCTCCTTTAATTCACCGTCAACTTCTGTAAGAGATTGATCTGGGGTACCTAATGTTGCTTGATTTGAACCAAACCTTGAAGCTGTGAATCTTGCTTCACTCCTGGGTTTTCTGTAATCTGACCCTCTGACATTTTCTAAGTCATCTGGAGTTGATGTAAGAAATCGCTTTGATTTACCCTCAGTCCCCCATGCTTCAGACGTCTTCAATTTGGATCCTCTTCCGGCGTTCTCAAGAATTTGACCGAACAAAGTTCCCGACGAATCCCTTAAATTTCCAGTCGACGAAGAAATGCTTTGCTGAAGCTCGGAGACATTATCTTCACCATCTAAACCTTCTCTTTCTTCTGGTTCTTCAACCATAAATGTCTTGGTTACAATGGAACTTTCTCTCGTGCCATCACTCGAGGTTGCCAGCGCTTTTACGATCCGCTTTCCTGGACCCAAAACAAAAGGTCTGTTGTATTTATAGGTGCATTTGATGCCAATTTGTTTAAATGGCTCCGGTTTCATTCCGTTTATAGTGTAATATATCAGAGTATCTGGTGTCTCTGAACGAAGCTCGATGGGAGTATGAGTGTCTATGATGTTTTTTCTTCCTCCCATTTGAAGCCTTAACGGCATAATACTGGGAACTCTGATCATTCCTGCTGTCATTTTTCAAAAGTTTTTTGACGCCAGTCAACCTATTCTTCTATCGGTCTCCTTCTTGATTTGGTACTAGATAAGACTACACGTCCCACTGAAACTTATCTGCGAAATCTGGACCAAATTTTTTTTCTTAAGAGATTTTAAGGCACCTACAATTCAAAGCGTCCAAATAGAACCGTTTGCCCTTTTAGCCGCCATTTTTCAAGCTATCCCACAATACTCATCGCGATGGGCAGACTAACAAAGTCTCGTTTCTATAGTAACAAAGATCAATGATCATGCAGCCATGTTGAAGTTGTAGGTTAAAACTTGTTTACAAAGTTTGTTCATCGAAGGATAAACAACCCCGATCTAAACTTGAAGTGGTGAGAAAAAGATTATCTGACAAGGGCTAAGTCTGAAGAAGCGTCGAGAGGGGATGAAAGGCTTGTAGCACTCAAAATTATGTTTTGATTAACAGCGACTCTAAAGCCACTTTTCTTCGTCAAAGTTGACAGAGCGAAATTCAGCGAAAATGTCTTCTTCTACCAGAAATAGTAACAGTCCAGCCACTGATAAGGCGTGGTTTCACGATACAAAGACTAGCTGCGAGAAACAAGCGCGTTATTTTGTACAAATTCGCAAACTTCAAGATGAGTTGATCAACCGCGAACAACACAATTTGATCAACGCGATGGAACGTTTAAAACAACTTTCTTACCCTCGAAGACGACCAGTGATTCGAAACGTCGACATTGATGCATCATCAAACCCTGCCTTAAGTCGAAAATTTCCTGCTAGAAACTTAAAATTGAGGAAGGAAGGGAAACACAAAGCCATACAAGCAAAAGAACAGCCAGATCTCAACTCTGTTTCTGGGAAGCCCCTGATCAAGAGAACTGACAAGAAACCTGATAGCTCTGCGTATCATCATTTTTTCGTAATGCCACCACTCCTCAATGATAGAGACATAGCAAAGATTGTACACAATGCGAACAGTACTTTCACCTCTGAACCCTCAACTTACTTGCTCCAACCACATTTGCCGTCTATTCCTAATGTAGGCCGAAAAACAACTTTCATGGTGGATAATAGACTGAAACTCCTAACACTGGCTGAATCAGAGTTTTGTGAAGACGGAGAGGGTAGCGTCAGTGGTATGAGGAAACATTTGCATACAGGGAAATCACAACGCAGGAAGAAAAGTCCAAAATCTACACAACATTTTAGTGAAAATGTCCCTGTTGAAAATACAACGAGAAGAGGAAATGTTTTGTGTTTTGACGTTGACCCAAATGATCTGAGTTTATTTTCTCACTGTTTCGAAGATAAGAAAGAGGACGATGAGCCATTTAAAACAACACCGTTGCCTCCACCAAATTCCAGACCAAGTACATCAAAATCAAAACTATCAGTAAGTTATGTTGTGGAAAGTGAAGAAGGGAAGATAGTTAGCAAGGCTGGCGCCTCAAAGACTGAGGTTGCTCTTCAGGAAGATTCAAAAAGTCAAGATACAGTGGAAGAGCTGGCAAATACAAACAATGAAGTTAAGGGCAAAATGCCTGATGTGGGCATAGATGACATGAACCCTAATATTAATGAGGGTGATGTCAAGGTGTCAGATGTCAAGGTGTCAGATGTCAAGGACTTGAAATCTGATTTTGCTGGAAAAGATTTAGATGAAGTTAATGATGATGTAGAAACAGGGGATATTGTACAGCCTGTTGTAACAATCACCAATCAACCTGTACCAGTCAACAATAGTGAGAAAGATGATGGATCCTAATGGGACTGGATCATCTCATTTTTTTACAAAATATTTTGTTTGTAAATATTTTCTTGAAACAGTTGCATAGCAGAAGTCATTCATTGACCATGAAAATTCTCCTCATAATGTGAATACAGCATCCAATCAACATATGATATTGTTGGTGTGGAACAGTGAGAGGGCATTCTCATGATAAATCACCTTTAACTCTTTACTCTCAGGAGTCACCAAAACTGAGTTTCTCCTAACAACCCCAATACAGTTGCAAGCGGAATGGTGTTGAAAAAATACTTAGGAACATGTCAGTTAGCATTTATTGTTTGATGTAGTCTTAAGCCATGATAAGAAAAATTTCCAATGCAAAGAGAGGCCTACTAGTACCTAGGTGGTGCTCAGTTCTCCCTCATATAAGACATGCAAACATAAATACAAAAAAAGGAGTTGAAATAGTACAGTCATTAAAATTAACAATATTTACAATACTCTTCATTTACTTATTAGTGATATAGCTTCAAGTTATATAATTTTTTTTATTGTACTACTATCCTCTCAACAAGGGGTTTGACAAATGCTAATTGTTGAGAGATCTTGAGTTGCTGACACAAAGGAGTCTGAAGTTCTCTTATAAGCAGCCATGTCTTTAGCATTTTTAATGAAGTTCATGTAAGATATATCTTTTATCTAAATTATATTTATCTGGGAAGAGTAATTATTTAGGGAAAATAGGTCAGATTTAAAATATTTATCATTTGGTTGAATGGACATGTATTCAAATATGCTTGAATTTAAAATATATCTTCAATGGCTTATATGCCAGTAATGTTTGTATCTAGATATTAAACACTCATTGATCTTGGGGATGGTTGATCAAGGTTTTTAGAAAGAAATGTAGGGGCTTTTCTGATAGAGGATGTTGGTAAGAAAGAAGAGAAAACTCTCTATATCTGATGGAGTGAAAAAAGCTCAGGTTATCAAAATTAATTTATTACAGACTGAAATCAAAATGCATCTTCTCCATACTTCTCTCTATACTTTTCCTAAGGTGGAAATAAGGAGAATTTGTTTAACAATCAAGAACTTCTTTAGTTGGTGATCATTTCCTTTATTCTTGTGACCATGCAATGCTAAACAAGCACCCTCTTAAGACATTTACACCAATGAGAAATTGAAATAAAAGACTCTCAGTTTACAGGCTATTAGTAGTCAAAATGAAGTTTAATTAAATTTCATTTTTCTCACTGCACCAGAAATACTGAGAATGTCCAGAGATACTTACTTTGCCCTTTCTGTCAACAAAAATTTCTTATTTGTTAGTTTTTCATTTGATGTTGGCTTGTCCGAAAAATTTCAGAATGTAAGCGTGTGTTACGAGAGAGCACTATGCCCCGTGCCCACCCCTACCAATATCCATTTCCGCCACCACACCTCCGATCTGTCCCACAATGCTCCTGAACGCGCAGTGGGCAGGTCGCCATCTTGATTTTGCAGAGGCTTCCGCTATTCCTCCACGGAGTGAATTTTGCTACTTTCGTTAACTCGTCCGCCAGAGCTCTTCGAGTTTTGGAGGAATTCAGTGAAGGAAAAGATGACGGGACGGCAACCGGCCTGTGTCATTGACAATGGAACGGGGTAGGTGTAGAAAGACGCATTTAAATCTGTAATCATCTCATGAAGCCGAACTATTTCCTGCTGTAAAACTCCCATTGTCGTTTTTTTTTCGTTATGAGGTGTGTTTTGTTCTTTCAATTTTACTTCGGGTTACCCTATCTCGTTTCGATCGCTTAGTGTAAACTACATCAACTTTGTGAAATCTCTGTGCATCACTGTTTCTACTGATAAATTTCTTTCCTGGTTAAATTGATATATGGTTGAGACTTTGACAGTAATCGTGTAGTTGTAGCTCTGTAACTTTAGTTTCTTTATTTTCTAGTAGAATCCATCGCAAAAAGATAGTAACTCTTCTTCTTGCTTTTCATTAAGCATTGTCAACCAGGGAATAAGAGAGTTAAAGTAGTCGGCAAACACATGCACAAATAACCAAACACGAACCGGGCTTAGCTAAGAGACGAAAGAAGTTTTAAAGCTAACAAAGATGTGCGATAAACGAATAACTGAATGGATAAATGATAAAGCCTAAGAGCAGAAAATGAACATTACCTTTGAAATTGTTTCTAGTCTGGTGGCTAGTAGGCAGCTAGCCCTATTTGGTATGACACTCCTCCTTTTTAATGCATATATAGTGTTCTTGTCTAAACTTTCATTCCTTTCTGGAAGATACTGAACCAGATTTTCTATAAACCATACTATAAATAGTGTGAGAGATACATACATGTGGCATAGATAAAGATATTGTAAATCATAGCATTCTTTTGAGTCAGTCTTTTGAGGCAGTCTTTTTGAGGCTGGTGTGCTTAGGAAGCCAAGATGACTTAATTCATTCTGTGTAGACCAGTCGGGTGGAACCTTTATAGAAGTTATTAAGGTTGTCACTATAAAATAAAATAGATGAGAGAACAGAGAAGGCGGATGAATTGAAGTATACTTGCATGGCAAGTGTAGGCTGTTGCAAAGCAACAAAATCTTTGAAGGGGGCCCGAATTGAATTTTTGAAGCTCTGTGAGACATGATTTCTAGCACTCTGGGATATATTAGAGAGACTTTTTTCAGCTAGACATTGATGGTGGAGTCAGTTCAAAAATAATTATTTTTTCTCGTTAATCCCAATTCACATAGTAGCCATTGCAAAATTATCTGACAGCAGGTGGGTTCCTGTCCCCTATCAGCTTCTGATGACAACCCTTAGTTGCCATGGGCTGAGTTAATTCATGGGTTTAAGGCCATTTGGGTATGGATACAGGGGTAAGTTTCTAAAGAAACTATGGTGCTGGGTCAGTGGGAGAGTGTAACAGGGTAATTTACTATTATCAACTGAGTTGATAACATAAATTGGCCACCATAAAGAGTTTCTAAGCTGACATTTCAAGTGTTAGCCCTTTGTCAGACAAAGGGCTGATGCTTGAAACTTTACCATTAAACTCTCTACAGTGGCCAATTTTACATTATCAACACAGTTGAAAATACCAAATTACTTTTGGGTATTGGCTGTAAATGGCATGGAAAACTTAAATTGTAGTAAGTAGCCTTCAAGAGCCTTGCAGTCAGAAAGACAAATGAAAAAGTAGGAAGGCAGAGATCAGGGAGGATTTTCTCTGTTATTCCTTCTCTTTGTCTGCACTTTTCATGATAACCTGACTGGCTGGAAGAAGCTTTTTGTAAGGTACAACAGGAGCAACCAAACAATTTCAGGTTACCTTCCTCTTTACATTTTCAGGTATACAAAAATGGGTTTTGCTGGAAACACAGAGCCACAATATATTTTGCCAACAGGTAACTGTCAGAAGAGACTTCTTTGTATCTTAAAACTTATAAATCAGTGCATGATATAGTGTTTCTTTAAGTTATGATTGATAATTATTCAATGAAGGCAAAATGGACATTGTTGAATAATCTACAAGATGAAGTAAGGGGATTATTCCACAATATGCACTGGATGAATAACTGTTTTAGTATAATTACTTATAAACTTTTGAATTAACAATGGTTGTAAATTCTTTAATTGAAGAGAGCATTGTGCCTTTTTTGGTCGCAATTATGCAGATTAATTGTATCAAGATTAGCTACCAGTTTTAATAGGTGCAGGAACTTCATTTGCCAAAACCTTCATATGTTTTTTGTAAAATATGCTCTGCCAAACTCATTAGCAATTACTCTTTGCAATTTAATTTACTTCTATTGTGAGTATCACTTGCATGGAATTATTGACAAAATGCAAGGCAGCCATTTTGAAATCTAGCACTCCTGCCAGAATTGCCTTGTGCAAGGTTATTATAGCAAGATATAATGTAGTCCTTGACCAATCATAGTATGCATATCTCTATTAACACCAGAAAATTTATACTAATCATAAATACATGTATGTAGAGAAAAATGTCAGCTTTTACCCTTTGACTCCTGAGATCTTATGAGTAATTCTCCTTCCAGCTCCTTTTCATTTCCTTGTGAGGTAGGCAGGAGAATTTGGTGTTGCATCAAGATTGCATCCTCAGCTGATGCAATTTTTTTTCTCATAACCTGTTTGTAAGATAACACTTTGGAATCACAAGGAGAAGTTACATGTGAATCAGCTGAGGGATTCTAAGGTTCTCTTGCTTAAAGCCTGAAACTAAAATTACAACTCATGGTCTTGCAAATTAATATTTAAAATTGATTTAAGTATTGTGTTGCCTTTATTTCCTCAGCTATTGCCATAAAGGAATCTGCTAAAGTTGGAGACCAGGCTCAGCGGAGAGCTGCCAAGGGTATTACCGATTTAGGTAAATAATGATTTGATATTAATCACTATTTAGGGCATTGTACATTATAGCAACACCTTGACTTTTTCAGAAACAATAGCAGTGATAAATTTAAAGGAGGCAAAGAGCTAGAAGTTTTTATGAAATATAACTATTTAGGTTAGGTTAGGTTAACACACATGCAGTAGCACTAAATTTGAAATGAGAATTTTGAATCTCTTCCTTTTGCTCCCAGATTTTTATATTGGTGATGAAGCAGTAGAGGCTCCAGGTTATGCAACAAAGGTTAGTATAAACCATTAAATCTATCACACAATTTTGGATGTGCACCTTTCCACAAGCTAGTGTGAGTGTTTCGGTCCATTCATCAATTTTAGTACATACACAACTTCTGTATCATTACGAAACTTGATGTTTTTCTTTCTCTTTTCTTCACTGAGCTCAAAACTACCCTATTTATTTACTGAGCTCAAAACTTACCACTTCTATTCACGAAACATGACACTACTGATATAGCTGATCCTAGTAGTATGCAGGACATGTGTCATATATAAATTTTGTAATGGGCCTTGCTCACCATAGAGTCTCTGTGGCTCAGTGGTAGAGCATTGGAGGTCTGAGATGAAAAAATGTCTTTCTCTATTTCAGTAGTGAGCTCAGAGCTTATCATCTTTCATATTTTATTTACATGTTGATAAGTGTAGGTATTACATAACTTTCCAAGTAAAATGTTCTGGAAGATGTAATTTTACCCTTTACGTTGTAATATGGGTATGCAAATTCTCTTTACATTTCCAATGGTACAGAACAAGGATAATTTTTCGAACAATCAAGAACTTCTTGAGTTTGCTATCATTTCCTCTGTTCCTATGACCGTATTGTGTGATTCAGGGGCAACATTTTAAGGAAAAATCAAATGCCAGTCAGGGTTAAGAGGTCAAAGAGGTAAAGGCCATGTGCACAGATTTGGTAAATTTCCAAATGGCTTAAGTGATATTCTCGAGAGCTTTGAGGAATTCTTGTGCTAAACAAATCTTTTCAGCAAAGGAATAGAATCAGAACATATATGCTCAGCTGTACAGTCACACATTTTAATTCTATACGCATTCACTTGGAGGACCAATGGATTGAAATTAACCTCATGTTTATTTTTGGTCTTCAGTGGCCTATTAGGCATGCTATTGTTGAAGACTGGGACTTAATGGTATGTAACTACAGTATTTTTGGCTTGTAATGTAGTTTGTGTCCAATCATTCTATTTTTACATGCTTTTGACAAATAACGGTGCTAAAACATAGTATTTGTATCATGCTGACTTGTAAAGCTTTACAGAACTTATCCTATTTTCTGAAGAATTGCCCACCAAAAATTGAGTTGGTGAATGCTGCTTTTTCGTCTGGTGAATTTTGCTGGCAGCTGGAGCCTACTGAAACAACCCTGAATGGTGCAAGGCACTGTAGGAATGAACTGTCTTGCCCAAAACCACAAGAGGAGCTTCTGATTTACTCTCATTTGGTGATGGAATGTCTTACATTACATTTTCTGTTCAATCTCTGGTATTTAGGAAAGATTCTGGGAGCATTGTATATTCAAATATCTGCGAGCTGAACCAGAAGACCATTATTTCCTTCTTGTAAGTATTTTGCTTCTGATGAATGTCATGCTAAATGTTGTTGATGATGATGATGATGATGATGATGTCGATGATGATATTAATAGCAAGAACAGCAAAAGTGAGTAGACAGTGATTCCTTTCATTGAGAGAGTTGTGGTCATTTTTGTTTCAGACTGAACCGCCATTAAACACACCTGAAAACAGAGAGTACACTGCAGGTGAGATTCTAATGCCATTAAAATTTGAAACCATTTTTTAGTTTTGTTGTGAAAAGACCTCAGTTTTGCTGTCATTAATATCTCCTTTCTGCCTGCTACACATTTTGTATGATATCATTGTATGATATACATTTTGTATGATATCATCATTTCAGTTTTGTAAAACAGTCAATGCTTCTTTAGTCAATTTTTTTGTTACTCTTGTCATCTTTCTGCTTATTGGTGTATTACTACTATATTGAGAAAATACTTGTTAATCTTTCCTGGGAAAGTGTCCTGGGAAACAAAGAAATGTTAATTTCTTGTTAGGAAGTTCAAAGGGAATTTCAAGAAGGTTTGTTCCTGATGAAGAATTGTTGATTGTTTTTTTTCTTTCTTTCAGAAATTATGTTTGAGTCATTTAACATTCCAGGCTTGTACATTGCTGTGCAGGTGAGGATCTGTTACTCCATCATCTTGAAAAAGTCAGGCTTTAATGTTGTTCCCACTCCTACCTCTCAGACTCTAAGATTATTGATCATTTCACCTGTGCCTTCTCCAATGTCATCTATTGCATAACTTAAACTCATTACAAAAATTTATACAAGAAGACAACTAAGCATCCTATTCTGAGAACACCCTCATGAGATAGTAAGGAATGATAAAGATGCATCCAAACTAGTCACTAGACATTTAAATCTCCTTGATCATTCTAAGCATTGTATGGCAGTCTGCAGCCTTTCCCTCCATCTAGGCAGTTTGGAAAGCAACAAAACTTGTGAACAAAAATTTGTCTTGCAAATTGGCACTCTTAATCCCCATGGCATTAACAAACAGCTAATAAAATGTTAGTCACATTTGTGATTAAAACAAACGCATAATTTCCTTTCTGTTTTGATTCTGTATTTTGTTGTTGTTTGACAGGCTGTGTTGGCTCTTGCTGCATCATGGACTTCTCGTCAAGTTGGAGAAAGGACACTTACTGGTACAGTGATTGATTCAGGAGATGGTGTGACTCATGTTATTCCAGTGGTAAGAGGACTTGTGGTGTATGTGTTAGTCCTCACAAATTTATGGGGAATTTGTTGTAGTTTAAAACAATTTCATGCCAGAATGAACTCACATTAGTTTGGAATCATTTTGATGTGAAGTCATTTTTTAACTACACCAAATACAAACACAATGTATTAATTATTTGAATACTATAATTATGATAATGTTACCAGTACTTATCTTCCAGCAAGATTTCTTTGGGACCACACATGTAGATAAAAAATCACTGGGTAAAAAATCATTACCTCAGTAATTAAGATGCTTGACCTTATCCCTAAAATTAAAGGGTTAAAGTTGAAATTCTTTAACAGCTTTTGGAAATTACCTAAGTGTGTTAAATCCAGATCAAGTTTCCAGAATTTTACTTATTATGCTGTACACCAATTCAGTTAGTACTTTGTCCAACCCTTTGGTTGCATTGTGTGAACCTTTTCACTCCCAATATTTCAATAATAAATCTCCTTAGTGCTGGCTATGCAATTCTTATGATGTCAGTTCAGAGAATTTAGTATTGGATCAACTAATAATCCCTTGATTGATATTTTTCTCGATTCTCATCATTTGTCTGCTTGATATTGTATTTGTATTGTAAGGAGAAATTCTGTCTTGCTCACTCATGCAAGTTAAGTGGTTGACTTTGCAACGTTTATGTTGGTGTATACTAAGAATTTCTGAGAAGAGTTCTTGTAATTCTGAAGTCTTCTGTGTTTTGTTTTCTTTTATTTTTCTGTGTCCAGGCTGAGGGTTATGTCATTGGCAGCTGCATAAAACACATCCCCATTGCTGGCCGCGATATTACCTTCTTTGTTCAGCAACTTCTTCGTGAACGTGAAGCAGGAATACCACCAGAGCAGTCTATGGAAACTGCTAAAACCATCAAGGTAATCAACTTTTTATTTCTGCAGTTGTTTGAGAATACAGCACATTGACCCTACATGTATTTTGAGGAATTTTATATGACGGTTATTTAGTAAGGAGACTCTTGTGCTGAGACTGAGATTTGAACTCTAACATCAGCATGCACATTCTCCATACTGTTCTCCATACATTTCTATAAATGCTGACAAGGAGAATTTGTCCATCAATCAAGAGTTTCTTTTGTTGGTGATCATTTTCTCTATTCTTGTGATCTTAACGTGTGATTTGGGGGTGATATTGTGAGGAGAAATTAGATGTTGGTCACTGTTAAGGGTCAAAGAGTTAAAAAAAAAATGTTAAAAAAAGCAAAGGGCATAGAGAGTGATATTGGGTTATTAAAAAGAATTTTTTGTTACATGCCAAACTGAAAAAAATTCAATTTTTTAAAATCACCATTTGACACAATGCTTACTCCTGTTTTTTTTATTTTTCATTTTCAAGGAACGCTGGGGTTATATCTGCCCAGACATTGCAAAAGAATTTGCAAAGTATGAAGCAGAGCCAGCTAAGTGGATCAAGAAGTACGAGGGTGTGAATGCTATAACCAAGAAGGTAGCAAACTTTATATTTTAATACGTCGCTTTTATTGGCAACTTACTGAGGATTTAACCTCAGTCTTGTTTGTAATGACACTTGTCTGAATGTGTTGGTATAAATGCAGCTGTTCCCTAACCCTCTACACCCTCACCGCAGAATGCAAAGAAATCTTATGTCCCAATATGTTGCATTTTAACTGTTGTGACATTGTTCTAATGTTGAACTGTTTTTCGTGATATCTGCACAGCCTTTTGCGGTAGATGTCGGTTATGAACGATTTTTGGGCCCGGAAATTTTCTTCCACCCGGAGGTAAGGCTGGAGTTTACAGAATTCTTTTTATTGGATTTTTTGTTTAAAAAACTACCGGAAAAAATCCATTAGAGGACATTTTGAAAATATTTCGTGTTAAATCTGTTGTTAAAATTTTGACATCAAAGCTTCAAATTTGAAACAGATTAGAAAAGAGTTTTAGACATTAGTTTTTAGCAGTACAACATGTTCTTGCATAGCAAATGCTAAAAAATAAATTCGCTTTCCTTGATTATCGCCATCGTTTTAGGAACTAATTTGCTGTTTTGCTTTAGTTCTCTAACCCAGATTTCACCACCCCTCTGTCTGAGGTTGTGGACAACGTGATTCAGAACTGTCCAATTGATGTTCGTAGGCCTCTCTACAAGGTGAGTGGTGATACAGTTGCGAAGGAGACGACGTAGATGCTTTGTAGCTTGTTCTTATTGTTTAACTTTCCACTCCCGTCACCATTTTACTAGAAAATATATCAATGCCGTTAGAGGAGATTCCTGTTGTGTTACACGTGCGGTTAAAAGGGTAAATGCGAATGCACTCTCTGTTGGTTCAAATACGCCTCGATCAAATTTTAACCGGAATTCTACCTTACTGACTTGAGTCAATTGAAAATAACTTGTACCTTGTTTGCCTCTGCGGAAAGAATGGAACATGTGTAATCTAGCGTCAATAACGCAAGCTTAGCTTTGAGACGTGCGTTTCCAGTTCCTTAAGAGAGCGTGAATTTCTGATCTGCGTTTGTTACCATCAGTTAAAACAGCCTCATAGCTGCGAAAGTAATTGCATTTAACCAGGCTAGTTTCGAAATTTTTTGAGTTTTTAGTGCCACATTTGCAAGCAGCCCAAGTGTCATGAGGCTAACGAAATCGCTTTGTTAGAATTGAGATGAAGGAAATCACTTTGAATGATGATGCTTGCTTGGAGAATTTTCAGGTGTAGACTCGCCTAGAGAAGTCAAACCTAAAAACTTCAGGTTGATGTTCACCACTTTGTCTGTTACTTCTCTCCACGCATGGTGACCTCTTCCACACTTCTGAGTAGTTTCTTTTATTTACGAGTAGCGGTTGTACAAAGTTAAAGTTAGTTATGCCCTTAGCTGCTCCTCGAGAATAGACCATCGATTATTTTCTTTCTCCACTTCGTCCCTTCTGGGGCTAGCCTTTCGAGAGTGGCCGAGGTGTGGCTCTAACTTTCAATCTCAGCCTTAACATCTCGCCACCTGGTTATTTTTGGGAGTCCTGTTTTCCGTTTACCCTGGGAACACCCTTTTCAAGGCTTACTTGGTAACACCACCAAGATGTTTCTTCAAAGCGTGGCCAATCCATCTCTGCTTTCTCCGACTTATTGGAATTTGAATAGGTACCTGACCAGATCTTTCCATAGATGAACGTTTGTTGCTCTCTCTGTTACATGTTATATACTAAGTTAGTCAACAAATCGACCGTAGTTTGGCGTGGTTTGCACTCTTATCGACAACGATATTCGTCATCACAGTGGTCAAATGAAGCGATTTTCTCAGTGCGTTGCCATTGCGTAACAAGTTGAAGCGAGCGGCAATGTTTGTACGATAACAGCAAATTGGCCAATCAGAAATTACTGCCAATTGTGGTAAAATCTAATATTGTTGGGTTTTGCTGTCAGTTTTGGTCAAAGTTACACGCGCGAATCATGCGCTTCCCATCTCGCTATCGAAAGATGCCTCCACTTCTCAAAGAGTTTCCGCGGTTTTTCAAGTTCTATTCTTCATAATAACACTATTATTGTGGTCTTCATTGCCTCTGCTAACTTACCTTATGTTTTTTTCCTTCTTTGTTACTTTTTTCCGTTTTCCAAAGAACATTGTGTTATCTGGTGGTTCAACCATGTTCCGTGACTTTGGCCGCCGCCTTCAACGTGACATCAAGCGTGCAGTAGACGCTCGACTAAAACTTAGTGAGCAACTAAGTGGAGGACGCATCAAGGTAGTTACATGTGGTACTTGTTTTTGTTTTTTCGTTTTTTCTCTTTCAAGCTAAACATGCGTGTCTTTCAGTGATTTTATTTCGTTCCATTCCCCCTTGCGTCATGTCGCTATGAGCGCTCTTAAATGCCTATATGAATTTTTTTCCAGCCGAAACCAATTGACACTCAAGTTATAACCCATCACATGCAACGCTATGCTGTGTGGTTTGGAGGAAGTATGCTGGCTTCCACGGTACGTGAATCATGCTTCAAAGCTTAGAATTGAGTCTAAACAATTTGATGTAGAACAACTTGGCTAAAATATGCATACTTCACCACCTGAAAGAACTGCTCTGCAGCCTTCATTTGAATGTCACAACTAGAGTTTTTATCCTCAGCTCTTAAGGGCTACTTCACAACCCGCGCATGCGTACAAAGAAACGAGAAAATGGTTACGCATTTGCCGTCGAATTTCTTACAGTCCAGATTATGAGTCGATCAGTAAAAAGCTTCAAAATATAGGGCAACCCTCCGGGCGTTTGAACTTTTGAAGATTTGTTTGTTCAAATTCTTTCTCTCCTCTCCTTCCCTCTCTCTCCTCCTCCCCCCCCCGCTCGGCAAAAATTATTTTCAAATGCCCCGCCCAATTTTTATTGAAAAGGAAATCAGGAATCAGCCACCGTGACTTTCTACATATTGACCAAGCTTTAAAACCTAGACCTTGTAGACCTTGTAGACCTTGTTGAACCTTCTGAGCCATTCGCTCGCAAAAGGGAAGCATTTGTCTTAAACGCCTCTATATTTAAAGATGTAATAGTTGCATTCCGCTGGAAGGACTTTACACTTCCTGTTCAAATTCCTCACCCCAGCCAGGCAAAGTTCAAATATCTCCACCCCACGGGCACGGATGACGATCAAGTGTCCGTGGGATGTCGGGGGGGTGAAGTTGAAGCTTTAAATTGATATGCGCATAACGCACGAGGATTTCATCAACAGATTTAAAGAGTGTCACGGAAATTCAGACCCCAGACCCCAGTCCCTCGCAAAGCTCAGACCCCTTCGTGTCTCTAAAACTCAAACTCAGTAGTAAACATCTTCTACGTTTTTTATGTTTTTACTTTACTCTTCGTTACAGCCGGAATTCTACACAGTATGCCACACCAAGGCGGATTACGATGAGCACGGACCTAGCATTTGTCGTCACAATCCCGTGTTTGGCGCCATGTCTTGAGAACAAAGTTCCATTCTTTAGGTCACTTTTAGGTTCCGTCGAAATTCACTTTGATCTTTGCAAGATAATTGTTAAATAGAAACTTTTTACCAGTCTTATGCTGAGAGTAATCGTTATTCTTTGGTTAGCGGCAGGTTCTTGACCACCAGTCGCTGAATTCGGGTACTGTAGACTCTTGGTTAAAGGTTGAGCTTTGACTGAAAGAGTCAGCAGTTTTCATTGTAACTTCAGAAATTAAGCATACCTCTAAAGATTGTAGCAGATAATTATATTGTTTTTTGTATGTTTGTTTGTTTGTTTTTTTTTTCATGAGTGATACGAAGCTCATTTTCTTCAAAATATTGCGCATTTCTGAATTTTGATGCTATTACCATTTCTGATGGCATGGCATTGGCAACATTTCTGTGCCAGGTGTCAATCAGAAAATGAATTCTGAAGTAAGGGTTTCACTACTTAAGGAACTGTGTATTTGAAATTTTTTGTAAAGTTACTTGCGTTGATTTTGGCTGGAGAAGAAAAACTCGGATAGTTGATGATTTCGGCGTAGCAAAAGAGCAAGCCTAACATAACTTGTGTTTTAAAATTGCCACAGAAGTAGGAGACCACTTTTTCGAGCATCCAAAGAAAGTGAAATGTTATTAAATGCTGACCTCCATTTAGACGAACCCCATTGCAGTACAAAAGAAGTCGTTCTTAAAAAGACTTCGGTTTGATTTCATGTGACTTTTTTCCGTTCATGCTATCAAGGGAACTTTGTTTGCAATGCAGCCGTTTTATCTGTTGTAGCACTTTAGCGCGAACGAGCCTGACTTTTTGGCCAACCAAATGTGATTTAGAGAATGAGTGGCTCACTTTCTGAGCCAGTGTTGTATCATTTGGTCAACCTTTATATTTCCACGCTTTGTATGTTAAACAGATTTTCTTGGATTATGTATTGCCAAAGCGAACGGTGTATTGAAACATATTTTGAAAAATAAAATTCCTTTGTTAAAGAATCAAATTCTATCCTGGCGTCTTGTGTATCTCGAACACTCGAAGATTCTACAGGGTAAGAAGTATGATTGCACGTGCTCAAAAATATGTCGGAGAAGAGGCTAAAACTTTTTCTGCATTTATTTGGGTGTTATCTTCTACGTATTCCTTCTTATTAATCTAAAATAGATAAACATTGAATGCTTTTCGATTGAGTGTTGTAAAAACCAAAACCAAAGTATTCACGACGGCCAATCAGAGGAGACGAAAATACTTTTAAAGAGCCAATAAGAACTCAAAGTAAAACCAAATTAACTGCCTAAAGCGCGGGAAAACGCGGGTGACCAAGTCGTGATGGCTTTTTTAGTTTTGCTTCTGATTGGTGCAAGAGAGTGTGCGAGTTTTGTGGACCAATCACGAAGCGAAGAAAAGCAAAACCAATGCAATCCTTTTGACACCAGGTTGAAAACTGCTGTGTAATTTTCCAAAACCAACTGAAGCCAGACCTTTCCTCCGAAAAGAAAAGAAGCTGCTCTCTTACCGATTTCGGTGAACAGAAAAGAAAATATATGCCTATGTAAAAAAATTCAAGCTTTAATAACCTTTGTAAGTACCATTTCAAGATCCATTGTTTCATCCCATGATTTGATAACGGCTGATTTCGAAAAATCGGCTCGAATGAAAAACAACCGAGGATTTGAATGTCATCTTTCATCTAAATATTATTTTTGTCTTGGAAATATCTCAACAGAAATATGCTGTTATGATCAGGCTTTTGATACTAAAATATCTAACTCTTACCAAACAACTGGATTTTGGAAAAAAATAGTTATTCAGTTAAACGTATAGAGGGTTACTTTTCTATTCTATTTTTTGGATAACTGCTTTGTGAAACGGCAAATGTGCCATTGTAGATTTGCGCCAAAGCAAAGAGTAATTTTAAAGTTGTACGAATTACCTTTGTGTTTTTTGTTATTCGTAATGTCTTAAATTTAGCGAAAGGTTGTTTAGCTTTCATTAATAAGCTTTTTGCCAGCGTAAATTATTGGATTACTTCAAAACAGAGAAAAGCATGATATCAAATACTCAAGGAGATTTGGAGGTCTACAGAGTTAAAAACACATTTCGAGGCAAAAAGTTTTCTCTCACGATCGTTCATTAATACATTTGGTGGTTTTGTGCGCTTTGTACGATAATTAAGTAACATCTGAATATTACTTTGATCACTAATTAGAGATAGTGAAAAGCTCATTGCTTTATTTAAAGCGGAGGGTGTTTTTTGTGATGCAAAATTTGCCTTGACACCGCTTGACCTTGCATTGATTAGACGTCATCTCAGTTTCGGGCGTGCAAACTTCGGTTTGTTTACCATATTTACTGAGTCGAGTTCAATGGCACTTCTACAATAGATCAACCGATCTTTAAGCTTTTTAAGAGACTTTATTGAGCCAATTTGGAACCAGTGTTTACTGAAGTTTAATGAGTTGAAGGATCATTAGCATTGGCAAAACCCGATCAATGATTGGGCCAAATTTCGTGACGCATTTAATTCTACTGTTAACATTCACGGGTCAAAATTGCTGCTTTGTGCGAAAGAGTCGTTTTAATGTGTTACTTATCGTTGAATTTTCTCGATCGTTTAGCTTTGTTGACCCCAATAGAAAGCCATTCTTGGGTTTTCAACCCGTCGAAAGCATTTAAAATCGATTTGGCCTTCGCGCGTATAGCATTAAAACTTTTTATGATGCGCCGGTATGCGCTGAACCGCTCAGCGAGGACATCACTGCATGGAAATGGTTTGTGTACATAACTAGGCCGAAAGGATTTTAACAAACTGTGGACATGATTGATGGAAAGATTCACGGCACAGATTGCTTCGAAGTAGAACTGGTAAGTGTTGAAAAGTTTTGCAAACTTTTCTATAAATAGTTCACAAAATTACCGACGGGTCAGCGAGGCGCGAAGTCCTTGCTATTCCAAATGCGAATGAGACAAACTTGTCACTTGCTCGTTTGCTTATTTGCTCGTTAGAGCCCACTGCAGCTTTGGTGACAATTCTTTCACTTTTTTCACAGTTTCTTCAGAGAAATGAGTTTTCAAAGCTCTATCAGGTTAAAAACAACGAAGATGGGAGGAAGTACTCAATGGAGGTGTCACCGCGGGATGCAAATTCTAGAGCGCCCGTCAGCCCCTATGTTCAGTTAACCAAAACAACGCTCTCTTCATTTTGGGTTAGTCTACGGTTTACGTTTCAAACTCGGTCGAAATTTTATTTTATTCTTGACTTCGCCGGTGGCCAAACGCTATCGCAAAAGTTGAATATTTGTGGTGGAAAATTTTCTGAGCCTTTAGCGAGATTTTATGCTGCGGAGATTGTGGTCGCCTTGGAGGAATTACACAGCTTCCGCCTGGCTTATAAAGATTTAGATTTAGATGTGGTGTACTTGGATTCTGAGGGTCATATAAAGCTTTGGCGCAGTTTTTGTGGAAAACTTTATTGGGGACAAAGCGAATGCGTTTGTTCGCTTGCTGGGTTTTGCCATGGAGATCCATGCAATAACAATCATAATCTTACCAGCGAGTTTGATTTTCAAGAAGATTGGAAGGCTCTTGGAAGAGTGATAAATACAATGTTAACGGGAGATAACAATTATCGGACTTCCGAAAACCGGTAAGTATAGATAATATATATACGTATCTCTTTCTCTTGGCATGTCCTGCCATTCGTGTGGTTATGTTGTTAACACCTAATTCACTGGTCACTATTGACACTCTTACATGTCTCTCGGGAACACTCTCAAGGGTTAGCAAAATATCGTTTCTAAATCCCTCTCTTCCGTGAGCAAGATCAGTTCTTTTTTTTCCCGCAAGATTTAAAATACCGGTTCCATTTTGCTTCACCCTGTGAATAACTTTCGATTCGCTCGAAGACGTGAAAGCTCTCGAATTGACATTTTGACAGTATGGACAAAAGTGACGATTAGCATTTTAAGCGCGCTGGTTTCCCATGCTTTTAATCACTTTTACCGTCTATAAATCGTCCTATATTTGACCATTTTTTTTCAATATCTAACCTACTTCCGGTAGCTATCTTCTCATCTCCTATACATGTTACAACGGAATGAAAATTATAAACGAAAATTGTAAGTAAAGTAATCTTTTGTTTAGGAATTGTCTCTTAAGATATTATGCTTACATCGGGACAAATGTAAAACAGTCTAAAGAATTTGATTGTCATGTTCATCACTAAGGTACTTTGGTGGCTGGTTTTCGGATTTTGCAGAAATCTGGTGGGATACTGTCGTAAAATTTTCGGCTAACAACATATTGGTAAGAGAGGCTAAATACGAACCGCAAAACCTCGATAACTCAGATTATAATTTTAGGCGAATGTTGTTGGTTTTCGGTCGTTAAATGGGTTACTTAGTGGAGACTTTGCGTGTTTGTTGGACAACTCATTGTTTTAAAACATTTTGATCAACAAGTGGAAACATTTACAAAAGTTCTATTTGAAATCTGAGTTATTTCAGTTGGTAAATGCTCATTCGAAAAAAAGAAGGATTTATAAAGAAACGAAATAAATGTAAACGTTCTTCGTTTATCTCCCGTTATAAATGTTCACCGGAATTACACGCGAATACGATTAGAGTTTTCTTACAATATTTTCCTCGTCCATAATTTATATTTTACCAGTGTCTGCTCTAAGAGCTTCTTTCAAGTAAGTAAAAACTTCACACCCACTATAAAGAAACGAAAAAGGAGAATCTTGCCGAGAGTGGCAGTGCAAGGTTATCGAATTTGAGTCTCTGAATATCAGTGGCACAAGACCGGTTTAAATCGGAGATCATCATTATATTCTAAGCGATGTTCCAATGAAAAATTATCAATTGTTCTCCGATTAGGATCTGACCATAACAAGGACGAACAAGTTTTAAATACGAGCGTAATATTCTTTTGTTGTCAAAGGCTTTACGGTTTTTAGAAGTAAGTCACCAAAAGCCATGTTGACAACTTTTCTTTGTGAAAGCGATCAACGTCAATTTTTTGTTTGAATAACTATCTGGGCCCTCTGATCCTGTGTCACGTTCTGACCGTTAAGACTCCGTAAAATTCGATCAATCACGGATTTTTCTCTCCGTATACAGGAAACTGTGGAGGACAACTATAGTTAGGTTCAATTTCTTGGAGAACAATGTGTTTAAATTGGCGTGGTTGTACGTGACGTCGAATTTTAAAAAAGCTGACAATGGTTTTTTCGTCATCGAATGCTGAGTTACGTGAAGTGTCTTGAACAATACGAAAGCTTTTTTGATATTGTTTGTCAGATTTGTTGTACAGATTTGACGTAAATTCGTGCGTGCTGTAAGTTTTCGAGTGGAAAACACGAATTCATTATGTTCGGTGTACAGTAATGTTAATATTTAAACAATAGGTTTCTTGCGTAAGCGAAAAGACCCTATTTGAGTTTCATCTAAAATCTCATCGGTGATCTGCCTACTTTTCTTTTTATTCCTGCTACTCTTTTACAAAACTTTTTCGAGAATTTTTTTGTAGATCATGGGAACCTATGCCGTGATGCTTGAGCGCGTGGCGCGTGTGTCTGTGCCGCGCGAACTCGCTGATTTCTCTTTGACTTGCGCAACAGATTACGCCACGAAAGAGTTGTTGTCTTAATCTTGTCTTCGATTATCTGGGAGCGTTTGGATGTGGTTACAGAAACACTCATTAGGAAACGTTCAAAGCACCACCAAAATGACAATTCAGTAAAACTAACTTTCACTTTAAAAACCCTCAAAGTGTACTTAGCTCGCCCATAGAATGCTGACAGTCGCACGCACAATAATTGTATGCGTCACTTGCCGCCGAGTTTGCAAATTTCATAAAGAGGCCTAGTGCGCGTGCTAGTCGCGTGTGTCTCGCCAGTTTTCGACATCATCGTATTCTTAATTACTATAGTCTGGTGTTTGGTTTCCTTAGATTTTTAAACAGAGAGTAGAAGTAGATCGCGCTAAGAGAGCGGACCCCGAATAGGTCTCATTTTTTCGGTAATCCCTCCGAGTCATTGCTATTTTCACCCTAGTTTAAGGAGATTCCAAAGGATTTAGAGATAACAAGGACTTTGTCATGAGTTTTTCTTACGTGATTATCTTAATCGTAGCAGTGCAAGACAGACGTCGTTTATTTTACATTTGTTTAGCTTGCGGAGGAAAGTACGAGACGAACGTGAGCAAAGCGCAAGGAGTCAGTAACGCACGAGGGGAAGAACGCGGAAAAAAAATGACACAAGTGTTATGTTATTCATGCTACTCTTCTTGTGTTTGTCCCGTCTCTCGCGCTTTTCTCGCGCTCCTCTCGAGTTTGCCTCACTCTTTCCCCGCACTCGCCTCGCGCTGTAACCGTTTGTCTGAAAAATATAGAGTGATTGACACTTGTTCCCCAGGCAACCCATGGCATTTCTATTCTCTTTCTAACAAAACATTAAATCAAAACCCGAAGTTGACGAGTGAAGTACATTTTACGTTAATTTTCACACTATATCTTTGAAACCAGGCAACCTTCTCTGTTATTTTGTACTAACACTTTTACAACTTTCTGCTCTCCAGTGCCCTCTCGGTCGCTGCCAGTGATTTAATCGTTAGACTGACGCGAGGTGATATCTCTCGAGCTGACCAGATTCAGTCCCACCCGTTTTTCAAAGGAGTCAATTGGCACGAGGTATGGTATAACTATACATACAGAACATCCCGGTTTTATGACAGTTTGTGCTTGAGAAAGTAGCAAATAAGATGTTCAAATGCAGATTTTCTTTCGGTTTTTAGCTGATTTGAACTTTCATAACAAAGAGCGCATTTGCTCTATTTGAAGAATTTTGAATTTCATTTTCAGTTGGGTGAATGATCTAGAGGCGAATGAAAACGTGTGTGAAATTGAGCTGTAAGCGATTGGGTCTTCGTAAAGTTCTTTGAGATTTCCGAAATCAAGAGTAAATTTTTGGAGTAGGTCCTATTTGCAGCACTCGGTGTTACGGCTTAGTTCTCTTTAGCTAGAGCCAATGAAGACGAACCCTCCATTTAGTTCAATGCAAAATTAAGCACAGTATGAGGCAAATAAATCGCAGCTAACAAAACACATCGTAAAATTTACATATTATGATTGCCCCGCTGATACGAACGTCTTTGTGTCGAAGCCATTCCAAGGTCAGTAAAATTACAGCCGAGTCAGCTGGAGGGAGCGTTTGAAACTTTCAAATTAAAAGATTTATCATTGCTAATTTGACCAACTTTCAACTTCTCCGGAGGTAATTCGAAGTACAGTGCCTCTCACTTTTTGTTATCAATGAATACCAAAGGGCTTTTTATATTTCTTAATGTTTTATGAATTGCCTCATTACCGCTGCAGATGTTCTATTCAAACCAACCAAAATGCAATCTCTCAGAAGTTTTATGTACTAACCACAGGTGGTATCGGACTCCAAGCAAACATCTTAATGTTAAATATTGGAACTGAATTTCACAAAATATAAACAGTACATTCACTGAACAATTGCAGCTTAAACCGTAAAAAAAAAAAAAAAATGTTTCCTTGGTAACCTCGCTCTCAGCATTTGAAGGGATAGCTTAACGAAACGTAACGAGATATCCAAAGATATCACGGCTTTGGAAAATTGAAATTCATCGGAGGATTTCTGCTATCGACCATGAACGGATCAGAGCTCACAGGAGGGTGGGAATGAAAAACCACGATATCTAGAGGCAAAAGGCTCTCTAGGACGTTTTGCACATCGAAGCTTGAAATTAGCGTCCTAGGTGAAGAGAAAGTTTAACTGTGATGTTCTACTTTGAAGCAAAAATCTCTTAAGTTGGCTTAAATGAATTAGCTGAAAAATTATTGAGAGGGTATAAGTATGGCCAAAAATTTTGGGAAAGATACGACATGTATAGTACTGTACTGCTTTTCCTTTGGTCGTCTGAATGAATGTTTAGTTCCTCGGTTTTCAGAAATTGTTTTATTCGAATGCAGAGATTTAAAGATCCGAAACTATGGCAGTATGTTTTCTTCAGTTGATGATCTCAAATTACTTTCAGGCAAGAATGAGGAAAGCTCGACCACCCATGACCACGGACAAGGGATCCAACTCCTTTCCAGTTCAAACAAATTCTTCCGCTGGCTATTCACCAACTAAGACTAATATAACTAATTCATCTTCTTCATTCTATCGGCCCTACAGTTTTTCGCATCATAGTGACCCGGGCGATACTAGCCACCTCAAGAACGCCCCTGACTTTTTGGTGCCTGAGCCCAGTCTCCGCAGTGGTTTTTCAACCCCTGATCTTCGATCGGTCAGTCAAGAAACCCCGTTCTTGCGACATCATACGTCATTACCGCCAAGAGACATGTACTATCACTATGGAAACCCTAGTTATCCAAGCACAACACCACGTGATTTTTATACAAGCCCCGTGCGAAGGAGGTTAGCTTCGCGCTCTTTGAGTGATCTTTCTGCTTTAAACGGAAATGACGATGTATTTACTCCAAACTCCCCGACGGCCCTTGATAGGACGTTCGTCTATCCAAATTATGAACCTGCCCCGCAATATACAAGAACACTTAATGCACGGCCTGGAAACCATTCAGGAGTTTTCAGTGGCGATTATGCTTTGCGTTCGACAGGTAGTTTTCCTGATTTAAGGGGTAACGTCGGTCCTTTCACCTCATACCAATACACATCCCACAATGAAAGATCCTCACCCACCCCCTCTATGTACAGTGATTACAGTTCATGCACGGAGTCTCTCCTCCGTGGTACATTTATACCACCGCATCAAACCGTGCGTTCCCCTTACAGCATCATTGGTGTGTCGTCGGTGGATAACAGTAGCGCGATGGGCCTACGAAGATGGGAACGCAGTTCGAGTCGAGAATCGGAAAATCGTCGTGGGATTTCGGAACCCGAAAACAGCCTTCATGGTAATCCAAATTCACTTCATTCTGAGCGGAGTGTAATCGATAATTCGTCGTCTCCGGTAAAAAATCCTACAAACAATTCGTCTACTCAACAAAGTCCAACACAAAGTTCGGATTTCACGAAGAACAACGACTCTGATCGAACGTCTACGAATACCACCCGTGAGCGCTCGTCGACGTTGAGTCGTACTCTTTCGTTATCTGATATAGACGAAGGTACCAAACATACGACTCCGAAAGTAGCTCGGGAAATTAGGCGAGATAGTTTGCCAATAGCTGTCAGTAATGCAAGAGAAAAGTACCCTCTAGCGAGAGTTCCTATACCATCATTTCGGGAATTTAAACAGAGGAATTTACTTGAAGAGGCTAAAAATAAACCATTGATTGAAAAGAAAGATGTAAATGAAAAGGAATCACACGGATCATCGAGGGCAGATCCTAAAACCGAATCTAAAAACAAGATGGAGATGCGGGGAAAATTGAAGGAAAGACTGTCTTCATTGTACGAAAGCTCAAAAGACATCTCGGCTCAGAATTCGACAAGAAAGCTTAGTACCTCCTACAAGTTGAATTCTTCGAGAGATGTAACACAAGAAAAACCTGTTGTCAAATCGAGTGTATTAACAGAAACGAAAGGCAGTAATACAAAGGATGTTAAAGAATTGGGCAGCTCACGAAAGATTTCAAAGGGCCGTCGCGAAAGCCCGTTTTCAAAGAACGAAGTTATTCATAACCTAATGTTGAAGTACGGCTTGTACGAAAAAGGCGGACACAAGAGAGCAAGTAGTTCGAGAGCGGACGTAAAGGATATTGTGTCATCGACGGATGAAGTCAATTCTCGCGAGAAGGAAAGAAACAATAAAAATTTGAAACATATTTCATTGGCTACAAATCCTGAAAATTTTTCAGTAGGGGGAGAAAGAAGAACGCGGAATTCTTCGCATTTGTATGAGTCTACTCCTAAAGGGAGCTCCGTTTCTGATCGAAAAGCTCCCACAGCTGCAACATTTGAATCGAAAAAGTCCGCCGCGGAGCGGTTCAGAGAGTTGCGAAGAAAGCATGGTATGCAAAATGATTCTGAAGATTCTCGAACAGCAGAAAGAGTGGCATTAACAGGCAGAGGAAAGACATCGGAGATGAATACAACACAAACTGTGTCAATAACCGAAAATGGAAAAAAGATTCTGAAGCGAGAAATGAATGATTCTGGGTTTTTAGATCAAAAGAACTCAAGTGAAATTCGAGGAAGTGATCACAATTCTACGGGAGCAGGCCCAAGAATGGCAAATTCAAATGTTGTAGAAGGCAGTATGACAGTATTTGAGAAGACTGAGAGGCGAAATGTCGACTCGACTGAGACATCCAGTCAAAGGAAAAGCTCTATTGGTCTCCGAGGTACCTCCAGAGCAGTTCTTTGTGCGACAAAATTTAAGAGAGTTACTAACAAAGGCTTGAAAACATCGAAAGATTCGCCCTTGCCGGATAAGAAAAAGCTGGGAGACATTATCACCACAAGTGATTCAGCAACCAAAGTTATGGCCGATAAAATGCAAAACGGAAACGCTATGGAAAGTAAGCGAGGTGAATCATTGGGGAAACGATCACCGAATACCCGACAGCGAGATTTCCGAGCGAACGGAAAACTTCGGAAAGGCGGTATTCACACGAGCATGCTCAGTGTGGCAAGCAACGCGTGCTTGACCGATTCTGAGATTGATGACACAGTTAGCTTGTACAGTGAAATGGACTCGCTTGACAGCGAGCGAGAAACGAGAGGACGTAGGTGGGAGAGTTTCCATAGTAACATCAGTGCTGACAGCGGCTCCCCCCACATGTTCGAATTTGAGACGGACTCCAATGCAACTGAGTTTGAGGAGGAGATGTTTGATGACCATGGCTCTGAAGGTGAGCCGTTGTGTAAACATAATGAAATGTTCATTTGGTTGTATTGATGTATTATCGATTCATTACAACTGTATTCGCCACGTCGGATAACCGCACGCCTTCTTTAAACAATATCAAGTATGGCGGAGACCATGTTCTTTTTAGGAAATTAAATTTAGTTTCTTAAGTCTTGACCTTCTTTTATCTTTTCAGATGAGCATCCCAAGAGCGAGGCCGAAGTGGAGCGCACTGACAGTGGTGTCGGAGGTGACATGGGACAAAGTCCTTTGAGGCGCTCTTGGGAAGAAATTGTAATGAAGAGCTCGGAGCATTGGTCCGTTGTGGCGGCCTCCGCTCGGCACTGGCAAGAATTGGCCCGCAGGAGAAAAGCAAATGAGGGCGAAACGACCTCTGCAAGGAAACGAAGTTCTGTGCATTCTATAACTGAAGACATGGTATTGATCCTTTTAACTAGGAATAGATTAACCCTCTCATTTTCATTAGAGACCAATGGTTAATATCAACATATTTTCAACCATAAAAGCGAGGAGAAAAAGGAACATTTTTATTATCCTTTCGTTGTTTTCAACGTTTCTAGATCGAATGCCCAGATTGTTTGAAGCACTATGTTCCATCAATAAATAGCGAAGAACAAAAAGACAGAAGTAAAGAACCGGAGATTTGTCCCAAGTGCATAGACAGAAAAGTGGAGAGGAAAGAGGCCATTATTGAACTGGTACAAACCGAAATCAACTATGGAAATGATCTTCAGATCCTGAAAGAGGTAAGTAACTATGCATACAATTAGCAGGTCGCAGCGCGCCTGGTGTTACAGCATATAAAATCAGTTTGCCAGCTAATAATGTGAAAAAAAAAAATTGCGTCTGTTGTTTTGGTTAATATTAGTTTAGACCACGATAAATCTATAAGAACTCAGAATATTTAAGCACGAAAGCATTTGGCGCGAAGTGCGTAAATACAGCCTTAATAGATTTAGGATTTGCTTTGAGTACGAATGTAATTGGCTGGGAAGTAGTGGGAATTATATGACAAACTCAGTTGGGCAGAGTCATTCGGATTGCAGGCTCACGAAATTCAGCTTAATGCTGTTACATATGCAAATCTCTTTTCCAAAGAGGTTGCCGCTGAGCAGACGGGTTTTAATCGTAAACCCATTTGAGTGGTCATCCTTGGCTGAGTCGATTTCAAACTCGCTTTCGTTAAACATCTTAGAGGTGTTTATTCCGAAATTGTTTTTGCTCCAGTTCTCCCAGAAAAGTGGGTACTAAGTTAGTTGTAATTTAGTCAAAAAACCACCAGAAAAGCTAAATTTAAAAAGAACATTACTTCACACATCCTCTTACTAACAAATCGAGTCCGGTTTAAATGTTCTCATTTAATCATAAGCCACTGCTCATAAATTCAGATGAATGTCTATTTCCTACGATAAGAGTTTAAAAAAAATCAAAGTAGCCTACAGGGTTCCATTGGACTGAAACCTTAGTTTGCCTGGCTTTCAGTCAACTTATATTTAATGGCTTCGACTGTCGATCGATATGCTCCTTCGTATTGAAGATATGAAGGTAGAATCGTATTCGATTTTCCATCTTGGTCGACACGCCGATTTTGTGATCTTGATACAACTTGTCTTTCAAAATCTCGTCCAAGTTTGGTCTTCTACGAACTTGGTGGACAGGATACCGTGGAACTTGATCAACTCCTGCAGAGTTTCTATCGCGAACACATTGCTGACTTGAGGCACCAGCTCTTCAAAGTGGTCCCTCTGTCGCATGATCAACGCCTTGGTTCTCCTCTCGATTTTTTACGAAGCCAATCACGGCCATTAGATCTGCGGTATACAGCAGCCCGAAAAGGTTGGTATCGTTCTGTTGGTCAATCATCTTAAACCTGGACGTGTCATCTGGCAATGAGTCACGCGGGAGGGTAGCTGGAGGCTACATCTCGCCTTCGTACTCAATATTTAGGGCCAGAAATCGGGTACACTTTCTGTATGTATGTACAAGATACCCATCTCTTTGGGACCAAGGAACCACTTGTGACTCCCTTCACTGTAGCTGTCATTGTCGACAATGTGAATTGGCCATCGCAAAGAGATTGTGGCACCCCCACAGACTTGTTAATCGCGGAGAGTGTAAGTGTCAACTTGGTCTATCATGAGCGTTTGTGGCTTTAGCGGCCGAATCAGCAGACCGGGTCGGAAATGGATCTAAAGTTTCTTTGTTTTCGTTTCCTGTGTTTATATTTTTTATTTTTTTGTAAATGAGTATTGTTCATTGTATTCAAGCACTAACTATATGAATTGTACGCATCCTTGTGAAAATACTGTTCCAAACACTCACAGAGTGGCACACTTTCTGTGAAAGGTACCTCAGTTTAGAGAAGATTCTCAGTTGAAAAAATTGCGAAGCATCCAAAAGAAAAATTTACGTGAGGACTTTCCATTCGACCATAACGAACGGAACGATATTTTCGAACTGATCGCACTAATCTGGTTGCATCTTGTTCTTCATTAACAAAAGAAGATTGAGATCCTCCCTATTTTAAAGCGTTGCCTTAAAACTGACTTCAGAAAATGATGTTGACGCTGCTTGTGCGTCCTCCACAGCAACTTTAAAACGGCGAAACAGCAGCTTTATGTGATATTCAGATCGCACGTGTAGCGAGAATAATTTTGCGAGCTTTTTTCATGTGCACACGGAGGGGTCAAATCACTCAACTTTGTTTTTGACTCATTGATGGGAGGAGCGAAATTTTCTGAGCTTTTGTTTCTCTTCTCAAGCCCACTTTGAAAAACCATTAAGACTCCCGCCCCCGCTATGAAATATGTAAATTATCTTATACAGAAAGGAACAACGCATTGTTACTGAGTTTATTGATAAACAGCTGTTGTAGTACAAGTCAAATGGTAATTTTACTGAAGTATCAGTTCAAAACTAATGAGTACTACTGAAAACGAATTCGGAGTTCGTGCACGTTTACTTTCATTAACACGTTAGGTCCGGTTTTAAAAAAAAGACTGTTATCACTAGCTATAGTTCGTAAAATGGATCATCTCTTCTTGAAAGTGATGATAAAAAACGTCAAAGTACCTGCTGAAGTACTTTTAAACTAAGCCTTACTTCTCTAGGACTTTACTCAGCTCATACCGAACAGCTTCGACTGCCCGGTCGATGTGCTCCTCCGTGTTGTAAATATGCGGGGAGAACCTCATTCGATTTCCTTTCTTGGTTGACACCCCGATGTTGTGATCTTCATACAACGCGTCGTACAACATTTCGCTCAATTGTGGCTCTGCTTCTTCTTGATTCTTTCCTTTATGTTTGCGCCTGTGTCCTTTTCCAGTTCCGCGATCGTCTTGAAACTTGATGGTCAGGATACCGTGGTACTGGCTCAATTCCGGCGGAGTTTCTATCACGAACACATTGTCGAGTTCGCGCGCCACCTTGTCCAAGCCGTCCCTCAGCCGCGTGGTCAACGCCTTGATTCTCTCCTCGATTCTGTCGAAGCCGATCAAGTCCATCAGATCCGCAGTATACAGCAGCCCAATAAGGTTGGTATCGTTCCGTTGGCCAACCATCTCAAACCTGGATGCATCATGTGGTAGTGAGTCATCCGGGAGGGTGGGTGGAGGCTTCATCTCGCCATTGTACCCAATATCTTTGGGCCAGAAATTTGGCACACTTTCTTCCTTCATGTACAAAATACCCGTCTCTTTGGGACCAAGGAACCACTTGTGACTCCCTCCGCTGTAGCTGTCACAGTTGATTTCTTTGAGGTCGTGCTTGAATGCTCCCCAGCTTTGAGCGCCATCCAAATGAACATGAACTTTCCTGTTCTTCTTGTGGATTTTTTCGATCAGAAGTTTGGCTGGTAGGCGCATGCCGCTCAAGTGAGACACCTGAATTTTCAATGAAAAAGGAATTAGTTTTTATTGTTCACTCTGTACTCTCCGAGACTGATTTCGCAAAGTTAATCAAGTGGATTAGAAGATGCATTCAATTACGAAGTATCTCTTAGAGACGGACAAAGAAAAATATTTGATTGTAAGTCTGGCTTCCTTATGTACAATAAGACGGAAAGCACTCGTAACCGATAAGGAAAAAGCTATGAATCCTGAAGCTTTTATTGTCCAAGGCACATCTCTTGGCTATAACCTGATTGTATTAAGACTCTTCAAGAAAGCGAAAACAATAGAATCTACTATCCTTTTTGCCAAAAAGAATACCTCAAATTAGATCAAAGTATGATGTTTCTCGCGCACAGTTTAACATAATTATTAGAGTTGTTAAATTACGTTAAAAGAGGTTTTGCATTCCTGCGGTTGGTTGACATGTTTACTATTCGATCACATTGATTGAGTAAGTTTTTTATCCCCGAAACCTTACACTTTAAATGAGGCCCTTTCCGATCTGTGAGTCACTCAGGTGGCTTAAGGTGTATGTCACCTAAGCAAATGTTCATTTTATTTTTTCCCTTGTCTCGGTGAGGTTTAATCAAATTATAAAACAAGTATCTGGCTCAGAGAGCCTGAAGTTAGGAAGGGAAGAAAGATATTGAAGCATTGGTTCAATTTGAATGGACACGACTTGGAATACATTACTATCTGCATATTCATGATCTGATTTTGCAAAGTGCATTAGTGTCAGCAGCAGTGATATTGAAAGGCAAATGATTGCAGAATGTGCAATGGATTTATCACTATTGTTTTTCATACTAACAGAGCTTTATTTTGTAAAAAAATTTTAATTAATTTTCTCAAATTCATTGGCTGGTCGTGGCGAAAGTTAAAGTTCAGCGCGTTCAATATTGTTTGCTCGGGCGATTCTAAGCTGTTTGAACAAAACAATAAATGCCTATAACTCGTTACCAAACTGTCGGATTGTAAACAAAGAAAAAGCAAACATTTGCACGAAAGCGCTTATTATTAGACAACCTTTTCAGAGATTTTATTTTTCTAACATGGTCTTCGGGTAACAAACTGAAGCTTTCGTTTTCGTGGTGTAAAGCAACTTACGAATGCACTATTTTTTAGCAGACAAGCTTTATGTTTTATGAAAATGTTAATCCCCTGACAATCTTTTGAAAGGCAGACAGACGTTAAAAAAAAGGATATTAATGGTCTCGGATAGAAATTATTTAAAGAGATTGAGAACCAAATGGCCACCAAAAACTACAAGTGACTAAATCGGTAGGTTTTATCTGTAAATTACATATAAAACCTAGCTGGTCAAGTCTATTGATCACAAGCACCTATTAATTCTCCTTGGTAAAAGAGAGTCTATGAGAGTAAATAAACTAGCCAGAGAACACAACACAATGACTTGGGATTAATACATCTACAACTGTTTAACAGTTTAGAGGGAAAGGGTTGTAAGACATACCTCGCTGAACGCCACAATACGAGTGCTTTTGTTCACTTTGGATACGAACTTTTGAATAATCTTTTCCTCATTTGTCTCCCCACTTAAGTCGACTATGACAATGTTGATGTTAGGGAAGCGTGCTTTGCGAATCTTCCACGCTACATCACCATTTGTTGGATGATTCTCGTTCCATACCACGACCTCATCGCCGGGTTCAAAATCCATTCCGTTGTTGATGACAGCGTTAGGGTCGGAACCATTCCTCATGAATGCGATGAGTTTTGGCTCCACATTTAACTGCTTGGCTACGAGGGCTCTCGCCGCTTGGATGGTATACACAAAAGGCTGGATCCTCTTCTGGATGGAAATATCTCGGTTCCAATCCAACGCCATGGCGTTCATGAGACGTTGAACTGCATCGAAGGTGATGGAAAGGTTGGCTGCGTTAATTGGAACTGTGTCAGCGTAGTCGTCGAAATTGAACATGCTTCGCACAAACTTCCAAAGCTCGTCTTCATCTTGGCAAGTAACAATACAGTTGACAATCTCATCGTAAGTTTTCTGGAAGGCAATAAAGGTCTCCCGGGAGATGAGCCCGTGAGAGCGGTACAAAAAGGCCACCTTGAAGGTGGGACGATCTTGTGGAGCGATGGTCTTGAATCTGCTCATGGTTGCACAGCTGTCTTGAGGTTGCGACGATTAAGGGTGTGTAGCCGAACTAAAACCGTGTGTACGTGATCTATAAATGTATACAAGCCCAAGCGGTCACAGCTGCCTGGGTTAATCAATCAAAATCTTTGTTTCCCTGCACAGAGTGGATTGACTAATCTCATGTTACGACTATATTTGGTCATGGATGATTGACACCAGGTTCGTTGGCCTGACAATAGGGACCTTAAGCAAACCACGACGGCGACGGCAACGAGGACATGGAAAAACAGAAGATCCAACTGGCAGAACAATAGCTCAGCACGTGCGTTTTAAAACTCTGTACATTTCTTAGCCGTCTTATGCAAAGCAACAACGTGAAATCACCACAATCTGCGTCGTCTGCGAACTGAAACCGCGACGGCAAATTATTTTAATTTCCATTTGGAACTCAATGTTTCTTTTATACGTTATGCTGAAGTTGAGGTGTGGCGCCGTATGAGACAGTAATGTTGGATGCGTGGTACCGTAGGCACGCATTTTTATCGCAGTCTTTGTTTCTTATTATAACGGTCCACGCCACGGTACACACCATCATAGACGAAATTTCGTTAGGAATTTGTCACTTCAGCATGTTGCGTACTCTGAATTGAAGAGACCTTGAATGACCTTCACAACGGTAATTTATGCGGTGTTCAGGTGACTTTTATAGCAACGGGTCACGTGATAGACTCTGTGTCAGAGTGTACATGAATTAGCCAATCCAAGGACTCAAGAAAGAACTGTAAATAACAGAGCTGCCAATTGTCACGCTCTAATGTCAAGTATCGTTTAAAAGTTATGCTCGTCAGAATTCCAAGGTTTTTATCCAGGGAATTGCTTGAAACAGTTGCAGAGAAAACTTGCAAAATTAAATGTAAAGTCCAGTTCTGATAACTCGAACGCTTGCTCATGGGATTCCGTGATTCATGTATACAGTAGAACGCCCCCAACTCGAACTCCTAAGGGAAACGAACAATAGTCTGTGCCAGCGGGGTTTGAGCCAACGAGTTGGTGTTGAATTTCAATTATCCTGTAATAACAAGGAATCATTTTTTTTACTATTCTTGCATAATCAATAATCATTTTGGAGCTTTTTGATAGGAGTGTTTAGCTTGGGAAATTTAGCCGAATGTATGACAGAAAAACAGCAGCTGGGATCGAGCTCTGTAGTTGAAGACATTATTTTTTTACATAGATAAAGTAAACAAATGGCTTTGTGGTTCTAAATGCATGTACACGGAATAACTTTTCCAGAATACAGCACTGTCCTTGTTCATTGAACGTTTAACTCCTGTACATAGAGCCGTACTAGTAACTAAAGGTGCGAGTTCAAAACGGGTTAAGCTCAAACAAAGAAAAAACTATTTCAGTTTGCGTACCAAGATGATCAAGTATTTACACTGGAGTTTTTCACCTTAATAATCTGGAGTTTCAGCTTTGAAATTGGACGACCTAACAACAGTTGAAACTCCTTCTGCTGTAAATATCCAGTTTAAAAGCTCAAGGGATCGCTAACTTTCACTCCCTCCCCCTTTCAAGATTCATTTTGACATTCATGTATAGTTCTAGTCCGAGAATGTTTGTGTCGGATTGGCTGTCAGTCAAAGAACTGAACCAAAGGGGATGAATTAACTTACCCCATTTATGCCTGTGCTTACACTAACCATGCGGCGTGTCATTTCATCGGTTCACGGTACATCTTGCAGTAGTTGGAACCGAGGGTTTTTAAAGTAAAATTTCAAAAACAACTTAATAGTTTAAAATTTCTCTCGTATGGAACAAATTGATGTATAATTTGTGGAAAAATCATGCAATTCCAGTATTACGTGTTAGTCAACAAAGTGTACCTGAAATCTACCGATGCGGTATTCTCCCAAGTCAAGATCACCCAAACATAGTAAATAACAAAAAATATCTATTGATAAGGAATTTTAAAATGCGTGAGCATTCAAAATGGCATTTTTCGGTCTCTCTTCTCAGGAGTTCTACTTGCCGATGCAGTCTGGAGGGATTTTAAGTCCAGAAAATTTGGCTGCGATATTTCTCAATTTGCAGGTAACTGAAATAACGAGTTGATGTAAGCAAGGTTGTTCTTAATTGAAATAATATCTTAAGTGTTAGGGAACCACTTAAGAAAATCCACAACCATCCATACACGTAAAGGTTTTCAGTTGAGAACGCCAATATTGCATGATTTTGCCTTCCTGATACATTGACCTACACTCCCAGAGACATTTTTTGGGTTGCTTACAACCACCCCTGCCTGTCTAATGTTGGTCTGCAAGATGGTTATGCAAAAATTGGTTATAAACAAAATGATAAGAGAGAGAGAGGGGGGGGAGGGGGGAGAAAGAAAATCACAAAAGTTTCTCTGGAGAAGTGTCCCAACTAATTATGAAATATAAAGATTAATTATCAGATTTTTTCTCACAAACACACGCAAAACACAAAAGAACTAAATACAGTTTTAACAAACAAATTTGACATCAAATGTTTATTTTGTCACCAGGAATTGCTGGAGGTGAATTCAAAGTTTTGCGCAAAGCTGCAGAAAAGTTTGGAAGAATCTGTTGCAAATGGCGATGAGGTAATGAACGAGCGTAAGGCTGACGCTTAACTGTTCTTATATCGTTCAGGTTCTTAAACCCTACAACCCCTTGAGAGTGATCAGAATCTAATTCCTCCTTACAATATCGCCCCTGAATCGCGCATGAAGGCTATGAGAGTAGAAGGAAATGATCAGCAAGTAAAGACGCCCTTGATTGTTTAACAAATTCTTCCTTGTCAAAGGTATAGAGATCAGTATGGAGAATATGCATACTGATGTTAAGGTGTAATCATAGCGTGTCAACATAGAGGAGCTCCCAAAATAAACTGCATTACCATTGTCTTCTTGACTTATTTTTGCTGCCTTTCATAACTTGCCATTTCAATTTTGGAATTCAAAAGAAACCAGCGACAATAGCTACTTGGTAAAAGCACATTTTTTTCGAGGGGGAGGGGGAGAAGGGGATGGGAAGGGGGAGGGCAGGTAACAGCACGAATCTGAAATATATTGAAAGGCTAAATTTTGTTTTTTATCACATATTTCAGTAATCTTTGTAAGTGACTTCTGTTTTTGTTTCATCTAGGAATTTTCTAACGTCAACGTTGGAAGCATTTTCTTGGAGAACGTAGATTTCTTTCAAGCCTACGAAATTTACTGTTCAAAACAGGTAGAGTGTCCTCGTGTATCCAACGTTTTATTAACAAGACAAAGATATAAATTCTGCGTTTTTAAAAGTCATTTCATTCTGGTTCTGATATTTCTCTCTTTTATTAGACCGCCGCCTCTGCGTTGCTTGAATCTCTTCAGAAGAAAACGGAGCTGCTAAGAATATTCCTGAATGTGAGTGGTAACTTGACCTTCATAAAGTAAAATTACAAAATTTGAGAAGTACTTAAGTTTTATTATTTTTTAAAGTAGTTAGCCCGAAAATCAATCAGTCTTCCATTTTTCTCGTGAGATTTAATCATTTTACTTGCTTATTGTTTATTTTAAGGTAACATGTCGTGAAAATCCAAAGTGTCGCAAAATGGACTTGAACTCATTTATCCTCGCTCCGGTACAACGAATCATGAAGTAAGTTCAAAGTCGATTAGCTGGCAAGTCAATCAGGCAGACGGTTAATTTTGTCTATATTTGGGTCAGTCAATTCGATAGTACTTACGTATTTCAGTTAATCAGTCAGTCAGTCATTCATCCCTTCAGTCCGTCAGTTCGTCAGTCATTTCGCCCCCCCCCCCCTCAATCCGTCAGTCTGTCGGTCCGTCGGTCCGTCATCCCTTCATGTAGTCAGTCAGGCTGTCAGTCTGTCAGGTGGCCTGATAGGCAGGTAGTCAGTCAGTTGGTCTGCTCGTCAGTTGGTCAGCTCGTCAGTTCGTCATTCCTTTTGTCCGTATCTCAACTCGTCCTTCTGTTAGTCTTTCAGTCGCTAGATCAGTCATTCAGTCAGTCGGTCAATTAAGCAGTGAGGCACCTAGTCACTTATTCATTCCTCCAATCATGCATGTTTGCATTCAGTCAGGCAACAAGTCAATCTCAAACAAGATTTGATCTATCTATATAATATACCAGTTTGACCGGATATAACCTGAAATGTGCGGCCAGGAATAAACAGTCATACGGATTGTATTTCAGATATCCCCTGTTGCTGAGTAGAATTTGTAAGGCCACTCCACGAAGGAATCAAGACCGAGAGAAGCTCAAAATGGCGCAAAGGAGAATTGAAGAGCAGCTAAATAAGATCAACGCGGTAAGCGAACAAACAGAAGCCTGTGATATGATTTATTCCTCATCACACCAACTTGACTCGCGGACCAAGTCCGAAGACCACTTTTAAAAGTTGTAGTTTATGCGCTTATTGTCTTGTAATAGAGCTGGATTGAAACAAATCGATTCATGGCTTATCATAATGTGATTACATAAACATTTCGCCATAAGAAAATCTAAAATAAGACGCGATTACATACATAACTGAATAAACGTCTGACAAAAAAGAGAAACTCATCCAAAAAGGGAACTTGTTTCCTCACATCTATTTCATTTTAAAATAGGTCCACAATCAGAATTCACATTCTCGCCGAAAAGGCAACAGAGTCTTGCTAGTGCAGTCCCGGACTGCTTCTTCCGGAGCGGGGGCTGTTTCTCGAAGGTTCCGGCAGCTTATTGCCGCTGGTAGAATTGTTCTGTTTTCATTCAAGATGGACGGGGATACAAAAATTTTGAAATACAATTATGAAAAAACACTTTCATTTAAAGAAACAGAATAGACTTCTTTGGGTGCTAGAACCAGTTTCTCTCTTTTTGAAATTATAATATTAAAATATTGCTCCGGGTACGTTAAGTTACCGGGGCTTTCGAGTAACGGCCCCCACGGCCCCCCACGGCCCCCCACGGCCCCCCACGGCCCCCACGCCCCCCCACGGCCCCCACGGCCCCCCACGGCCCCCTACGGTCCCCCACTGCCCCGTAAACTCGTTCGGATCAATATATATCAATTTTCATGATGGTGAGTGAGGTCGCGTGGTCACATGATAAAATCATCGATTCTTCTTTCTCTGCAGTTGAACACAGCTGTTGAATCTCGACAAAAGCGATATCGGGCGAGTCAACAACTTGGCCGATCCGACTCGCTAGATAAATTACAAATGAAGAAAATGGCGTCTGATATTCTTAACTGGACAATGGAGGAAATGCAGTTGCTTATGCACGGTGTCTTCCAGGTGAATTGACTCTCGCTAATAATCAAAAAGTATTTTCTCCTTACGCTATAAGTGCTTTATTCCACAAACAGGTGTCGAGAACTGACAAACTCATCAGTTAGATGGTGCTATCTTGAGGTAACACCAAATCCTCTTTGGCATTTGTATTTAGATATTTAGTATCTGGTGGGAGAATCACCAAGTAGATCATGGGAGTTAATGTCTCATAAATGAAGTAGGTACTTCAAAAGCTTGAATCTCATAGATGAAAAACAAACGGGAAAGTAAAAATTTTATTCTAAGTGATGTAAGTTATGTTGGGACCTGTAAAAACAAACATTTATCCACACTACATCCAAATGTGTTCCACCTGGATGCCGAGTTCAGTAAAAAAAAAAAACTTCCCTTGGAGAATTCGTTCGTTGTACTTTCAACTGATCGCGGAAAGTAATAATGAAATGCAGCAATAAAATTTTAATATACCCTGTTAAAAATGAATCATGTGATTTCTTGGAGCTGAGCACATAGCATATAGCACAATTGTTCATTTCCCTCGCGCAACTATTTTTTTGCTCTCTCCCAGATCACTATACACGAGTTTGGCGCGAGCTGGAACAGGCGCAGTAGCAAGAAAGCCCTTTCAGTATGCGCGCTGTTCTGCGTAAGAGGTCATTCAGAGGTTTGTATGAGTTAAATCTCTATCCCTTAATTCACCTAAAGATATATTTCCCTAATCCCAGTCTTTTCACATAGAAATTGCGGGCTCGTGTCATATATTTTAACATCTTCATTTCAGACCCTGCATAGCATTTTGGCTACCTAAGAAAACGTAGCTTGAATTTTTTTAAGATGATCTTGGGTAAGGGGATTAAACCTATAATCATTTATGGTGTCTCGGTCCCCATGGTCTTCTAATGATTGCGGAAGATACTGTGGCCAAATGGTCTGTGAGCTAGACTCCGGAGGGGACAGACATCCCATCCAGGGGGGATTAGTGATATTTCTAGTCACTTCATGCTAAGGAAACCGGGATAAGCTTTAGCTGGGTGGGAAACTTGGCTCAAGTACAGACTTAGCCTCTTTTAAACAATTGTTCTTTCACCACGTCAAGGAATTCACACAAATTAGGAACGTGGTAGAAAACGAACAAAAATATTAGAAAAAACCCTTCTTTAAGGGTTCCTTAAAGTGACTCCCTCTCAGTCCCTTATGAATAGCTACCATACCATATAAAGTGAGAGATTTTGTACAAGAAGAATTAGAACGAGAAGAGACTGGGATAAGAGGAGACTGAGATGAATGAAGGTGTGGTCTCGTCCCAGCCTCTTTACGCCATGGCACAACTGTGTTTTCACTCCCCCTCCTCGCTCGTAGAATCGTGCGGGAAAATTAATATCCATTTATCTGCTTCTTCACAGTTTGTGCGAATTGACTCAGACGATGAGGGGGAGTGTGAGGATCTTTTGTTCCCCGGGGAGGGGGAGGTGACCGATGCTGCTGTGGTTCTCCTTAGAAAGAAGATGAGTGGAAAGTACACTTTATTTAAGGTATGAAGCAATTTTGAGAGCAAGTGAAACACTTTTATTTTTCAGGAATATAACCATGTCCTAAAGACCCTTCTAGGGTTCAGAAAGGTGCTCCTTTAGGGTCCTTGGTTGTAGGTTTAATTTGTTTACCAGAGTGACTCATGACAACACAGTTAAGCCAATCACTGTGAAGATAACTTTTCACAATCAGCCAATCAGCATCGCTATCAACCGAGACAAGTTTGACCCTTGCCCAAATTTTCCCGCGCTTCTCAAGAAGGCTACGACTCCCCTCTGTAATAACTGAGAGGTTTAACTATGATATTTGCAGGATTTAGCTACGTTTTCCAGCTCCATTCTTCTGTTGATTTTTTTAAACAGTGCTGATTGATTTTTTTTTGTGATTTTTTCTGCCTGCAGGAACCATTGTTTCTGGATATGTGCGTGATTTACAAGGAATGTGGTAAGTTCAAACCGTAGGTCGGCAATGCGTAGGCCTGCTTTGAGAATGATTCGCATAACTACCATCGTTTATTCCGGTTTGTGAAGCATTGACCAGAGAAATTGTAAATTTTGATCACTCAACCGTCTTTCGTAATGTTTCCATGTCAGTTTTCCGGGACCCATAAATGATCCTTATTGAAAGGAGAGATGATTCGTGAGAGAATGGACACGATACTCACTCAGGGCTCGAACCCATTCCTTTCAACATGGAGTTTAGCGCGTTAACCTTTGCCATAACTCATATCCCACGCATTAAATTATACGAATACGTTAACGATGCACTTTTCAATTGAGTGTCGAAAATGATCCAATATTGTGTTGGTTTTTCCTTACTTATACGGTTGGTACAGAAAACTCGCGACACTGTCTCAATCAATCAGATGCAAAACTTGACCCAATCATGACTTGGCCGCCTGCGCTTTCTCGCGCTTTAGACGGTTTGCTCGTTTTTTCTTTCAGTTCTGAGAGTATTTTCTCATATTCTGCTTGGCCGTTGAGATAACTTTGGTTTCTGTTTGGCAACACTCAATCGTTCTCTCACAAACATCGATTCATAATTAAAAACTAACTGGCTGCAAATATCTCTTTATTGATGCAGAGCTAAAGGACACATTCGAAATTGTGTTGATGGGTAAAGAGACATACAGATTCAGAGCTTCTTCAAGCAGAGATTATCGGAGATGGCTTAAATACCTCAGACTGGAATCCAAAGAACTTGGCTCCTGGAAGAGGAGGCGAAATGGTCTTCCCAATATCATGATTAAAAATCTTTAGCAAAGACGTAACTCTGTGAAATAGTTACATGTCGTTCACAGAATACAGTCGACAATATGAAAGCCTTCATCAAACGTATATTTATAAGTGAATCCATACGTGTGTCATCGTCTGTATAGGAAAATGTTTACGATTAAAATGAATGTGAAAATTGTTAACAATGATCTGTTTGACATTCACTATTTGTTTTGGTCGTTTCAGTAAGCCAATAAAGTCATCGTTTAAAACACGTTCAAGCTTCATGATTTTGTTTTGTAAGCTGTCTGGTTTGTGCAACTTGATGTCACTCTCATAGCTATTGTAACTCATTCTCGTACCCAGATTCCTCGTTTCTTTCAGTCATGAGTGGCTCTGGGGACGCCAATGGCTGTAACTGACCCCCCATCACCCCTCCACGAGACTTAATTATCAACACTGCTACGAAGCTTGCCCAAGTTTCCCGCGCTTCTTATGAGGCTATGATTCAAATACTTTTAGCTCATTGAGAAAATGACAGAAAGAAGATGAAAGACGCTTCAATTTTTGTCGTTTGCCCTTCGAAGTAAATATTATGCTTACCCTCTTTATATATTTTCTCTTTTGCCGCTCTACCTGCTCAAAAATTTGTTCTTGAAACTGCTTCGTCCTTTTTCCTTAGCCACCCTACAAATCTACTTTGATTTAAAAAGTGATATAAAAATCCGACAGGTCGCTATCAGAAGAATTATGTATAAAGCTTTTTATAAAATTCAATTTCAACACATGACACTTCGCTAGGCTAATTGACACCATTCATTTTTAGGGTTCAGCCGCGAGATTGAATATGCACGTGTAAATCTTACAGTTTATTTGCATTTTTCTGTACCGTTCCTCGTGGTCTGAACTGCCGCACTTCGAAGAGAAAATACAAAAAATACAAACGGAATAGGCACAATTTGGAGATGCTTCGTTTTTGAGGACTTTCGGAAGCTCATTATAAAGAATTACACGACAGAGCACGAGGTGAGAGTGAGAATGAGCTTTCGTTGTACATTGTTGTACAGCGTGCTTTATGTAGTTGAGAACTGTAAATGAACGGTAGAATTGTGTGGAGCTATTTCTCGGTAAGCAATTTTACTCACAGATCTCCTTCTTAGAACAGTTTTAAGGACAAATTCGTCCTTGAATCGTGTTAGTTCGCCCAAACAGTGCAGAGATTTTATGAAATCGTAAATTCTTCGCTTGGCGACGAATTCAACCGAGTTAAAACTCACAACAAAAATCAAGAGCAATTCTTGTTGAATAGCCACTTAAGATATTTGAATTTATTTGGCCGCTGCTGTCACTCAGTGGGTCGAGTTTCTCTGATACATTAAATAATCAAATAACTGTTTGAATTATTCACGCACAGTTTAGGAAACAACGAGAACTAATACTGCTAATTTTGTTTCGTGCAGATCTATCACTTGGGTTAAATAAAGCTGAGAAATGGATGGGAAAGGACGAAAGCAAATAATCATGTCAAGGTAAGCTACAGAAATCAATTTTTTTCAAAATAGGTTTGTTTATGTGTGTATGTGGCTGCTGTTCCTTAGGGGTGGAGTCTTGACGTATACCCAAAATTCTTTTTACTTTAATCAGGCCATAAAGTGGACAAAGTAACGACGTGATTAAATTTTCGCAGATTAGTTGCAAACTCCAAAGTAATCTTTGAACAAAATTTTATAAGCAAATTGAGTTCACGAGGTGTGACAGCCTTTTCAGGAGTTTCTAATTTCGGAGGAATCGGAAGTAGAGTATTTATTTTGTTTCGAGAATTCAGTTTCTGACCAGGTCATTTTTTTTAAAGTGAGTTTCGTCAGTTTAGTCAGGATATCAGTTAAACTTTAGAAAAAAATTATGCTGTGGGCGAGATTTTTTGAAAAAGGATAAATAAAAAAGGAGAAATACTTTTTTCTAGATTATATTTAAACGAGAACTCGTGCATGAAATGGACGCAGATTTGACACTTTACACAAGCTGTCAAAAGGGCGTTTTAAGGGGAGATGTTTTAAAGAACTTTTGCAATAAATTCTGGCTATCGTTAAGAACCGCAAATGTTGTACAGCAGTGTTCGACGCAGATGAATGAATAGCAATTTACGTGAGATGAAGCGGCATCCAATTAATTTTTTTTCTCCAATTTTTGTTTTGATATTTCGGAGGAGGTTATATCTTAACAAGTCGATCATAGTAAACAATAAACTGTTGAGGGAAAATAAATAAGATTCGCCGAGGTTATTCACTTTCAAGATACCAGCATGCACTTGTAGCAGATATTAAGCCGGGGGGCTCGCTTAGAAGGTATTCCGCTACCATGGTAACATGTTTTGTTGATATAAATATCAGAAGATGTTCGAAAGTATTAAGGCATCTGATTGATAGCAATTTTTTTCTATAACTGACATCGAATCTTTTACTCAATTCAGTAGAATAAAACCTTATAGAACCTTTGGGCTTCTAGAATTCATATTTTCTTCTCTGATTCGTTGTAAGGTCGGTTGACATTATTACTATCATTACCGTTATAATCAATTTTGTTCGAAATGAGTACTCTTTCAGTAATGGATTTGATTGTTTGATATTAGAAAGACGTTAACGCTTAAAATGACGTTAAAACAGGACACATAGAGCATGCTTCAAATCGCCTTTCTCAAATTGTTTCTATAACTAATGTTTCGAATTCCGACAAGTTAAAAAACACTTATTGGCTCTCTTGCTTTTTAAGACATTGAAGCCAAATAACCGAATGCATCAGCTCTTGACGCTTGAAACAATTTAAATTTCTAACTCCCGTTAGAGATAAAAAGATGAAGACAAGATTTCTCCTTAGAATATCAACACAATATCAAGCAGATAGACAAGTGATTGGAATTAAGTGAAATATCAACTAAGGGATAATTAGTTGATCCAATACCAAATTCTCTGAATTCACATCATAAGAACTATATGACAGACAGTATGGAGAATTTCTACCGCGAACCTGGGAGTGAAAAGGATAAATTTGTTCCAAAAACTCCAATTTTTCAATTTTTTTTAACCTTTCTAGGACCTCTGATTTTTTAAGAAAATAATTCAATGCCACATGGAGCTTAATCTTAAAATATCTTAACGTTTAAGGCTGACACCAAATTGAGAATGTTCCAAAAAAAAAAATCGAATTGATAGCGTCCCCTTCAACTGATCATTACTTAATACTTAATATAAGAATCAAAATACTGATTTAATTAAGCTCGTCTCACAAAGACCAACAAGTCTGATTGACGCTTGTATACCTTTGTTTTTGTTTGTCTGCTGGGTGCCTTCTAAACTCGATAATTATTGCTCGAATTACATTACATTTGTTGATTTTGTTTTATTTGGTTTCTTTGCAGACTGACGGGTAAAAAGCTCTGATGTCTCACCAATATTGTTCAAGTAAAGGCGAGACTTTGTTAGAGGTAAAAAACAAATGAAGCACATTCCTGTCCTGAATACTACAATTTATTCGCCAAAATAGAGGGCTTGAGGCCACTAGTCCGAATGTTATCTCGCGATTTTGTTGGACTTGCCCAAAAATATATGGTTAGGCCATGGAACAGTTGAGTTTTCCCACCTGAAACTTAAAAAAAGGTGCTTTTCATAAGGCAGGCGCAAATTTTGTCTATTAATTCTGTAAGTAAAAATATGTTCAAATGCGATCAATTTTCCCGCCAAAAGACTTAGAAAAATACGGTGCTCAAAATACGCATGCGCCGTTTTTTTTTTTTTAATGTAAAGCATATTCAATGGAAAATAAAGTTTATTATTCACTCGCTGTATTATTATTTTATTACAAACAAGTCAATAAAGGGTTAATTTTTTGGTTGTAATCTTTTATTGTCTTTCAATAAATCACAAGTGTTTCACTTAGCAAATCAGTTTATGAGTTGTAAGTTAATTAAAAAGGTGTCTAGAGAAATCTTCCCTATATATATATACTAAGACTTTTGGCGGGAAAATTTGAATAGATTTGCACAGCGTTTCCCCTAGCAACTTTTCTGGCAAAAATTTTAACGAGGTTTCGTTTCAAATCTACCGCCAATAATTATTCAAACAGCATTTCGTGCAAAGAAAATTTAAATTTAAACTCCAATTCCTCTTTTACTTGTAAAAATTTCCAAAGAATTTTGCTTAGTTACTTTTGACTTCTGTTTTTTTTGCACGAGATAATGTTTTAAACTAAAAAGCATCATGGCAAAATAAATCAGAATTTACTGCTTGAATTTTAATATCCAAGTAGTTTATTTTTTCGCTCATAATTTGCCATAACGGTTTTTCTAATCAAAAGATCTTTAAAGCAGTCTGTTCTTGAATGTAACACAGGACAAAAATTTCAGATTGAAAGCGTATAAAACTATTCATGATTTTTTTTACCGATGGAGGAGTTGCAAGTTGTAGTTAGTATTTAACAATTTTCTGGATGGAAATATAAATTTTTAAACACAATCTCGGAAGTTATATTTTCTTAGCCACTAGAGCTGTAAAAATTCTCCAATTAGACTTCAAGTGCATTCAAGCAATTTGAGAATCAAAGTAATATCAAGTTGGGGCTTACAATTCGAACTTCAAATTCTTCATTCAATCAAATCGAGGGATTGTGATTTTGCTGGGGAAAAACGTCAAACATTTGTTTGAATTCCTTAAAGAATTTTTATATATTTTAATTTAGCTGCAATCAAACTCCACGTTCTTTCGTGAACGAAACAAACAATTTCCAATTCTGTTTCACTATGGCTCAATTGAGTAATTTGAAGATAAAAAACCACTAGATTTTTACAAAATATTTTTTCCTGTGTTACATCGAATGATAGCACAAAGATCTTTCTTCTATTTAAAAGGTAAATAATCTACTTTACATTTTAAAACCAAATGCCTGGTACAAGGGTTAAATAAAGATTCCTGCCAACGAACATAAATGTATGACTTGAGAGAGAAATCGTTACATAAACCAGCAACTGGCAAAGAAAACCGTTTCAATGCTACAATTTAGGCGACCCGCGGACAAGATGAAGCAATGTAATATTTGCATTTTCGATTGTCACGTTTTGCAAAATTCACGTGCTTTCTTCACAAACCGGACAAATACGTTGTTAGTTTTTAAAAATTTCTCCATTCGTCTTCGTAAAAAGGGAAACTTTTAACAAAATATAGCTGAAGACAAGATTCCAAAGAGAATTTATTTCATCCCAAA